TGTTAAAGTTGAAAATCAGGTGTTGGTTGAACTTGAGTTTCTGTTGTTTTTGAACTTGAGGTTGTGGAAAAATTGTTAAACTTGAGAATCAGGTGTTGGTTGAACTTGAGTTTCTGTCGTTTTTGAACTTGAGGTTGTGGAAATTGTTAAAGTTGAAAATCAGGTGTTGGTTGAACTTGAGTTTCTGTTGTTTTTGAACTTGAGGTTGTGGAAAAATTGTTAAACTTGAGAATCAGGTGTTCGTTGAACTTGAGTTTGTGTTGTGTTTTAATTTGAGTTGCGTGTTTGGTGAACTTGAGTTTGTGTTTTTTGAACTTGAGTTTCTTTTGTTTTTGAACTTGAGGTTGTGGAAATTGTTAAACTTGAGAATCAGGTGTTGGTTGAACTTGAGTTAGTCTGTTTGTTGAACTTGAGTCTCTGTGTTTTTTTAACTTGAGTTTGTTTCCTGTTTGAACTTGAGGTTGTGGAAATTGTTAAACTTGAGAATTGGGTATTGGTTGAACTTGCGTTTTTTGTGTTTTTTAAATTGGGTTTGTGTAGTGTTTGAACCTGAGTTTGTGGTGTTTTTGAACTTGGGTTGCGTGTTTGGTGACCATGAGTTTGTGTGTTTTTTGAACTTGAGTTTCTGTTGTTTTTTTGAACTTGAAGTTGTGGGTTTTTTTAACTTGAGGGTGTGGAATTTGTTAAACTTGAGAATTGGGTTTTGGTTGAACTTGAGTTTGTGTGTTTTTTGAACTTGAATTTCTTTTATTTTTGAACTTGAGGTATTGGAAATTGTTAAACCTTAGAACCAGGTGTTGGTTGAACTTGAGATTGTGTTTTTGTTGAACTTCAGTTTGTGTCGTGTTTGAACTTTAGTGTGTGGTGTTTTTGAACTTGAGTTTGTGTCGTGTTTGAACTTGAGTTTGTGGTGTTTTTGAACTTGAATTTGTGTGTTTGGAGAACTTGAGTTTGTGTGTTTTTTTAACTTAGTTTCTGTTGTTTTTGAACTTAAGGTATTGGAAATTGTTAAACTTGAGAATCAGGTGTTGGTTGAACTTGAGTTTGGTGTTTGAACTTTAGTGTGTGGTGTTTTTGAACTTGAGTTTGTGTCGTGTTTGAACTTGAGTTTGTGGTGTTTTTGAATTTGAGTTTGTGTTGTTTTTGAACTTGAGGGTGTGGAATATGTTAAACTTGAGAAATTGGTATTGGTTGAACTTGAGTTTTTGGTGTTTTTGAACTTGAATTTTTGGAAATTGTTAAACTTGAGAATCAGGTGTTGGATGAACTTGAGTTAGTGTTTGTTGAACTTGAGTTTGTGTCGTGTTGGAACTTGAGCTCGTGTTGTTTTGCTGAATTGAGTTTGTTTTTTTTGAACTTGAGGTTGTGTAAATTTTTAAACTTGAGAATCAGGTGTTGGTTGAACTTGAGTTTGTGGTTTTTGTTGAACATGAGTTTGTGTCGTTTTTGAACTTGAGTTTGTGGTGTTTTTGAACTTGAGCATGTGTTGTTTTTGAACTTGAGGTTGTGGAAATTGTTAAACTTGAGAATTGGGTATTGGTTGAACTTGATTTTTGGTGTTTTGAACTTGAGTTTCTGTTGTGTTTGAACTTGAGTTTGTGGTGTTTTTGAACTTGAGTTTCTGTTGTTTTTGAACTTGAGGTAGTGGAAATTGTTAAACCTTAGATTCAGGTGTTGGTTGAACTTGAGTTTGTGTTGTGTTTGAACTTGAGTTTGTGGTGTTTTTGAACTTGAGGTTGTGTCGTGTCTGAACTTGAGTTTGTGGTGTTTTTGAACTTGAGCTTTTGGTGTTTTTTAACTTGAGCTTGTGGAAATTGTTAAACTTGAGAATTGGGTATTGGTTGAACTTGAATTTTTTGTGTTTTTGAACTTAAGTTTGTGTCGTGTTTGAACTTGAATTTGTGGTGTTTTTGAATTTGAATATGTGGTGTTTTTGAACTTGAGGTTGTGGAAATTGTTAAACTTGAGAATTGGGTATTGGTTGAACTTGAGTTTATGGTTTTTTGAACTTGAATTTGCGTGTTTGGTGAACTAGAGTTTTCGTGTTTTTTGAACTTGAGTTTCTGTTTTTTTTAACTTGAGGTTGTGGAAATTGTTAAACCTTAGAATCGGGTATTGGTTGAACTTGAGTTTGTGTGTTTTTTGAACTTGAGTTTGTGTCGTGTTTGAACTTGAGTTTATGGTTTTTTTTAACTTGAATTTGCGTGTTTTTGGTGAACTTAAGTTTTCGTGTTTTTTGAACTTTAATTTCTGTTTTTTTACTTCTGGTTGTGGAAATTGTTAAACCTTAGAATCGGGTATTGGTTGCACTTGAGTTTGTGTGTTTCTTGAACTTGAGCTTGTGTGTTTGTTGAACTTGAGTTTCTGTGGTGCTTTTGAACTTGAGTTTGTGTGTTTGTTGAACTTGAGTTTGTGTTGTTTTCGAACTTGAGTTTTTGGTGGTTTTGAACTTGAAGTTGTGGAAATTGTTAAACTTAAGAATTGGGTATTGGTTGAACTTGCGTTTTTTGTGTTTTTTAAATTAGGTTTGTGTAGTGTTTGAACCTGAGTTTGTGGTGTTTTTGAACTTGAGCTTTTGGTGTTTTTGAACTTGAGCTTGTGGAAATTGTTAAACTTGAGAATTGGGTATTGGTTGAACTTGAATTTTTTGTGTTTTTGAACTTGAGTTTGTGTCGTGTTTGAACTTGAGTTTGTGGTGTTTTTGAACTTGAATTTGTGGTGTTTTTGAACTTGAGGTTGTGGAAATTGTTAAACTTGAGAATTGGGTATTGGCTGAACTGAGTTTTTTGTGTTTTTGAACTTGAGTTTGTGTCGTGTTTGAACTTGAGTTTATGGTTTTTTGAACTTGAATTTGCGTGTTTGGTGAACTAGAGTTTTCGTGTTTTTTGAACTTGAGTTTCTGTTTTTTTTAACTTGAGGTTGTGGAAATTGTTAAACCTTAGAATCGGGTATTGGTTGAACTTGAGTTTGTGTGTTTTTTGAACTTGAGTTTGTGGTGTGTTTGAACTTGAGTTTGTTGTTTTTTTGAACTTGAGTTTGTGTGTTTGTTGAACTTGAGTTTGTGTTGTTTTTGAACTTGAGTTTGTGTTGTTTTTGAACTTGAGTTTTTGGTGGTTTTGAACTTGAGGTTGTGGAAATTGTTAAACTTAAGAATTGGGTATTGGTTGAACTTGCGTTTTTTGTGTTTTTTAAATTAGGTTTGTGTAGTGTTTGAACCTGAGTTTGTGGTGTTTTTGAACTTGAAGTTGTGTTTTTTTTTAATTTAGGGTGTGGAATTTTTTAAACTTGAGAATTGGGTTTTGGTTGAACTTAAGTTTGGTGTTTGAACTTTAGTGTGTGGTGTTTTTGAACTTGAGTTTGTGTCGTGTTTGAACTTGAGTTTGTGGTGTTTTTGAATTTGAGTTTGTGTTGTTTTTGAACTTGAGGGTGTGGAATATGTTAAACTTGAGAAATTGGTATTGGTTGAACTTGAGTTTTTGGTGTTTTTGAACTTGAATTTTTGGAAATTGTTAAACTTGAGAATCAGGTGTTGGATGAACTTGAGTTAGTGTTTGTTGAACTTGAGTTTGTGTCGTGTTGGAACTTGAGCTCGTGTTGTTTTGCTGAATTGAGTTTGTGTTTTTTGAACTTGAGGTTGTGAAAATTTTTAAACTTGAGAATCAGGTGTTGGTTGAACTTGAGTTTGTGGTTTTTGTTGAACATGAGTTTGTGTCGTTTTTGAACTTGAGTTTGTGGTGTTTTTGAACTTGAGCATGTGTTGTTTTTGAACTTGAGGTTGTGGAAATTGTTAAACTTGAGAATTGGGTATTGGTTGAACTTGATTTTTGGTGTTTTGAACTTGAGTTTCTGTTGTGTTTGAACTTGAGTTTGTGGTGTTTTTGAACTTGAGTTTCTGTTGTTTTTGAACTTGAGGTAGTGGAAATTGTTAAACCTTAGATTCAGGTGTTGGTTGAACTTGAGTTTGTGTTGTGTTTGAACTTGAGTTTGTGGTGTTTTTGAACTTGAGGTTGTGTCGTGTCTGAACTTGAGTTTGTGGTGTTTTTGAACTTGAGCTTTTGGTGTTTTTTAACTTGAGCTTGTGGAAATTGTTAAACTTGAGAATTGGGTATTGGTTGAACTTGAATTTTTTGTGTTTTTGAACTTAAGTTTGTGTCGTGTTTGAACTTGAATTTGTGGTGTTTTTGAATTTGAATATGTGGTGTTTTTGAACTTGAGGTTGTGGAAATTGTTAAACTTGAGAATTGGGTATTGGTTGAACTTGAGTTTATGGTTTTTTGAACTTGAATTTGCGTGTTTGGTGAACTAGAGTTTTCGTGTTTTTTGAACTTGAGTTTCTGTTTTTTTTAACTTGAGGTTGTGGAAATTGTTAAACCTTAGAATCGGGTATTGGTTGAACTTGAGTTTGTGTGTTTTTTGAACTTGAGTTTGTGTCGTGTTTGAACTTGAGTTTATGGTTTTTTTTAACTTGAATTTGCGTGTTTTTGGTGAACTTAAGTTTTCGTGTTTTTTGAACTTTAATTTCTGTTTTTTTACTTCTGGTTGTGGAAATTGTTAAACCTTAGAATCGGGTATTGGTTGCACTTGAGTTTGTGTGTTTCTTGAACTTGAGCTTGTGTGTTTGTTGAACTTGAGTTTCTGTGGTGCTTTTGAACTTGAGTTTGTGTGTTTGTTGAACTTGAGTTTGTGTTGTTTTCGAACTTGAGTTTTTGGTGGTTTTGAACTTGAAGTTGTGGAAATTGTTAAACTTAAGAATTGGGTATTGGTTGAACTTGCGTTTTTTGTGTTTTTTAAATTAGGTTTGTGTAGTGTTTGAACCTGAGTTTGTGGTGTTTTTGAACTTGAGCTTTTGGTGTTTTTGAACTTGAGCTTGTGGAAATTGTTAAACTTGAGAATTGGGTATTGGTTGAACTTGAATTTTTTGTGTTTTTGAACTTGAGTTTGTGTCGTGTTTGAACTTGAGTTTGTGGTGTTTTTGAACTTGAATTTGTGGTGTTTTTGAACTTGAGGTTGTGGAAATTGTTAAACTTGAGAATTGGGTATTGGCTGAACTGAGTTTTTTGTGTTTTTGAACTTGAGTTTGTGTCGTGTTTGAACTTGAGTTTATGGTTTTTTGAACTTGAATTTGCGTGTTTGGTGAACTAGAGTTTTCGTGTTTTTTGAACTTGAGTTTCTGTTTTTTTTAACTTGAGGTTGTGGAAATTGTTAAACCTTAGAATCGGGTATTGGTTGAACTTGAGTTTGTGTGTTTTTTGAACTTGAGTTTGTGGTGTGTTTGAACTTGAGTTTGTTGTTTTTTTGAACTTGAGTTTGTGTGTTTGTTGAACTTGAGTTTGTGTTGTTTTTGAACTTGAGTTTGTGTTGTTTTTGAACTTGAGTTTTTGGTGGTTTTGAACTTGAGGTTGTGGAAATTGTTAAACTTAAGAATTGGGTATTGGTTGAACTTGCGTTTTTTGTGTTTTTTAAATTAGGTTTGTGTAGTGTTTGAACCTGAGTTTGTGGTGTTTTTGAACTTGAAGTTGTGTTTTTTTTTAATTGAGGGTGTGGAATTTTTTAAACTTGAGAATTGGGTTTTGGTTGAACTTAAGTTTGTGGTGTTTTTGAACTTGAGTTTGTTTCGTGTTTGAACTTGAGTTCGTGGCGTTTGTTGAGCTTGAGTTTCTGTTGTTTTTGAACTTGAGTTTGTGTCGTGTTTGAACTTGAGTTTGTGTTTGTTGAACTTGAGTTTTTTTTTTGAACTTGAGTTTGTGTTGTTTTTGAACTTGAGTTTTTTGTGTTTTTGAACTTGAGTTTGTGTCGTGTTTGAACTTGAGTTTTTGGTGGTTTTGAACTTGAGGTTGTGGAAATTGTTAAACTTAAGAATGGGTATTGGTTGAACTTGATTTTGTGGTGTTTTTGAACTTGAGTTTGCTGTGTTTGAACTTGAGTTTGTGGCGTTTGTTGAACATGAGTTTCTGTTGTTTTTGAACTTGAGTTTGTGTCGTGTTTTAACTTGAGTTTGTGTGTTTGTTGAACTTGAGTTTTTTTTTTTTAACTTGAGTTTGTGTTGTTTTTGAACTTGAGTTTCTGTTGTTTTTGAACTTGAGGTATTGGAAATTGTTAAACTTGAGAATCAGGTGTTGGTTGAACTTGAGTTTGTGTGTTTGAACTTTAGTGTGTGGTGTTTTTGAACTTGAGTTTGTGTCGTGTTTGAACTTGAGTTTGTGGTGTTTTTGAACTTGAGTTTGTGGTGTTTTTGAACTTGAGGGTGTGGAATATGTTAAACTTGAGAAATTGGTATTGGTTGAACTTGAGTTTTGGGTGTTTTTGAACTTGAATTTTTGGAAATTGTTAAACTTGAGAATCAGGTGTTGGATGAACTTGAGTTAGTGTTTGTTGAACTTGAGTTTGTGTCGTGTTGGAACTTGAGCTCGTGTTGTTTGTTGAATTGAGTTTGTGTTTTTTGAACTTGAGGTTGTGAACATTTTTAAACTTAAGAATCAGGTGTTGGTTGAACTTGAGTTTGTGGTTTTTGTTGAACATGAGTTTGTGTCGTTTTTGAACTTGAGTTTGTGGTGTTTTTGAACTTGAGCATGTGTTGTTTTTGAACTTGAGGTTGTGGAAATTGTTAAACTTGAGAATTGGGTATTGGTTGAACTTGAATTTTTTGTGTTTTTGAACTTGAGTTTGTGTCGTGTTTGAACTTGAGTTTGTGGTGTTTTTGAACTTGAATTTGTGGTGTTTTTGAACTTGAGGTTGTGGAAATTGTTAAACTTGAGAATTGGGTATTGGCTGAACTGAGTTTTTTGTGTTTTTGAACTTGAGTTTGTGTCGTGTTTGAACTTGAGTTTATGGTTTTTTGAACTTGAATTTGCGTGTTTGGTGAACTAGAGTTTTCGTGTTTTTTGAACTTGAGTTTCTGGTTTTTTTAACTTGAGGTTGTGGAAATTGTTAAACCTTAGAATCGGGTATTGGTTGAACTTGAGTTTGTGTGTTTTTTGAACTTGAGTTTGTGGTGTGTTTGAACTTGAGTTTGTTGTTTTTTTGAACTTGAGTTTGTTGTTTTTTTTAACTTGAGTTTGTGTGTTTGTTGAACTTGAGTTTGTGTTGTTTTTGAACTTGAGTTTTTGGTGGTTTTGAACTTGAGGTTGTGGAAATTGTTAAACTTAAGAATTGGGTATTGGTTGAACTTGCGTTTTTTGTGTTTTTTAAATTAGGTTTGTGTAGTGTTTGAACCTGAGTTTGTGGTGTTTTTGAACTTGAAGTTGTGTTTTTTTTTTAATTGAGGGTGTGGAATTTTTTAAACTTGAGAATTGGGTTTTGGTTGAACTTAAGTTTGTGGTGTTTTTGAATTTGAGTTTGTTTCGTGTTTGAACTTGAGTTCGTGGCGTTTGTTGAGCTTGAGTTTCTGTTGTTTTTGAACTTGAGTTTGTGTCGTGTTTGAACTTGAGTTCGTGGCGTTTGTTGAACTTGAGTTTTTTTTTTTGAACTTGAGTTTGTGTTGTTTTTGAACTTGAGTTTGTGTGTTTGTTGAACTTGAGTTTGTTTTTTTTTTGAACTTGAGTTTGTGTGTTTGTTGAACTTGAGTTTGTGTTGTTTTTGAACTTGAGTTTTTGGTGGTTTTGAACTTGAGGTTGTGGAAATTGTTAAACTTAAGAATTGGGTATTGGTTGAACTTGCGTTTTTTGTGTTTTTTAAATTAGGTTTGTGTAGTGTTTGAACCTGAGTTTGTGGTGTTTTTGAACTTGAAGTTGTGTTTTTTTTTAATTGAGGGTGTGGAATTTTTTAAACTTGAGAATTGGGTTTTGGTTGAACTTAAGTTTGTGGTGTTTTTGAACTTGAGTTTGTTTCGTGTTTGAACTTGAGTTCGTGGCGTTTGTTGAGCTTGAGTTTCTGTTGTTTTTGAACTTGAGTTTGTGTCGTGTTTGAACTTGAGTTTGTGTGTTTGTTGAACTTGAGTTTTTTTTTTGAACTTGAGTTTGTGTTGTTTTTGAACTTGAGTTTGTGTGTTTGTTGAACTTGAGTTTCTGTGGTGTTTTTGAACTTGAGTTTGTGTGTTTGTTGAACTTGCGTTTGTGTTGTTTTCGAACTTGAGTTTTTGGTGGTTTTGAACTTGAAGTTGTGGAAATTGTTAAACTTAAGAATTGGGTATTGGTTGAACTTGCGTTTTTTGTGTTTTTTAAATTAGGTTTGTGTAGTGTTTGAACCTGAGTTTGTGGTGTTTTTGAACTTGAGCTTTTGGTGTTTTTGAACTTGAGCTTGTGGAAATTGTTAAACTTGAGAATTGGGTATTGGTTGAACTTGAATTTTTTGTGTTTTTGAACTTGAGTTTGTGTCGTGTTTGAACTTGAGTTTGTGGTGTTTTTGAACTTGAATTTGTGGTGTTTTTGAACTTGAGCTTGTGGAAATTGTTAAACTTGAGAATTGGGTATTGGCTGAACTGAGTTTTTTGTGTTTCGTGTTTGAACTTGTGTCGTGTTTGAACTTGAGTTTATGGTTTTTTGAACTTGAATTTGCGTGTTTGGTGAACTAGAGTTTTCGTGTTTTTTGAACTTGAGTTTCTGTTTTTTTTAACTTGAGGTTGTGGAAATTGTTAAACCTTAGAATCGGGTATTGGTTGAACTTGAGTTTGTGTGTTTTTTGAACTTGAGTTTGTGGTGTGTTTGAACTTGAGTTTGTTGTTTTTTTGAACTTGAGTTTGTGTGTTTGTTGAACTTGAGTTTGTGTTGTTTTTGAACTTGAGTTTTTGGTGGTTTTGAACTTGAGGTTGTGGAAATTGTTAAACTTAAGAATTGGGTATTGGTTGAACTTGCGTTTTTTGTGTTTTTTAAATTATGTTTGTGTAGTGTTTGAACCTGAGTTTGTGGTGTTTTTGAACTTGAAGTTGTGTTTTTTTTTAATTGAGGGTGTGGAATTTTTTAAACTTGAGAATTGGGTTTTGGTTGAACTTAAGTTTGTGGTGTTTTTGAACTTGAGTTTGTTTCCTGTTTGAACTTGAGTTCGTGGCGTTTGTTGAGCTTGAGTTTCTGTTGTTTTTGAACTTGAGTTTGTGTCGTGTTTGAACTTGAGTTTGTGTGTTTGTTGAACTTGAGTTTTTTTTTTTTAACTTGAGTTTGTGTTGTTTTTGAACTTGAGTTTCTGTTGTTTTTGAACTTGAGGTATTGGAAATTGTTAAACTTGAGAATCAGGTGTTGGTTGAACTTGAGTTTGTGTCGTGTTTGAACTTGAGTTTGTGGTGTTTTTGAACTTGAGTTTGTGGTGTTTTTGAACTTGAGGGTGTGGAATATGTTAAACTTGAGAAATTGGTATTGGTTGAACTTGAGTTTTTGGTGTTTTTGAACTTGAATTTTTGGAAATTGTTAAACTTGAGAATCAGGTGTTGGATGAACTTGAGTTAGTGTTTGTTGAACTTGAGTTTGTGTCGTGTTGGAACTTGAGCTCGTGTTGTTTGTTGAATTGAGTTTGTGTTTTTTGAACTTGAGGTTGTGAAAATTTTTAAACTTAAGAATCAGGTGTTGGTTGAACTTGAGTTTGTGGTGTTTTTGAACTTGAGTTTGTTTCGTGTTTGAACTTGAGTTTGTGGCGTTTGTTGAACTTGAGTTTCTGTTGTTTTTGAACTTGAGTTTGTGGCGTTTGTTGAACTTGAGTTTCTGTTGTTTTTGAACTTGAGTTTGTGTCGTGTATGAACTTGAGTTTGTGTCGTGTTTTTGAACTTCAGTTTTTGGTGTTTTTGAACTTGAGGGTGTGGAATTTGTTAAACTTGAGAATTGGGTATTGGTTAAATTTGAGTTTGTTTGTTTGTTGAACTTGAGTTCGTGTCGTGTTTGAACTTGAGTTTGTGGTGTTTTTGAACTTGAGTTTTTGTGTATTTTGAACTTGAGTTTGTGGAATTTGTTAAACTTGAGAATTTGGTATTGTTTGAACTTGAGTTTTTTGTGTTTTTGAACTTGAGTTTGTGGCAATTGATGAACTTGCGTCTGTGGTTTTTAGTGAACTTTAATTGGTGGCAATTGTTGAACTTGAGTTTGTGGCGTTTTTGAACTCGAGTTTCTGTTTTTTTTAACTTGAGGTTGTGGAAATTGTTAAACCTGAGAATCTGGTATTGGTTGAACTTGAGTTTGTGTGTTTTTTGAACTTGAGTTTGTGTTGTGTTTGAACTTGAGTTTATGTTTTTTTTTAACTGAATTTGCGTGTTTGGTGAACTTGAGTTTTCGTGTTTTTTGAACTTGAGTTTCTGTTTTTGTGAACTTGAGGTTGTGGAAATTGTTAAACTTAAGAATTGGGTATTGGTTGAACTTGAGTTTGTGGTGTTTTTGAACTTGAGTTTGTTTCGTTTTTGAACTTGAGTTTGTGGCGTTTGTTGAACTTGAGTTTCTGTTGTTTTTGAACTTGAGTTTGTGGCGTTTGTTGAACTTGAGTTTCTGTTGTTTTTGAACTTGAGTTTGTGTCGTGTTTGAACTTGAGTTTTTGTGTTTGTTGAACTTCAGTTTGTGTTATGTTTGAACTTGAGTTTGTGTCGTGTATGAACTTGAGTTTGTGTCGTGTTTTTGAACTTCAGTTTTTGGTGTTTTTGAACTTGAGGGTGTGGAATTTGTTAAACTTGAGAATTGGGAATTGGTTAAATTTGAGTTTGTTTGTTTGTTGAACTTGAGTTCGTGTCGTGTTTGAACTTGAGTTTGTGGTGTTTTTGAACTTGAGTTTGTGTGTATTTTGAACTTGAGTTTGTGGAATTTGTTAAACTTGAGAATTTGGTATTGTTTGAACTTGAGTTTTTTGTGTTTTTGAACTTGAGTTTGTGGCAATTGATGAACTTGCGTCTGTGGTTTTAAGTGAACTTTAATTGGTGTCAATTGTTGAACTTGAGTTTGTGGCGTTTTTGAACTCGAGTTTCTGTTTTTTTTAACTTGAGGTTGTGGAAATTGTTAAACCTGAGAATCTGGTATTGGTTGAACTTGAGTTTGTGTGTTTTTTAAATGGGTTTGTGTAGTGTTTGAGCCTGAGTTTGTGGTGTTTTTGAACTTGAGTTGCGTGTTTGGTGACCTTGAGTTTGTGTGTTTTTTGAACTTGAGTTTCTGTTATTTTTTTGAACTTGAGGTATTGGAAATTGTTAAACCTTAGAACCAGGTGTTGGTTGAACTTGAGTTTGTGTGTTTGTTGAACTTGAGTTTGTGTCGTGTTTGAACTTTAGTGTGTGGTGTTTTTGAACTTGAGTTTGTGTCGTGTTTGAACTTGAGTTTGTGGTGTTTTTGAACTTGAGTTTGTGTCGTTTTTGAACTTGAGGGTGTGGAATATGTTAAACTTGAGAAATTGGTATTGGTTGAACCTGAGTTTTTGGTGTTTTTGAACTTGAATTTTTGGAAATTGTTAAACTTGAGAATCAGGTGTTGGATGAACTTGAGTTAGTGTTTGTTGAACTTGAGTTTGTGTCGTGTTGGAACTTGAGCTCGTGTTGTTTGTTGAATTGAGTTTGTGTTTTTTGAACTTGAGGTTGTGAAAATTTTTAAACTTGAGTATCAGGTGTTGGTTGAACTTGAGTTTGTGGTTTTTGTTGAACATGAGTTTGTGTTGTTTTTGAACTTGAGCATGTGTTTTTTTTTAACTTGAGGTTGTGGAAATTTTTAAACTTGAGAATTGGGTATTGATTGAACTTCATTTTTTGTGTTTTGAACTTGAGTTTCTGTTGTGTTTGAACTTGAGTTTGTGGTGTTTTTGAACTTGAGTTTCTGTTGTTTTTGAACTTGAGGTAATGGAAATTGTTAAACCTTAGAATCAGGTGTTGGTTGAACTTAAGTTTGTGTGTTTGTTGAACTTGAGTTTGTGTGTTTGAACTTGAGGGTGTTTTGTGTTTGAACTTGAGTTTGTGGTGTTTTTGAACTTGAGTTTGTGTCGTGTTTGATCTTGAGGGTGTGGAATTTTGTTTAACTTGAGAATTTGGTATTGGTTGAACTTGAGTTTGTGGTGTTTTTGAACTTGAGTTTGTGGTGTTTTTGAACTTGAGAATCAGGTGTTGGATGAACTTGAGTTAGTGTTTGTTGAACTTGAGTTTTTGTCCTGTTGGAACTTAAGTTTGTGGGTTTTTTTAACTTGAGTTTGTATGTTTGTTGAACTTGAGTTTGTGTGTTTGTAGAACTTGAGTTTGTGTTGTGTTTGAACTTGAGTTTGTGGTGTTTTTGAACTTGAGTTTGTTTCGTGTTTGAACTTGAGTTTGTGGCGTTTTTTGAACTTGAGTTTCTGTTGTTTTTGAACTTGAGTTTTTGTCGTGTTTGAACTTGAGTTTGTGTGTTTGTTGAACTTGAGTTTGTGTTATGTTTGAACTTGAGTTTGTGTCATGTAAGAACTTGGGTTTGTTTCGTGTTTGAACTTGAGTTTGTGGCGTTTGTTGAACTTGAGTTTCTGTTGTTTTTGAACTTGAGTTTGTGTCATGTTTGAACTAGAGTTAGTGTTTGTTGAACTTGAGTTTGTGTTGTGTTGGAACTTAAGTTTGTGGTGTTTTTGAACTTGAGTTTGTGTGTTTGTTGAAGTTGAGTTTGTGTTGTATTTGAACTTGAGTTTGTGTTTTTTTTAACTTGAGTTTTTTTATGTTTGAACTTGAGTTTGTGGTGTTTTTGAACTTGAATTTTTGGTGTTTTTGAACTTGAGCTTGTGGAAATAGTCAAACTTGAGAATTGGGTATTGGTTGAACTTGTTTTTTGTGTTTTCTAACTTGAGTTTGTGTCGTGTTTGAACTTGAGTTCGTGGTGTTTTTGAACTTGAGTTTGTGGTGTTTTTGAACTTGAGTTTGTGGTGTTTTTGAACTTGAGCTTGTGGAAATTGTTATACCTGAGAATTGGGTACTGGTTGAACTGAGTTTTTGGTGTTTTTGATCTTGAGTTTGTGTCGTGTTTGAACTTGAGTTTATGGGTTTTTTTAACTTGAATTTGCGTGCTTGGTGAACTTGAGTTTTCGTGTTTTTTGAACTTGAGTTTCTGTTTTTTTGAACTTGAGGTTGTGGAAATTGTTAAACCTTAGAATCGGGTGTTGGTTGAACTTGAGTTTGTGTGTTTTTTGAACTTGGGTTTGTGGTGTGTTTGAACTTGAGTTTGTGGTGTTTTTGAACTTGAGTTTGTGTGTTTGTTGAACTTGAGTTTGTGTTGTTTTTGAACTTGAGTTTTTGGTGGTTTTGAACTTTAGGTTGTGGAAATTGTTAAACTTAAGAATTGGGTATTGGTTGAACTTGCGTTTTTTGTGTTTTTTAAATTGGTTTGTTTAGTGTTTGAACCTTAGTTTTTGGTGATTTGAACTTGAAGTTGTGGTTTTTTTTAACTTGAGGGTGTGGAATTTTTTAAACTTGAGAACTGGGTTTTGGTTGAACTTGAGTTTGTGGTGTTTTTGAACTTGAGTTTGTTTCGTGTTTGAACTTGAGTTTGTGGCGTTTGTTGAACTTGAGTTTCTGTTGTTTTTGAACTTGAGTTTTTGTCGTGTTTGAATTTGAGTTTGTGTGTTTGTTGAACTTGAGTTTGTGTTATGTTTGAACTTGAGTTTGTGTCGTGTATGAACTTGAGTTTGTGTCGTGTTTTTGAACTTAAGTTTTTGGTGTTTTTGAACTTGAGGATGTGGAATTTGTTAAACTTGAGAATTGGGTATTGGTTGAATTTGAGTTTGTGTGTTTGTTGAACTTAAGTTCGTGTTGTGTTTGAACTTGAGTTTGTGGTGTTTTTGAACTTGAGTTTGTGTTGTTTTTGAACTTGAGTTTTTGGTGGTTTTGAACTTGAGGTTGTGGAAATTGTTAAACTTAAAAATTGGGTATTGGTTGAACTTGCGTTTTTTGTGTTTTTTAAATTGGGTTTGTGTAGTGTTTGAACCTGAGTTTTTGGTGATTTGAACTTGAAGTTGTGGTTTTTTTTAACTTTAGGGTGTGGACTTTTTTAAACTTGAGAATTGGGTTTTGGTTGAACTTGAGTTTGTGGTGTTTTTGAACTTGAGTTTGTTTCGTGTTTGAACTTGAGTTTGTGGCGTTTGTTTAACTTGAGTTTCTGTTGTTTTTGAACTTGAGTTTTTGTTGTTTTTGAACTTGAGTTTGTGTGTTTGTTGAACTTGAGTTTGTGTTATGTTTGAACTTGAGTTTGTGTCGTGTATGAACTTGAGTTTGTGTTTTTGTTGAACTTGAGTTTGTGTTGTTTTTGAACTTGAGTTTTTGGTGGTTTTGAACTTGAGTTTGTTTCGTGTTTGAACTTGAGTTTGTGTCGTGTATGAACTTGAGTTTGTGTCGTGTTTTTGAACTTGAGTTTTTGGTGATTTTGAACTTGAGGGTGTGGAATTTGTTAAACTTGAGAATTGGGTATTGGTTGAATTTGAGTTTGTGTGTTTGTTGAACTTGTGTTCGTGTAGTGTTTGAACTTGAGTTTGTGGTGTTTTTGAACTTGAGTTTGTGTTGTTTTTGAACTTGAGTTTTTGTTGTTTTTGAACTTGAGGTTGTGGAAATTGTTAAACCTAAGAATTGGGTATTGGTTGAACTTGCGTTTTTTGTGTTTTTTAAATTGGGTTTGTGTAGTGTTTGAACCTGAGTTTTTGGTGTTTTTGAACTTGAAGTTGTGGTTTTTTTTAACTTGAGGGTGTGGAATTTTTTAAACTTGAGAATTGGGTTTTGGTTGAACTTAAGTTTGTGGTGTTTTGGAACTTGAGTTTGTTTCGTGTTTGAACTTGAGTTTGTGGCGTTATTTGAACTTGAGTTTGTGTTGTTTTTGAACTCGAGTTTTTGTCGTGTTTGAACTTGAATTTGTGTGTTTGTTGAACTTGAGTTTTTGTTATGTTTGAACTTGAGTTTGTGTCGTGTATGAACTTGAGTTTGTGTCGTGTTTTTGAACTTGAGTTTTTGGTGTTTTTGTACTTGAGGGTGTGGAATTTGTTAAACTTGAGAATTGTGTATTGGTTGAATTTGAGTTTGTGTGTTTGTTGAACTTGAGTTCGTGTCGTGTTTGAACTTGAGTTTGTGGTGTTTTTGAACTTGAGTTTGTTTCGTGTTTGAACTTGAGTTTGTGGCGTTTGTTGAACTTGAGTTTCTGTTGTTTTTGAACTTGAGTTTTTGTTGTTTTTGAACTTGAGTTTGTGTGTTTGTTGAACTTGAGTTTGTGTTATGTTTGAACTTGAGTTTGTGTCGTGTATGAACTTGAGTTTGTGTGTTTGTTGAACTTGAGTTTGTGTTGTTTTTGAACTTGAGTTTTTGGTGGTTTTGAACTTGAGTTTGTTTCGTGTTTGAACTTGAGTTTGTGGCGTTTGTTGAACTTGAGTTTCTGTTGTTTTTGAACTTGAGTTTTTGTCGTGTTTGAACTTGAGTTTGTGTGTTTGTTGAACTTGAGTTTGTGTTATGTTTGAACTTGAGTTTGTGTCGTGTATGAACTTGAGTTTGTGTCGTGTTTTTGAACTTGAGTTTTTGGTGATTTTGAACTTGAGGGTGTGGAATTTGTTAAACTTGAGAATTGGGTATTGGTTGAATTTGAGTTTGTGTGTTTGTTGAACTTGTGTTCGTGTAGTGTTTGAACTTGAGTTTGTGGTGTTTTTGAACTTGAGTTTGTGTTGTTTTTGAACTTGAGTTTTTGTTGTTTTTGAACTTGAGGTTGTGGAAATTGTTAAACCTAAGAATTGGGTATTGGTTGAACTTGCGTTTTTTGTGTTTTTTAAATTGGGTTTGTGTAGTGTTTGAACCTGAGTTTTTGGTGTTTTTGAACTTGAAGTTGTGGTTTTTTTTAACTTGAGGGTGTGGAATTTTTTAAACTTGAGAATTGGGTTTTGGTTGAACTTAAGTTTGTGGTGTTTTGGAACTTGAGTTTGTTTCGTGTTTGAACTTGAGTTTGTGGCGTTATTTGAACTTGAGTTTCTGTTGTTTTTGAACTCGAGTTTTTGTCGTGTTTGAACTTGAATTTGTGTGTTTGTTGAACTTGAGTTTTTGTTATGTTTGAACTTGAGTTTGTGTCGTGTATGAACTTGAGTTTGTGTCGTGTTTTTGAACTTGAGTTTTTGGTGTTTTTGTACTTGAGGGTGTGGAATTTGTTAAACTTGAGAATTGTGTATTGGTTGAATTTGAGTTTGTGTGTTTGTTGAACTTGAGTTCGTGTCGTGTTTGAACTTGAGTTTGTGGTGTTTTTGAACTTGAGTTTGTGTGTTTTTTTAACTTGAGTTTGTGTTGTGTTTGAACTTGAGTTTGTGTGTTTGTTGAACTTGAGTTTGTGTTGTTTTTGAACTTGAATTTTTGGTGGTTTTCAACTTGAGGTTGTGGAAATTGTTAAACTTAAGAATTGGGTAATGGTTGAACTTGCGTTTTTTGTGTTTTTTAAATTGGGTTTGTGTAGTGATTGAACCTGAGTTTGTGTGTTTGTTGAACTTGAGTTTGTGTTATGTTTGAACATGAGTTTGTGTCGTGTATGAACTTGAGTTTGTGTCGTGTTTTTGAACTTGAGGGTGTGGAATTTGTTAAACTTGAGAATTGGGTATTGGTTGAATTTGAGTTTGTGTGTTTGTTGAACTTGAGTTCGTGTCGTGTTTGAACTTGATTTTGTGGTGTTTTTGAACTTGAGTTTGTGTGTTTTTTGAACTTGAGTTTGTGTTGTGTTTGAACTTGAGTTTGTGGAAATTGTTAAACCTAAGAATTGGGTATTGGTTGAACTTGCGTTTTTTGTGTTTTTTAAATTGGGTTTGTGTAGTGTTTGAACCTGAGTTTTTGGTGTTTTTGAACTTGAAGTTGTGGTTTTTTTTAACTTGAGGGTGTGGAATTTTTTAAACTTGAGAATTGGGTTTTGGTTGAACTTAAGTTTGTGGTGTTTTGGAACTTGAGTTTGTTTCGTGTTTGAACTTGAGTTTGTGGCGTTATTTGAACTTGAGTTTGTGTTGTTTTTGAACTCGAGTTTTTGTCGTGTTTGAACTTGAATTTGTGTGTTTGTTGAACTTGAGTTTTTGTTATGTTTGAACTTGAGTTTGTGTCGTGTATGAACTTGAGTTTGTGTCGTGTTTTTGAACTTGAGTTTTTGGTGTTTTTGTACTTGAGGGTGTGGAATTTGTTAAACTTGAGAATTGTGTATTGGTTGAATTTGAGTTTGTGTGTTTGTTGAACTTGAGTTCGTGTCGTGTTTGAACTTGAGTTTGTGGTGTTTTTGAACTTGAGTTTGTTTCGTGTTTGAACTTGAGTTTGTGGCGTTTGTTGAACTTGAGTTTCTGTTGTTTTTGAACTTGAGTTTTTGTTGTTTTTGAACTTGAGTTTGTGTGTTTGTTGAACTTGAGTTTGTGTTATGTTTGAACTTGAGTTTGTGTCGTGTATGAACTTGAGTTTGTGTGTTTGTTGAACTTGAGTTTGTGTTGTTTTTGAACTTGAGTTTTTGGTGGTTTTGAACTTGAGTTTGTTTCGTGTTTGAACTTGAGTTTGTGGCGTTTGTTGAACTTGAGTTTCTGTTGTTTTTGAACTTGAGTTTTTGTCGTGTTTGAACTTGAGTTTGTGTGTTTGTTGAACTTGAGTTTGTGTTATGTTTGAACTTGAGTTTGTGTCGTGTATGAACTTGAGTTTGTGTCGTGTTTTTGAACTTGAGTTTTTGGTGATTTTGAACTTGAGGGTGTGGAATTTGTTAAACTTGAGAATTGGGTATTGGTTGAATTTGAGTTTGTGTGTTTGTTGAACTTGTGTTCGTGTAGTGTTTGAACTTGAGTTTGTGGTGTTTTTGAACTTGAGTTTGTGTTGTTTTTGAACTTGAGTTTTTGTTGTTTTTGAACTTGAGGTTGTGGAAATTGTTAAACCTAAGAATTGGGTATTGGTTGAACTTGCGTTTTTTGTGTTTTTTAAATTGGGTTTGTGTAGTGTTTGAACCTGAGTTTTTGGTGTTTTTGAACTTGAAGTTGTGGTTTTTTTTAACTTGAGGGTGTGGAATTTTTTAAACTTGAGAATTGGGTTTTGGTTGAACTTAAGTTTGTGGTGTTTTGGAACTTGAGTTTGTTTCGTGTTTGAACTTGAGTTTGTGGCGTTATTTGAACTTGAGTTTCTGTTGTTTTTGAACTCGAGTTTTTGTCGTGTTTGAACTTGAATTTGTGTGTTTGTTGAACTTGAGTTTTTGTTATGTTTGAACTTGAGTTTGTGTCGTGTATGAACTTGAGTTTGTGTCGTGTTTTTGAACTTGAGTTTTTGGTGTTTTTGTATTTGAGGGTGTGGAATTTGTTAAACTTGAGAATTGTGTATTGGTTGAATTTGAGTTTGTGTGTTTGTTGAACTTGAGTTCGTGTCGTGTTTGAACTTGAGTTTGTGGTGTTTTTGAACTTGAGTTTGTGTGTTTTTTTAACTTGAGTTTGTGTTGTGTTTGAACTTGAGTTTGTGTGTTTGTTGAACTTGAGTTTGTGTTGTTTTTGAACTTGAATTTTTGGTGGTTTTCAACTTGAGGTTGTGGAAATTGTTAAACTTAAGAATTGGGTAATGGTTGAACTTGCGTTTTTTGTGTTTTTTAAATTGGGTTTGTGTAGTGATTGAACCTGAGTTTGTGTGTTTGTTGAACTTGAGTTTGTGTTATGTTTGAACATGAGTTTGTGTCGTGTATGAACTTGAGTTTGTGTCGTGTTTTTGAACTTGAGGGTGTGGAATTTGTTAAACTTGAGAATTGGGTATTGGTTGAATTTGAGTTTGTGTGTTTGTTGAACTTGAGTTCGTGTCGTGTTTGAACTTGATTTTGTGGTGTTTTTGAACTTGAGTTTGTGTGTTTTTTGAACTTGAGTTTGTGTTGTGTTTGAACTTGAGTTTGTGGTGTTTTTGAACTTCATTTTGTTTCGTGTTTGAACTAAAGTTTTTGGTGTTTTTGAAGTTGAGGGTGTGGAATTTGTAAAACTTGAGAATTGGGTATTGGTTGAATTTGAGTTTGTGTGTTTGTTGAACTTGAGTTTGTGTGTTTGTTGAACTTGAGTTTGTGTTGTTTTTGAACTTGAGTTTGTGGCGTTTGTTGAACTCTAGGTTGTGGCAATTGGTTGAACTGGAGTTTGTGTCGTGTTTGAACTTGAGTTAGTGTTGTTTGTTGAACTTGAATTTGTGTTTTTTGAACTTTATTTTTTTGAAATTGAGTTTGTAGCAATTGTTGAACTTGAGTCTTTGGTTTTTGGTGAACTTTAATTGGTGGCAATTGTTGAACATGAGTTTGTGGCATTTGTTGAACTTGAGTTTGTGTCGTGTTTGAACTTGAGTTTTTGGTGTTTTTGAACTTGAGTTTGTGGTGTTTTTGAACATGAGTTTGTGTCGTGTTTGAACTTGAGTTTGTGGTGTTTGGTGAACTTGAATTTGCGTGTTTAGTGAACTTGAGTTTTTGTGTTTTTTTGAACTTGAGTTTCTGTTGTTTTTTAACTTGAGGTTGTGGAAATTGTTAAACTTGAGAATCAGGTGTTGGTTGAACTTAGAACTTGAGTTTGTGTCGTGTTTGAACTTGAGGTTGTGGTGTTTTTTAACTCGAATTTGTGTGTTTGTTGAACTTGAGTTTGTGTCGTGTTTGAACGTGAGTTTGTGGTGTTTTTTGAACTTGAGGTATTGGCGTTTTTGAACTTGACCTTGTGGAAATTTTTGAACTTTAGGATCGGGTGTTGGTTGAATTTGAGTTTGTGGTGTTTGTTGAACTTGAGTTTGTGTCGTGTTTGAACTTGAGTTTGTGGTGTTTTTGAACTTGAGTTTGTGGTGTTTTTGAACTTGAGGTTATGGAAATTGTTAAACCTAAGAATTGGGTATTGGTTGAACTTGAGTTTGTGTTGTTTTTGAACTTGAGTTTGTGTAGTGTTTGAACTTGAGTTTGTGGTGTTTTTTGAGCTTTAGGTTGTGGTGTTTTTGAACTTGAGTTTGTGGCGTGTTTGAACCTGAGGTTGTGGAAATTGTTAAACTTGAGATTTGGGTGTTGATTGAACTTGAGTTTGTTTCGTGTTTGATCTTGAGGTTGTGGTGTTTTTGAACTTGAGGTTGCTTGTTTGTTTAACTTGAGTTTGTGTGATTTTTGAACCTGAGTTTGTTGTTTCTGAACTTGAGGTTTTGGCAATTGTTGAACTTGAGTCTGTGGTTTTTAGTGAACTTTAGTTGGTTGCAATTGTTGAACATGAGTTTATGGCGTTTGTTGAACTTGAGTTTGTGATGTGTTTTAACTTGAGTTTGTGTTATTTCTGAACTTGAGGTTGTGGCAATTTCTAAACTTGAGATTTGGGTGTTGGTTGAACTTAAAAGTTTGACATTTGTTGAACATGAGTTTATGGCGTTTGTTGAACTTGAGTTTGTGTCGTGTTTGAACTTGAAGTTATGGTGTTTTTGAACTCGAGTTTTTGTGTTTGTTGAACTTGAGTTTGTGTGTTTTTTAAACTTGAGTTTGTTGTTTCTTAACTTGAGGTTGTGGCAATTGTTGAACTTGAGTCTGTTGTTTTTAGTGAACTTTAGTTGGTGGCAATTGTTGAACTTGAGTTTGTGGCATTTGTTAAACTTGAGTTTGTGACGTGTTTAAACATGATTTTGTGTTGTTTTTGAACTCGAGTTTGTGGTGTTTTTGAACTTGAGGTTGTGGAAATTGTTAAACTTGAGAATTGGGTATTGGTTGAACTTGAGTTTGTGTTGTTTTTGAATTTAAGTTTGTGTAGTGTTTGAACTTGAGTTTGTGGTGTTTTTTGAGCTTGAGGTTGTGGTGTTTTTGAACTTGAGTTTGTGGCGTGTTTGAACTTGAGGTTGTGGAAATTGTTAAACTTGAGATTTGGGTGTTGATTGACTTGAGTTTGTTTCGTGTTTGATCTTGAGGTTGTGGTGTTTTTGAACTTGAGGTTGTGGAAATTGTTAAACTTGAGAATCAGGTGTTGGTTGAACTTGAGTTTGTGTGTTTGTTGAACTTGAGTTTTTGTCGTTGTTGAACTTGAGTTTGTGGTGTTTTTGAACTTGAGTTTGTGTGTTTGTTGAACTTGAGTTTGTGGTGTTTTTGAACTTGAGTTTGTTGTTTTTGAACTTGAGATTGCGGAAATTGTTAAACTTGAGATTTGGGTGTTGGTTGAACTTAAAAGTTTGACATTTGTTGAACTTGAGTTTGTGTCGTGTTTGAACTTGAGGTTGTGGTGTTTTTGAACTTGAGGTTGCTTGTTTGTTGAACTTGAGTTTGTGTGATTTTTGAACCTGGGTTTATTGTTTCTGAACTTGAGGTTGTGGCAATTGTTGAACTTGAGTCTGTGGTTTTTAGTGAACTTTAGTTTGTTACAATTGTTGAACATGAGTTTGTGCAGTTTTTTGAAATTGAGTTTGTGATGTGTTTGAATTTGAGTTTGTGTTGTTTTTGAACTTGAGGTTGTGGCAATTACTAAACTTGGGATTTGGGTGCTGGTTGAACTTAAAACTTTGACATTTGTTGAACTTGAGTTTGTGTTTTTTGTTGAACTTGAGTTTGTGTCGTGTTTGAACTTGAGGTTGTGGTGTTTTTTGAGCTTGATTTTGTGGTGTTTGTTGAACTTGAGTTTTTGGTGTGTTTGAACTTGAGTTTGTGGTGTTTTTTGAACTTGAGGTATTGGCGTTTTTGAACTTGACCTTGTGGAAATTTTTGAACTTTAGGATCGGGTGTTGGTTGAACTTGAGTTTGTGGTGTTTGTTGAACTTGAGTTTGTGTCGTGTTTGAACTTGAGTTTGTGGTGTTTTTGAACTTGAGTTTGTGGTGTTTTTGAACTTGAGGTTATGGAAATTGTTAAACCTAAGAATTGGGTATTGCTTGAACTTAAGTTTGTGTTGTTTTTGAACTTGAGGTTATGTAGTGTTTGAACTTGAGTTTGTGGTGTTTTTTGAGCTTGAGGTTGTGGTGTTTTTGAACTTGAGTTTGTGGCATGTTTGAACTTGAGGTTGTGGAAATTGTTAAACTTGAGATTTAGGTGTTGATTGAACTTGAGTTTGTTTCGTGTTTGATCTTGAGGTTGTGGTGTTTTTGAACTTGAGGTTGCTTGTTTGTTTAACTTAAGTTTGTGTTTTTTTTTTAACTTGAGTTTGTTGTTTCGGATCTTGAGGTTTTGGCAATTGTTGAACTTGAGTCTTTGGTTTTTAGTTAACTTTAGTTGGTTGCAATTGTTGAACATGAGTTTATGGCGTTTGTTGAACTTGAGTTTGTAACGTGTTTGAACTTGAGTTTGTGTTATTTTTTAACTTGAGGTTGTGGCAATTTCTAAAATTGAGATTTGGGTGTTGGTTGAACTTAAAAGTTTGACATTTGTTGAACTTCAGTTTGTGTTTTTTGTTGAACTTGAGTTTGTGTCGTGTTTGAACTTGAGGTTGTGGTGTTTTTGAACTTGAGTTTTTGTGTTTGTTGAACTTCAGTTTTTGGCATGTTTGAACTTGAGTTTGTGTTTTTTTTAACTTGAGGTTGTGGTTTTTTGAACTTCAGTTTGTGGAAATTTTTAAACTTGAGGATTGGGTGGTGGTTGAACTTGAGTTTGTGGTGTTTTTTGAACTTGAGGTTGTGGTGTTTTTGACTTGAGTTCGTGGCGTGTTTGAACTTAAGGTTGTTGCAATTGTTAAACTTGAGATTTGGGTGTTGGTTGAACTTTAAACTTTGCCATTTGTTGAACTTGAGTTTGTGGTGTTTGTTGAACTCCAGCTTGTGTTGTGTTTGAACTTGAGTTTGTGTGTTTTTTGAACTTGAGTTTGTGGCGTGTTTGAACTTGAGTTTGTGGTGGTTTTTGAACTTGAGGTTGTGAAAATTGTTAAAACTTGAGAATCAGGTGTTGGTTGAACTTGAGTTTGTGGTTTTTGTTGAACTTGATTTTGTGCTTTGTTTGAACTTTAGTTTATGGCTTTTTTTGTACTTGAGTTTGTGTTGTTTTTGAACTTGAGGTTGTGGAAATTGTAAAAACTTGAGAATCAGGTTTTTGTTGAACTTGAGTTTGTGTCGTTTTTGAGCTTGAGGTTGTGGTGTTTTTGAACTTGAGTTTGCGTGTTTGTTGAACTTGAGTTTGTGTCGTGTTTGAACGTGAGTTTGTGGTGTTTTTTGAACTTGAGGTATTGGCGTTTTTGAACTTGACCTTGTGGAAATTTTTGAACTTTAGGATCGGGTGTTGGTTGAATTTGAGTTTGTGGTGTTTGTTGAACTTGAGTTTGTGTCGTGTTTGAACTTGAGTTTGTGGTGTTTTTGAACTTGAGTTTGTGGTGTTTTTGAACTTGAGGTTATGGAAATTGTTAAACCTAAGAATTGGGTATTGGTTGAACTTGAGTTTGTGTTGTTTTTGAACTTGAGTTTGTGTAGTGTTTGAACTTGAGTTTGTGGTGTTTTTTGAGCTTTAGGTTGTGGTGTTTTTGAACTTGAGTTTGTGGCGTGTTTGAACCTGAGGTTGTGGAAATTGTTAAACTTGAGATTTGGGTGTTGATTGAACTTGAGTTTGTTTCGTGTTTGATCTTGAGGTTGTGGTGTTTTTGAACTTGAGGTTGCTTGTTTGTTTAACTTGAGTTTGTGTGATTTTTGAACCTGAGTTTGTTGTTTCTGAACTTGAGGTTTTGGCAATTGTTGAACTTGAGTCTGTGGTTTTTAGTGAACTTTAGTTGGTTGCAATTGTTGAACATGAGTTTATGGCGTTTGTTGAACTTGAGTTTGTGATGTGTTTTAACTTGAGTTTGTGTTATTTCTGAACTTGAGGTTGTGGCAATTTCTAAACTTGAGATTTGGGTGTTGGTTGAACTTAAAAGTTTGTCATTTGTTGAACATGAGTTTATGGCGTTTGTTGAACTTGAGTTTGTGTCGTGTTTGAACTTGAAGTTATGGTGTTTTTGAACTCGAGTTTTTGTGTTTGTTGAACTTGAGTTTGTGTGTTTTTTAAACTTGAGTTTGTTGTTTCTTAACTTGAGGTTGTGGCAATTGTTGAACTTGAGTCTGTTGTTTTTAGTGAACTTTAGTTGGTGGCAATTGTTGAACTTGAGTTTGTGGCATTTGTTAAACTTGAGTTTGTGACGTGTTTAAACATGATTTTGTGTTGTTTTTGAACTCGAGTTTGTGGTGTTTTTGAACTTGAGGTTGTGGAAATTGTTAAACTTGAGAATTGGGTATTGGTTGAACTTGAGTTTGTGTTGTTTTTGAATTTAAGTTTGTGTAGTGTTTGAACTTGAGTTTGTGGTGTTTTTTGAGCTTGAGGTTGTGGTGTTTTTGAACTTGAGTTTGTGGCGTGTTTGAACTTGAGGTTGTGGAAATTGTTAAACTTGAGATTTGGGTGTTGATTGACTTGAGTTTGTTTCGTGTTTGATCTTGAGGTTGTGGTGTTTTTGAACTTGAGGTTGTGGAAATTGTTAAACTTGAGAATCAGGTGTTGGTTGAACTTGAGTTTGTGTGTTTGTTGAACTTGAGTTTTTGTCGTTGTTGAACTTGAGTTTGTGGTGTTTTTGAACTTGAGTTTGTGTGTTTGTTGAACTTGAGTTTGTGGTGTTTTTGAACTTGAGTTTGTTGTTTTTGAACTTGAGATTGCGGAAATTGTTAAACTTGAGATTTGGGTGTTGGTTGAACTTAAAAGTTTGACATTTGTTGAACTTGAGTTTGTGTCGTGTTTGAACTTGAGGTTGTGGTGTTTTTGAACTTGAGGTTGATTGTTTGTTGAACTTGAGTTTGTGTGATTTTTGAACCTGGGTTTATTGTTTCTGAACTTGAGGTTGTGGCAATTGTTGAACTTGAGTCTGTGGTTTTTAGTGAACTTTAGTTTGTTACAATTGTTGAACATGAGTTTGTGCAGTTTTTTGAAATTGAGTTTGTGATGTGTTTGAATTTGAGTTTGTGTTGTTTTTGAACTTGAGGTTGTGGCAATTACTAAACTTGGGATTTGGGTGCTGGTTGAACTTAAAACTTTGACATTTGTTGAACTTGAGTTTGTGTTTTTTGTTGAACTTGAGTTTGTGTCGTGTTTGAACTTGAGGTTGTGGTGTTTTTTGAGCTTGATTTTGTGGTGTTTGTTGAACTTGAGTTTTTGGTGTGTTTGAACTTGAGTTTGTGGTGTTTTTTGAACTTGAGGTATTGGCGTTTTTGAACTTGACCTTGTGGAAATTTTTGAACTTTAGGATCGGTTGTTGGTTGAACTTGAGTTTGTGGTGTTTGTTGAACTTGAGTTTGTGTCGTGTTTGAACTTGAGTTTGTGGTGTTTTTGAACTTGAGTTTGTGGTGTTTTTGAACTTGAGGTTATGGAAATTGTTAAACCTAAGAATTGGGTATTGCTTGAACTTAAGTTTGTGTTGTTTTTGAACTTGAGTTTGTGTAGTGTTTGAACTTGAGTTTGTGGTGTTTTTTGAGCTTGAGGTTGTGGTGTTTTTGAACTTGAGTTTGTGGCATGTTTGAACTTGAGGTTGTGGAAATTGTTAAACTTGAGATTTAGGTGTTGATTGAACTTGAGTTTGTTTCGTGTTTGATCTTGAGGTTGTGGTGTTTTTGAACTTGAGGTTGCTTGTTTGTTTAACTTAAGTTTGTGTTTTTTTTTAACTTGAGTTTGTTGTTTCGGATCTTGAGGTTTTGGCAATTGTTGAACTTGAGTCTTTGGTTTTTAGTTAACTTTAGTTGGTTGCAATTGTTGAACATGAGTTTATGGCGTTTGTTGAACTTGAGTTTGTAACGTGTTTGAACTTGAGTTTGTGTTATTTTTTAACTTGAGGTTGTGGCAATTTCTAAAATTGAGATTTGGGTGTTGGTTGAACTTAAAAGTTTGACATTTGTTGAACTTCAGTTTGTGTTTTTTGTTGAACTTGAGTTTGTGTCGTGTTTGAACTTGAGGTTGTGGTGTTTTTGAACTTGAGTTTTTGTGTTTGTTGAACTTCAGTTTTTGGCATGTTTGAACTTGAGTTTGTGTTTTTTTTAACTTGAGGTTGTGGTTTTTTGAACTTCAGTTTGTGGAAATTTTTAAACTTGAGGATTGGGTGGTGGTTGAACTTGAGTTTGTGGTGTTTTTTGAACTTGAGGTTGTGGTGTTTTTGACTTGAGTTCGTGGCGTGTTTGAACTTAAGGTTGTTGCAATTGTTAAACTTGAGATTTGGGTGTTGGTTGAACTTTAAACTTTGCCATTTGTTGAACTTGAGTTTGTGGTGTTTGTTGAACTCCAGCTTGTGTTGTGTTTGAACTTGAGTTTGTGTGTTTTTTGAACTTGAGTTTGTGGCGTGTTTGAACTTGAGTTTGTGGTGGTTTTTGAACTTGAGGTTGTGAAAATTGTTAAAACTTGAGAATCAGGTGTTGGTTGAACTTGAGTTTGTGGTTTTTGTTGAACTTGAGTTTGTGTCGTGTTTGAACTTTAGTTTATGGCTTTTTTTGTACTTGAGTTTGTGTTGTTTTTGAACTTGAGGTTGTGGAAATTGTAAAAACTTGAGAATCAGGTTTTTGTTGAACTTGAGTTTGTGTCGTTTTTGAGCTTGAGGTTGTGGTGTTTTTGAACTTGAGTTTGCGTGTTTGTTGAACTTGAGTTTGTGTGTTTTTTAACTTGAGTTTGTTGTTTCTGAACTTGAGGTTGTGGCAATTGTTGAACTTGAGTCTGTTGTTTTTAGTGAACTTTAGTTGGTGGCAATTGTTGAACTTGAGTTTGTGGCATTTGTTGAACTTGAGTTTGTGACGTGTTTAAACATGATTTTGTGGTGTTTTTGAACTCGAGTTTGTGGTGTTTTTGAACTTGAGGTTGTGGAAATTGTTAAACTTGAGAATTGGGTATTGGTTGAACTTGAGTTTGTGTTGTTTTTGAACTTAAGTTTGTGTAGTGTTTGAACTTGAGTTTGTGGTGTTTTTTGAGCTTGATTTTGTGGTGTTTTTGAACTCGAGTTTGTGGTGTTTTTGAACTTGAGTTTGTGGTGTTTGTTGAACTTGAGTTTGTGTCGTGTTTGAACTTGAGGTTGTGGTGTTTTTTAACTTGAGTTTGTGTGTTTGTTGAACTTGAGTTTGTGGTGTTTTTGAACTTGAGTTTGTGTTTTTTAAACTTGAGGTTGTGGAAATATTTAAACTTGAGAATTGGATATTGGAGAGGTGAAGTCTGACATGCCGTGTGTCAATTTAACTGGTGTTAAGTTAACTGGTGACACTCCGAGCAGATGTTCAAGAGGCGTGACTTTTGAGGGCCTTTGTTTACATTCCATCTATCACTCACCGTCTAACTACACACTCGTACCGATGTATCCAATTAAAGGGCCTTTTGAGACATACATGTTAGGGAGAATGAGTTTATTGGGTCAAAGATGAAGATGCAAGCACGAAACATAAGAAGAATGAAATCGGTGATTGTGCAAATGCCTGTTCAAAATATAGCCGACACCGAGAGAGAAATTTAACAAACTTTTTCATTGTGAGAGGAACTTATTTCACGGTATCTTTATGATCATTAGGTGCGTGGGTAGTACTCACAGTACCACAGGTGGTGTGAAAATGTTTGTGGGATGCATTTAAATACAGCGCGAGGTCAGGTGTACTCTCCATGTTACCTGTGTTATCTCGTGACAGCCTATACACCTCGCTTGTTGGTTTTATTTAATGTGTCTGTAGATGTCTCCACAATTATGAGCCACGCTTTAAAGAAGTAGAAACGAAACGCTTGGTGTTAACAGAGATATATTACAAATATTTCCTCCTTTAATGTGGAAAAGCGTCCGCTGTCACCACTCGTACTGATCCCAGTCAACGTGAATGAAATCAAACCGCAGATCGCGGCTATCCGTTATAGCAGACTTTATACCCCTCATTGTTTTCATCACTGATCGATGGATTTGGGATATTTTGCAAATAAAGGGCCATGAACACAGTGAGAAACAGACAAAATGGTCATAGAGATCCTTTAAAAATACATGGCACAGAGACAGAATCACTGCAGTCTCTGTCCATGTTAACCTGTGACTGTACCTGTGGTCCTTTTACTCACTCACTTATAGCATGGAGACGTGGACTCTCCACATTTTATCTGCAGTGGACTAAGAATATTCTAATTTCTAAGTCATCTGCAGGCTTCTGTTGCACAATGTATTCAAGTAGCTCAATAAATGAGAATATGTTTATTCTTTTTTGTTGAGGAGCACCTCTACTGTATGCGGTTAGCTTGCTTCTGTGCAGCTCACAGCTAGAACACTGCAGCAGCATGCCTTGATGTTGAATTTTGTGTATGTTGTTGCAAAGTTTTTTTTAGGGGTACAGTATCTGTCGAGGCAAATCTCAGGCTGTGTCCGAAATGGCATACTGCCTACTGTCTACTTAACTACTCAAGCAGTACATACTGCATACTGCATACTCAAAGATGATTTGAGTATGCCGCAGCTGACCGAGCGTTTACACACATACATACTAAATACCCCAGAATGCATTTCGTGCCAGCCAGAAGCAGCGCCGGGAAAATTTAAATAGTCCTACCGCAAGCTTCAAAAACGACTGCATTTCGGACAAACTGTATAAATTCAGTCAGTCAAAACATTTCTTCAAGCGAGAAACTAAGTGTTTACATCACGATTATGAGCCCAGTTGTTTGAAATAGCGGCTGTTTGCAAATTTGTCTCTGCGTTTTCGGAGACCGAAACATCCGCTTGGTGGGTGTTTGCGTCAGGGCCGGATTATGGGGGGTCTGGGCCTCGGGGCCGGGAGTTTGCAAAGCACCCCCCACCCCCCCACCCCTTCCTTCTTGCAAAGTCGTCCACTAACTCATCAAAGTTGAGCTGTCGAACAAACTCTGATTCTATTGCAAGAAGGGAGAGTGAATTCAACCCATTTTGGCACATTCTCATCCTGAGCTCATTTTTTATTCGAGCCAGTCTGGAGAATGACCGTTACCCTTCACAGTTTGTTATTGGCAGGGTCAAAAACAGTCTGAGTGCTATGTAAACTTTTCGGAAAGCATTTTTGTTCTTCTGAAATGAATGATTTGTACTGAACAAGTTCATCTGCCAAGCTCATGGTCAGATCAGTGGGATATGCTGCAGCTAGAGATTCTGCCCTTAAAGTGAGCTCACTGTTGGACATATTATCAGGCATGAAAAGAACATGAAAAGGATTGGTCAAGTGTGTGTATGAAGTTAACCGATGGTTAAGACAGGACACAAGTTTGTCAAATAGAACACTGAACGTTTCAATCTGAAATTGTTCTTTTCCACCAAATTCAACACCTGGTTCTGCACTTTCATCAGCCATACATTTGCGCTTCTTTGTGCGCTGGAGGTCATGTCTGTAGTCTTGGGAGACTGAGTCGGTAACAGTTAAAGCTGACCCTTCAAAAAAGGCAAAATTGTCTCTCTGTGCTGCCACAAAGTCACAAAGTGAAAGGAGAAGCTGTGTAGCCATGTGTATGTCAATGTCATGTTTCTGCAACTGCAGGCTCGTGGCTCGGAACTGCTGTACTATTGTATCCCAAAAGTGTGCCATGAAAGCTATCTCTAGGGTGTCTCTAGGGTTCACATTTCTCCTGTGAGTCTTTGGAAATATTGTTCAATGCCTCTCTCAATTGTGTAATAATATATAATATATAATGCATAATAATGCATTTCTCAATTATTTGAACAAAGTAAAACTTATTCAAACCTTTCTGATACTTAAAAAATTTCTAATACTTGAGGATTTTTAATTATCAAAATTTTCCCTGTTTAAAATAGTTTTAGTATTTATGCATTATTCACCCCTTAAACAAAATCCCACTTCTTCTACTACAACTCCTGCTAATATCAATTAAACCAGTACTTTGACTTCTATTTCAACTACTATTGCTACTATTTCTACTTTCTCTACTGCTATTTCTACCACTAGCTCTACTACTTTGACTTCTCCTATTCTCCAACTATTTCTACTGCTTACATGACTACTAATATCACTACATGACTACTAATATCACTACTATGACTACTTATCATGCTACCACTAGAACAACAAATAAAACTTATGCCACTTCTCACCTTCCTGCCTTTTAAGGTAATTTACTTCTTCATTCAAACTTTGTGCAATTTCAGTCATTTTTCTGGCCTCTTTCAGCATGAATAAAATTTCAATTCATGGAGTATATTCATACTGTTTGTCCTTCAACCATTTTCACAATTATTCAACTTATATTTCTTTTTCACTGGCCTCTTTCAGCATGAATAAAATTTCAATTCATGGAGCATATTCATACTGTTTGTCCTTCAACCATTTTCACAATTATTCAACTTATATTTCTTTTTCACCCCTTCAACAGCTTTTACATTAATATCTTTCTCAGTGTTCTATTAGCAGTTTAGCATTGCTTTTTCAGGTTTCAGCACTCAGCATTTCCACGCATTTTCTGCAAGGAAATGCAATTTTTCTCGTTCCACTTAGACTTCCAGATTTGTTACAATAGCCCTTACAATGGCTTTAAGTCTAGTTAAGGTACACGATTATTACAATACAATACAATGTAAATGTCAATGAGCTTTTTAATAGGGTGTTGGATGCTAAATCTGATAGTCTAGGAAAGGTTTTAATGTAAGAATGTTGTTAGGAGTTTTGATAAATGGATTTAACAATATTGGATTTTCACTTAAACTATCAAAATTTCTGCCATGTGAGGAGTTTTGATAAAAGCAATGCCAAGTGTAATGTGGGAGTGTTGTACTGATATTGGATTTTCACTTGGACTTCACTTGGTTGGCATTGGTGTTTACAGTACACCCCTTTACGGTGGGGACATAAGGAAGCGAAATCTGCAAAGTGAAGCGGGGCGAAACTCAGTGTTCTGAAGGTGAATATCTACCAGTCTACTACTCTCCTCGAAGTAACTATAGGTTATAATGACACGTGAATCTGCTGTGTATTGTGACTGGACCACTGTACAGCCTGCCCCTGAGTCTAGCTCGGCTATTGCACACTCACTTCACGATATGGTTGCGACGCGCAATAAATTTGCGTGGAGTTGGAGATTTCTGAACTTTTGGACGTGTCGCAATGACAGTTTCGATGCACTCCAAGGACCATGTCGTATTGTGTACACACAATACTGTGGGGGAGCAAAACCACTTCTCATAGAAAATAGGTCCAGCTTCTACTAGCTGTCTACTGGGGCCAGCGTTAGGCTCAGGATATGCTTGCCGTGTGCACATTTCATGCCTGAATGCGTTGCCATGCATATTTTATGTCCATGTTACGCATAATAGCACACCTGAACACAAGGTATGCAGACATGTGCACATGTTGCAATATTGAAAGCGAGGGGCGATCTTCCAAACTTCCATGTTGAGCTCGTGGTAGAGTCAAACAGTGGTGGAAAATATTAATGAGAGCCTGGTTGGCTACTTTTTTTAGCGACTTTTGGCCGTCTCTGGCAACTAAAACCTCATCTAGCGACTTAGCGGCTTTTTAGGTGAATCTTGCGACTCTAAAAAAACACATCTCTCAAGTGTCAAAATCATTGTTTTTCATTCCAACTTCAGCTCTGCACCGCCACCAGAAGCTTATTTCATGGTGGAGCAGCACTGCGCATTAGCCCCGATCTCGAAACTGTACCCTTTGGGATTGTCAACATAGCCATGTAGACACATTTTCTTGAGCTCAGTGAGTCGTGTCTGATGTTATGACATCAAAGTAACGTCATGACGTAATCTAGCGACTTTTCAGAGAACCAATAGCGACTTTTGGTGATTTGTTTTTGGCAACACTACGAGTATCGTGCATAGTGCTCTGATCGTTCTGCTGCAAGTATGTGCGGTTGCACACGTAAATTAAGTCACTTTAAGGGGGCCAGATATGCCCTATAGCAGTGTGAGTAGTCATAAGACCCTAGAGAATAGAGGCCCTCTGACATCGCAATTGGCATCGGCATCTACATTGCTTTGCGCCCCCCCCCCCCCCGGACACTTGGGCGCTGGCCCCACTGGCCCGGTCCGTAATACGGCCCTGGTTTGCGTCTACATGCCGTAAACACCGGGCAGCAGCAGCTCCCCCTTCACGTTTCCAAATTATTGAGGTGTTTTCATAATCAACAGCGACACGACACAAACTAAGCGGCAGTGGATTAATAAAAAATACGCAAACACCTGTGTATCCATGGTGATAATGCTATACACCACCTGCTTGGTGTGTGATGAGCAGCATAGGGCTGCAAAATGACCAACACACAACATAATTATGACCTTGTTCGGTTATTCCTTGGCAAATACATTTGTTCCCGACTACATTCTTCTCATGTAAAATGATAATTTCAGAAACCAACGGGTAGTTCTGCCTGGTGTAGGCTGAAAACCATGGAGCGCCGCCATGCAAGGAGATGAAGGCGTCTTTTCTTCAGGGCAGCTATGTACTTCCTAATGGATTTTCAACCACAAGTAAGAATCAGTAAAGCTCACATATACATTGTCAAATGGAAACTACCCCGTTTGTATATTCTGAACCATGTGCTCTCTACCAATAATAATTTTTATTAATCAGAGGTCTGTGCTTAATATGAGTGACCACTTTGATGATGCATTCAGAGATGAGAAGATGCTCAAAGTTGTTGTAATAAATACATCTTTAATAGACACTTAAATAAATAAAGTCAATTCATACGAATAGTTGAAAACATTACCTACAATCCTAATTTAAAACACAAATAAATCTGGTAAAAAGATTAAAGAAAATATTATTATTGCAATAACATGCCACCAATGTTTTTCAGCCTCGGGAAAGAGGGCCATATTGCCAGATTAATCATCATGTCCCTCTGGTACGCCTGTACTTTGAGGGGGGTGACCTGTGGAAGGACTTCAGGCTGACCAGGCCCTCCCTGGAGCACCTCATCCACCTCCTCCAAGGGGACCATTACCATGGATGGGGGAAGGCACTCGAGGTGCTTGATTTTGTTTACTGGCTTGCCTGTGGCACATCATATTGGGTTGTGTCAGAGACCTTCGACATCCCTCGTTCGACGTGCCACGATATGGTCCACAGGGTCAGCAGCGACATCCAGCAAGTTTTCCGGAGATTCATGCATTTGCCCAACAGGGCTGAGTTGGAGGAAATTGGGGCTGGGTTCCAGCAGTTGGCTGGTCACCCAGCTTTCTGCAAAGTGGCAGGAAGCATCGACGGATGTCATGTCCGTATTGTGCCCCCTGGACAGTTTGGAGCAGACTTTTTTAACAGAAAACTGTCCCACTCTGTCCAGTTTCAGGCCATTGTGGACCACAAAGGACGCTTCCTGGATGTGCACGTCGGTTTCCCTGGCTCCTTGCACGATTCGCGGGTCCTCGGGTGCAGCCCTGTGTACGTGCACCAGCTGTACCCTCCTCCAGGATGGTACCTATTAGGGGATGGGGGTTATCCCTGCATTTCAGAACCACTCACACTTATCAGCCCATTCAGGGAGTCTTTGAGGAATCCCACCCAAGAGAGGTTCAATGCCAGGCATTCTCGGGCCAGGAGTGTGGTGGAGAGGGCATTTGGAGTACTGAAAACCAGGTAGCGCTCCATATTTCTCAAGGCCCTGGAGGTGAAGTTGACTTTGTTTCGGAGGTCATTGTAGACTGCCTTTTCCTCCACAACCTCTGCCTCGGGCACAGGGACATTTTGGAGCCAGAGGACGGTGAAGAGGTTGATGGGGATGATAACTGTCTGGTGGCAGCTCATGACCTGGCCCAACAGACTGGTGATGCCTTCAGGGATCGGATGGCAGCAGCAATATCAGTTCCTGAGGAGCAGATCCCTGCTCTGAGGGAGCATGATTATTAATGAGCGTTGTAATAATAGTCATTGTGAATAGTTAATGTTATTGTTAGTTATATTGTACTCAACTCAACTCAAACTTTATTTATAGAGCACTTTAAAAACAACCGAAGCTGACCAAGGTGCTGTACACGTCAATAAGGCACAGCAAAATACATAAAACAGACGGTAAACAATATGATAAAAAACACAGAATACAAGATTAAAATACAACAAAGTAAAATTGAGTTACAAATACACCATAAATAAAAACAAATATAAAATACGTAAGTAGATAAAAAACAAATATAAAATACCAATCAAGAGCTAGGTATAAGCTAGGGAGAAAAAGTGTGTTTTTAAAGAGGATTAAAAAACCTCTATCGACTCAGCTGAACGGATGTGCTGAGGCAGGCTGTTCCAGAGCCTAGGAGCAGCTGCCCCAAAGGCTCAGTCACCTTTACTCTTTAGGCGAGTCTTCGGGACAACCAATAGCCGCTGATTGGCAGATCTCAGTGCTCTAGCGGGGGCATGAATGTGTAAGAGCTCAGACAAATACCCGGGGGCCAGTCCATTAAGAGCTTTAAAAACAAACAATAAAATCTTAAAATTTATTCTAAAAGAGACTGGGAGCCAATGGAGAGAAGCGAGCACAGGGGTTATATGTTCTCTTTTACGTTTCCTAGTAAGGAGGCGGGCAGCTGCATTTTGCACCAGCTGAAGTCGATGGAGCAGGTTTTGATCCAAGTCAAAATACAGGGAGTTGCAGTAATCTAATCTGGAATTGATAAAAGCATGTATAACTGTCTCTAAGTCTCTTCGAGAGAGGTAACCCTTTACCTTAGACAGAGTTCTCAATTGGAAAAAGCTATTTTTAACCACAGAGTTGACTTGCTTGTCGAGTTTAAAATTACTGTCAAAGGTCACGCCAAGGTTCTTTACCGATGCACGGACATTCTGTATGAGAGGGCCTAGATAATTGGCTGGGAAGTCAGATGGGTTACAGCCAAATAATATAGCCTCCGTTTTGGTTTCATTCAGATGTAGGAAGTTTTTTCCGCCAACCAAGATTTAACTTCTTAAAAAACAGTCCAGCAGCGTCTGTACAGAGTCATTATTTGAGGGGTTAAAGGTAAATCTGTACGTTGTCGGCATAGCAGTGGAAAGAAAGTTTGTATTTACGGAAGATTGAGCCCAGCGGCAACATGTACAATAAAAATAAAATCAGTCCTAAAATTGAACCTTGGGGTACTCCAGAGGTGAGTGGGGCTGCAGTTGAAGCGAATTCCCCTAGCTGCACAGAAAAACTGCGTTCATTTAAATAGGAACGGAACCACAGAAGGGCAGTGCCTGTTATGCCTACCCACTGCTCTAGCCGATCTAAAAGGATATGATGATCTACTGTGTCGAACGCAGCTGTTAAATCAAGGAGCACTAGGAGGGCAGGGTTACCTGAGTCAACAGTTAAAATCAGATCGTTAAAAACTCTCAGAAGTGCGGATTCAGTGCTATGGCGTGGTTTGAAACCGGACTGAAAGTATTCATAGATGTCATTCGACATAAGAAATGATTTTAACTGATCAAAAACCACCTTTTCTAGGATTTTTGATAAAAAACGCAATTTAGAGATTGGCCTGAAGTTAGACAAATCAGAAGGGTCCAGGTTTTTCTTTTTAATAAGAGGCTGTACAACTGCATGTTTAAAAGCAGCAGGGACAGACCCTTTGCTGAGGGAGGTATTAATCAGTAAAAAAAATTGTAGAACCCACACTGCTGAATACTTCTTTAAAAAGACGAGAGGGGATGCTGTCAGAGGGACAGTTTGTGGGCTGCAGTTGTGAAACTACATCAGACAGTGGGGAGAGGGATATGGGCTCAAACTGATCAAAGACAGCGGTTAAAAAAGGGGCCATGGGATCTGGACCAGAGGCTGGACCATGAGCAGCGGGAGTGGAGGTAGGTGGCCTGAGAGCAGAAATTCTATCAATAAAATGTTTCAAAGATTTTTCACAAACAGTTGGCGATGAGTCAATAGGGGTGTTATCACATGGATTGACAAGGGAGTTGAAAATATTAAAAAGAACTTGGGGCTTGCAACAATTTGTGGAGACAAGATTCGAGAAATATCCCATTTTAGCTGTCCTAACAGCACTCTGATAGGCACACAGACTATCATGGAGAGCTTGTTTAGAGACATGAAGCTTGTCTTTCTTCCACTTTCTCTCGGCGCACCGGCATGCACGTCTGAGAGTGCGCGTGGAGTCATTTAGCCACGGTTCAGAAAGTGTCTTGGTGCGTTTTAGTCTAAAAGGGTCAACATTGTCCAAGATAGTCGTGCAGGTAGCATTAAAAAGGGTTAAAAGCTCATCAGCGCAGGGAGTGACACTGTCATTCAGCATGTTAAACATCAGCCCAGATGTTTCAGAATGATATAAGGCTGAGAACTGCAATGCAGTCTGGCGGCTGATTGTGCGCAGATGGTGCGGGGCAGTACAGGTATTAACATGTGGGCATGGGATGGATACAGTGAATAGCACAGGCAGATGGTCAGAGATTCAGGCTGTCTCACATATTTCGTTGCTACACACAGATATGCTATGGGATAACACCAGATCTAGAGTATGACCTTTCTCGTGAGTCGGGCCTTTGACAGACTGAACGAGGTTAAAAGCTACAAGGAGATTTTAAAAAATCATTGGATAGAGGTCTTGATTCACAACAAACATGGATACTGAAATCACCACAAATTAAAAGATTGTCATATTTTACAGTAACTCCTGACAGAAATTCTGCATAGTCACTAATAAACTCCTTGTTGAATTTGGGAGGGCGATAAATGACCACAAACAAAACGGGGGAGGATAGGTGTAACTCAAACATCTGCAGTTCAAAGCTGGAGAATGTATCTGAAGGAGGCTGACGACACTTAAAACTGGATTTAAACACGGAGGCAAGACCTCCACCTCTACCAGAGCTCCGAGGGGAGCTAAAGAACAGACAGTCAGGGGAAAGAAGCTCAGAGAATGGAGTGCCATCACCATCCTTGAGCCAAGTCTCTGTCAAGAGCATAAAATCCAGGTTCCGTGTGGTGAAAAAGTAATTCAATATAAATGTTTTGTTTGCCAGTGACCTAATATTTAATAAGGCAATATCTAAAGTGGACTCTACGTCAGCTGATGGCGCTGCATGTTTGAGAGGCCGTAGCAAAATTTGTGAAACGCCACCTCTATGGTTGCTCAGTTTGGGGCGACTAGTGCTTTTAGTTTCTTTGCAGCCTAAAGTGGGTAATTGCGGAAAAGACCGATAGAGGGAGCTAGAGGGAGGAATTGATGGCGCTTGATTGTTGTCAGTGTACAGCAGAGCATGGGGAGGTCCGCAGGTGATGGCAATGACGATGACGAGGAAGGAGCTAGTCACACACCGGGAGACAGGTGGTGAGACGCCACAGCTTGTTGTATGTTAGCCGCCAGCAAGCGGCTAGTGGAGGCCGTCGCGAGCAAATACAGAGGAGTGGGACCAGAAGGAGTTCAAGTTATAGATGAAGTTTATTTTGTGAGTGCTGCATATGGATTCCAGCCAGGCGTGAAGGTAGCGGAGGCGGCTGAAACGCTCATCCCCACAGGCCAGAGTGGGAATTGGGCCGGAGATAAAGATGGACTTTCTTCTGCTAATGAGGAGATCAAAAAGGACAATAAAATTAGCCTTGGTGAACTCAGACTGTCGCCGGGTTACGTCACATGTGCCAACATGAACGATAATTTTAGTGATGGATGGTGGAAGGGAAGCTATGATGCTGGGAAGTTGGTCGAGGATATGGACAGTTGTGGCACCAGGAATACAGTGGGTGATTGCATTGAAAAAACGGACATTCCTTACCAGCGAGTCCCCGATGATAAGCACTGTTGGAGAAAAAAGAGGAGTTGGGGCAGGCGGCTGAACCAGGTGTTTGGAACCAAGTGCAGTGGAGGCTAAAGCTGGAGGGGGAGCAGAAGATGGAGAGAGGAGTGATTTTGTGACTTTTTGTCCTCAAGAGACTGACTTAGTTCCAACAGGAGCTTAGACTGGGAGATATGTTTTCGTGATGGCGGCAGGGATGGAGACGGGTGGACTGAGCAGGAGACAGGCGCTCTTTTTGGTGCTGGTGTGAACTGTGGCAATGAGCGGCGGGTCGGGCGCTGGGGTTTGGCTGGAGGAGAGACGGGGTGAATTATTATGACAGTGGGCTGGGAGCTCCTCAGCCAGGAATGATGGAAAGTCACGAAGGACGTCATATTTATTCTGCAGCTTGATGACACGGCTCGGTGGTACACGGGAGGAACGCCTCCCTCCCCGTGTACCATCTCCGATCCGGATCCAAGGAGCTTGATGAGATGGGGTAGAGCTGGCCGGGATCAACTTAGGTCTAGCCCCGAGGCGGATCCAAGAGTTATTGGCTGCTCAGCCGGCAGAGAGTCCACGACAACCGCAGGGCCAACAGCGGGGGCAGCAGGCTCGGTGACCGGAGGAGGAACAGAATCAGTGGTGGGGTTGGTGTGGACTGAACCAAGAATGAAGGTGTCCAAAAACTGCTCGGCCTCTTGGAGCATATACAGATTGGATATTCGATCCTCTTGTTCGGCGATCCTCGCAGTGAGACGGGAACAGCGGACACAGTCCGGCGGGGAGGTGAGTGGAGCCATGAATTACTGAAATGTGTATCTGTGAAACGGAAACAAAAGTGCAGAAAGAAGGCGAGCAGTTGTAGCCATAGGTAGCTGCTAGCAGGGGGGCACAGCACTTACACGCAGGGGCTCCTCTTGTAGTTGTAAATAGTTAGTATTATAGTATATAGTTAGTATTATACTTATTTTATTATAGTTATTATACTGTTTATAGTTATACTAATATTATACTAATTATACTATTATACTTGTACTTATTTTTATACTTATGGTACTTATGGTTATACTTAGGGTTAGTATTATACTTAACTAACTATAGTAAGAAAGTGGTCTGTTGCATGTGAAAAGATGGATGTGGAGCTATATTTGCACAAAAGAAGCATGTTTACACTAATCATAGGTATGTGGGTCATTACACAACTGCTTTGAAATAAATACTATGCAATTCCTGCCTCTATTCCTTTATGTACCGTGCAAATATGTTTAGATTAGTCACGGAACAAGAACAATCTTTTAATTTTATAACTTTAACAAAACCATGAAGCAACAAACTGAAACATTACAAAGAATAAGTGATCAAGATAATACAACAATTTGTGAACTTAAAACTTGGTCTCTAAAATAAATATCAAAACCAAATGAACACATTTAGAATTAAACAGTCATTCAATCATCTCCATCCACCTTTCTTCTCTTGCTCTATTCTCTCTCTCTCCTTTCTTCCATTGCTCTTCTATCCATCCACTCTCTCCACTCCCACTCTCTACTGTCTGTGTTCCTTCTTTCTTCTTCTCTCCACTCTTGCTCTCTTCTTACCCATCTTTCTTCCATCTCTCTCTTTTCCTGCCTCTCCCTCTCCTCTGCCCGACGTTCCCGCTCCTCTGCCTGCTGCAACCCTTGATCCTCCCTCTCCTCAAACTTTTTCAACCACTCCTCAGACCACTCTCTGCTCCTTGAGTCACTTGTTCTCCTCCCTCTCACAGGAGGAGACTCAGAAGTTGGATTTGGAGGAGAGGCCTCTGCTGCTGGTGTCATGGATGAGGTGATAAGGTTGGGCGGTGATATGGTGGGACGGTCCCTCATCACCTCATCCATGATATTAAACCATTTCCAGTTTGCAGCAGTGGCCTCTCCTCCCTCTGTGCTGACCCTGTTGGTGGTGCCTTGAGAACCTGGCAAATGACACACACACAAAGATAATCTGATAACAGAGGTCCCTCTCACACTGACTGTTTAAACTCTGACATAGTCAGATTATATAGTAAAACTTAAAAACATAAGCATTCACTGTATTGGTGCGAAACATAATTACTGAAGTTTTTGTCACACCTCCACCTACCTTGTATTTCTGCTTCAGGTTTTCCCTTTTTTTGGTGGGGAAAACTTGGATCCACCTGGCCCTCCAGCCCATGCTCCTTGATGAAAGCCCTAAACAAGGATGACAAACAAGGGGCAATAAAAAGGGCATATGAACGTGGCAAATGCCTACAAGGTACGTACAGAGTTACCATAATGTGTCCTCAAGTTCTCCAGATTCATATTATTTCTGCATTAGGCGGTAGCTTTTTCCCCATCTTGTAATCAACCCATAGCAACTCTTGTATTATGTTCTGTCGAGTGGTGGGGGGCGTTTGCGGCTCTTAGAATGCTGCTCTGATAACAAAAAAGCTAGAAGCTGACATGGCCAACGTTTGTGCTCCGGTCGGCTCCAGCTGAAGCATGTGTTTACAATAAATAAATCCACGGCGCAACGGTGCATGAACAAAAATTTCTTACTGAAAACCCTTTAGGGCAGCGTTCCTTCTGCCCGTGAAGAGGGCCTCGTTCCTTCCCCGCCACCGGATCAGCCGCTCTGTGTCCTCATCTGGCCCTGAAGGAAAACACAGCAGTATTTAGAATGCGACATCACGGGTCCACATTACCGTTTAGTTGCGGCTACGGCATAAGCTAACGTGCTAACCAATTGGCAGGCTGACTGGTCATTGAGCAGTGCATAAACTCAAACGTCAATACAACTGTTATCTGCGCGATTACGTGCCACAATATAAAGTTAAATAACTTACATTTATGAGCGCTTTGTTGCTGGTGCTGGAAGCAGCTGCCGGCTGTCTCCATTTTGTATTTCGTTTTCTCGCAGCAATAGTCTGCAATGCATTGTGGGGCAGAAGCAGTACGTGACGCAAGCTCCGCTCCATACTCAGAAATCGAAGCCGATTGAGTATACATCCGGGCATTTCTCGCATACACGAAATTCGCATACTGTACAGTGTGAACACACTGCCTACTCAATTCGGGGGCGGGGTTAGTATGAGTAGTAGGAGTAGTATGCCATTTTCGGACACAGCCACAGCCTGTGGCTGTGGCTCATTTCAGAGACCGCATCGGGATAAGCGCACTTAGCTGAGCGCACTGCCGTTTTGTGCTGTTATGTGCCATTATGCGCCGTTAGGTACCCTTCCTATGTCTCATTTTAGAGGCCGCAACCGTCAAACGGCGCATTTGAAGCGTGCGTGAGGTCATCACGTGGCACAGACGGTGTCCCGTTTGGCACAAAATGCTAAACCACACTGCCCCTGCCCCTTTTTCAAGCGTGCATTTATGCACGCTTTCGTGCCGTCTGTATCCCAGAATGCTTTGCGTGCCGCTGCACAGCTGCGCATTTCAGGTGAGAGGCTGGACTCGCTTGGAGACACAGTGCGTCTTTAAAAAAATGCAAGAAATCCAAAAGACAGCAGACAGTCAGCTCAGGCTGTATGAGCGCATGATCTCTGAACTCACTAAAATCTGCAAACCAAACATTATAGATTTAGAGACAACTGATCCGCTCAGCTTCAACTATCAAAAACATTAGAAATAAGAGAGCTGACAAAACTACAGCAAAGGATCAGGACATCATTGAGTTTTTTTTTCTTTTAAGATTTAGAGATTAAAGTTGTAAATTTAGGAGAATAAACTCATAAAGTTTATAAAGTCATAAAACTGCTTTTGTGGAGGGGGAAACGACTGAAGCTGGTCATCTGCAGGGTTATCTGTGGATATATCAGCGGGTCATTCAGAGAGATTTTGTGGTTTCTGAAGAAACAATCAAACTGATGATGATCAACATTTGTGATCCAGAGGTAGTTGAGCTCCGACGAGCACCACGTCTCTGACACCGGCGGTAACCTACACCTGCAGAGACACCAACACCTTATTATGGCACATGGATTCATATGATAAACTAAAGCTCAATGTCATTCACAGATATTTATGGCTGCATAAACGGATATATCCTCAGCATATTCATTTCTGCCTCCACAAAAGCAGCGATTTCCTTCAAGTACACCAGTTTTTTCCCTGCGGAAAAGACATATTTCTCATATATTCTTTTTTATGTCTTTATACTTATGACAATGTGATGCTGATGTGCCAGAGGATGAAGTATCTCTTTGTTTGTGAAACCTATACTGAAGCACAGTTCCTTCAAATGCTTCATGGCCCTAATTTTAACAAGTCTCCTCTGAAATAACAGGTTACGACTTCATTCTCATAAATTAATGACTGGATTTCTTGCATTTTTTTAAAGACGCGCTGTGTCTACAAGCGAGTCCAGCCTCTCACCTGAAATGCGCAGCTGTGCAGCGGCACGCAAAGCATTCTGGGATACAGACGGCATGAAAGCGTGCATAAATGCACGCTTGAAAAAATGCCAAGCGCGCTTAGCATTTCTTAGCATCTCGTGCCAAATGGGACACCGTTCGCGCCGTCATGACGTCATGCACGCTTCAAATGCACCGTAGTATGCTCCGAAATGGCATACTACTCATACTACTCATACTAACCTTGCCTCTGAATTGAGTAGGCAGTGCATTCACACTGTACAGTATGCGAATTCTGTGTATGCTAGAAATGCCCGGATGTATACTCAATCGGCTTCGAATTTTGAGTGTGGAACGGTGCTTGCTTCACGTACTGCTTCTGCCCCACAATGCATTGCGCACCTCAGCTGGTAATATGGCCCTCTTTCCCGAGGCTGAAAAGAAATAGATGGCATGTGTTTGCAATAATAATTATATATATATATATATATAAATAGATAAACAATATTTAGTCAGTATACATTACACAATTTTTATCATTTTTACCTCTTTTTACCAGATATATTTGTATTTTAAATTAGGATTTTAGGTAATGTTTTTAACTATTCGTATGAATTGACTTTATTTATTTAAGTGTCTATTAAAGATGTATTTATTACATCAAGATTGAGAGTCTTCTCATCTCTGAATGCATCATCAAAGTGGTCACTCATATTAAGCTCAGACCTCTGATTAATAAAAATTATTATTGGTAGAGAGCACATGGTTCAGAATATACAAACGGGGGAGTTTCCAGTTGACAATGTATGTGAGCTTTACTAATTCTTACTTGTGGTTGAAAATCTGATGGTTTCTGAAATTATCATTGTGCATGACAAGAATGTAGTCGGGAAATGATGTATTTGCCAAGGAATAAACGAACGAGGTCATAATAATTATGTTGTGTGTTGGTCATTTTGCAGCCCTCTGCTGCTCATCACACGCCTAGCAGGTGGTTTATAGCATTATCACCATGGATACACAGATGTTTCTGTGATTTTTTTCATCCACTGCCGCCCGGTTTGTGTTGTGTAGATGGTGATTATGAAAACACTTCGCAATAATTTGAAAACGTGAAGGGGGAGCTGCTGCTGCCCGGTGTTTACGGTAAATAGACGCAATCACCCACCAAGCGGACGTTTCGGTCTTCGAAAACGCTGAGACAAATTTACAAACAGCCACTATTTCAAACAACTGGGCTCATAATCATGATGTAAACACTTACTTTCTTGCTAGAAAAAATATTATTAATGAATGAATTTATTTAATTTGTCCGGAATGCAGTCGTTCTGTGTAGCTTGTGGTACAGCGCTGCGTCTGGCCGGCACGAAATGCATTCTGGGGTATTTAGTATGCATCTGTATGTAAACACTCTGGCAGCCGCGGCATACTCAAATCCTCTTTGAGTAGTCAGTATGCAGTAGGTACTGCTTGAGTAGGTAAGTAGATAGTAGGCAGTATGCCATTTTGGACACAGCCACAGCCTCAGACTTCAAATTTGTACACCCAAGATGGCCGCCCATGGCACATTCAAGATGGCCACCCCTTGGTACACCTAAAATGGCCGCCCCTGTACACCAGAGATGGCCGACCTTCGGGTGTCGGCTGATAAGGAACACCTGAAAATCAGTGTGAGTTGTTGCAGAGAACAAAGGAGCAAACAACTTCAAGCAGAAGCAACATTTTTTCCCCTGGCGTCCTCCACCCAGGAGGTTGTACTTCCTCTGCATGTCATTGTGTAAAATTCTGAAATGGATATCAAAGACGAATAAATCTCTTAAGGTGCGTTCACACCGAACAGGCAACGCAAATTGTCGCGTCTCGAGGGGCCGTTACGTTGCGTGTCCTTAAACGTGTCACTTTGCCACCGTCAGTTCGCGTTGGGCATTACGTCACGCCCGCTCTAGGTTTCCCCTCGATCTCTTCGGATACTGTGTCCAGCGCTGCTCTTTATTTGCTGAACAAGTCCCTAAAACGTCAGAGAAACCTTCACCACAGTTGCGCAAGTGCCTGTGTGAACACACCTTAATACTGCTTACTCTTGCAATTCACTAAAAAGACTTGATAAACACCAACAATACATGATTATATTAATAACATTGACCATTATATTGTCTTGCATTCATTTTCAAGTATTCATATTCATACCTGTCCAGGATCCTGCGTGTGCAGGTCTTTATGTCCTTCCCCCCCAAGGTATGACAATAGTTTTATCTGTATGATACAATCAAATTATCAAGAGTGTCTAATGTATAGATTTCTATGATTTTTAGCATCTCTATTTGACTTAGCAGTGAACGTTTTATGTTGGGGTACCTATCGATTTCCAACGACATGCGCTGAGCCTCCTCCAAAGTCCTTAACGGCAACTGACCCATCCGCCCACCCTCATCTTCAATGTCCCCCTGCTGGTTGAGCGATTTCAATTCATCGCAGATTTCCAAAAGTGTTTCCACAACCACCCGCTGGAACTCTTAGTGAAAAGATATGATGTAGGAACATTCAATTCAATAATTACAATACATTACATAACATTTTGTACTTAAGTTATGCCACTCTTACTTTTTTTACTGTCCACAAAACACGGAGTCTGCAATAGTGTGCGGACATCTTTGGGCAAATTGTGGCCATGTTTGCGAAGGATCGCCAACATCTTATGAACACTACTGTGAGTCTGCTTTGTTTCTACAGCCCAAGCTGCCACATCCTCTCTTAGGCTTGACAGTTCATCTTCGGTTTGGGATTCCAAGTCAACAAGCTCGGTTTCTTCATCACTTGTGTCTGGATATCACTATAACTTTAGTCCTCTTGATTATCAGGCTCTTCTTCCAAGGTTGTATTGAAAGAAGTACTTCCTAAAGTGTCTGTTAACTGGCCATATTGACTTGCCCTACCCTCTAGCAGGTCCTCCAAATGCTGTGCTTCAAAAGATGTTGTCTCATTTGGTGGTTGGCCAGATTGACTTGCCCCACCCTCCTCTTGTGTGTCCTCCTGTGACACATCCACATCACTGGTAAATTCATCTAAGAAATCACCCTCCCTAGCTCTTTTTCTCCGCCACTCTTTCAAATAATTAGAGGCCATATTCAATTTGGCTGGAAAGAAAACACATGGAAAAAAGAAAATAGAAAAATAATAATGTTTTAACAGTGTGAGCTTATAGATCAACCATTATAAAATTGTTTTGTTTTTTTAGTACAATTGGCAACTTGTGAAGCAGGACATAATGCATAATGAATACCTTTTGCTCTTGGTAAAAAAAAAATGCTTACTTTTACTTACTAAAATACTAATACCAATACTTTTAGATTTTTAGTATTAGCATTTCCTATAGCACTGCTAATGCATTAACAAATTAATATTGGAATAATTCAACTAATGCGTCCCATTTCTACCACACACAGTGAAAAACAATCTATGACAGGGGTCTTCATATAAATTTTCAATGGGTCCACCAGGATGAAATGCCTGCAGGCCTGAGTCCGGGAACCTTTATTTTTTTTGTACAGTGCATTACTCTTTTGAAATATTCACTTCATTTGTATTGTCAATAACTGCCTATTTTCAATTAAAATAAAGTGAAGTACCTTTTTTAAAGTCAACAATATTTATTGAAAGCATAAAAGTTACATTTTACATTTTGTTTTTAAATAAAATGAAGACTACAGATATTCAAAGACCTGCATTAGAAACAAAATGGCTTTTTAGGCCGGCACATCTGAAATTAAAGTGCATTTAAAAAAAGTAGCATGAAATTCACTGAAACAAAGTAACTAAACTGGTTAAACTTTTAACTCAATTCATTTTGCCACTGAAAATCTTCACAAACCATCCTGTCTGTCATTGTTTTCTATTTATCTCCCTCCTAATTACTCTTTTTTTATCACTCAGAAAGAGGAGCTCGTGAGAAGCGGGCTCCATCTTTTCCAGCCAACTTTTTGAATCTGGGCTCGAAAGATGTCAGGGCCATCCTCGAACACATGTGGAGATGATCATTAGTGAGCCTGTTGCGATATTTGTCTTTGACGATGTTCATGGTCGAAAAAGCTGCTTCGCAGCTGTAGGTGGAACCAAACATGGTCAGAGTGTACAGAGCTATTTTACTCAGACCTGTGAAGCCTTTTCCAGGGACCATCTCCATCCAGAAGGTGGCAGATTCACTTCCTCCAAATTGCTCCTTCAGTGCCATGTCTGCCTGAAGATCAACCAGTTCCATCTGTAGAGGACCAGCTTCAGCCCATTTGAAGAGCTGTGTGACCTCCTTTGAGAACCCCCTAACATCCGTGATAAGGAAGGGATCCTGGATAAACAGGGTGAGCTGCTGTCCAAGAGTGAAAATGTCAAATCGTTGGCTGAAGTTTTCAGTCAGTCGGTCAACAAAGTCCACAAAAGCAGACAAATCTCTCTGCCCCTGCACCTGCTGCTGTACTGAAGGGAAGTGAGCACACTCTCCTTGCAGGTCTTCTCTGAACACCTCCAGTTTCCTCTGGAAGGCACTTACAGCCATCATTAGGTCACAGATGGAATTGTCCTTGCCCTGTAGCTTCAGATTCAGTTTATTCAGGTGAGATGTAATGTCAACTAAAAAAGCTACAATATCCATTTTCTCATCATCTTCTAAGAAGCAAGAAAAACGAGTTGCCTTGTTGCTCCTCAGCTGGGATAAGAAAACTCCAATCTCCTCCCGGATGGCCCAAAAGCGCTCCAGCACTCTACCTTTGCTGAGCCATCTTACATTGTTGTGGAGGAGAAGGTCATCAGCTTCTGCATCCACTTCATGGAGGTATTCTCTGAGGACACGATGCTGGAGGGATGAGGATTCCCGCAGAAAGTTTATCATTCTCATCATCACGTCCATCACCTCAAGATGAAAAAGAAGAGATGGAGAGTCATATTTATTTGGACACATATTTATTTTTGACCAGTAACAACGTAGCTTACAATGTAATATTGGCTACTGGTGTCTTTATTATAAAATTACATTAGCAATACAATTAACACACACACATACACACACAGGACACAGACAGACACACATGCACACACACACACACACTCAAATATTACCCCACACACATACACACACAGGACACAGACACAGGCAAACAGACAAACAGACACACACACACACACTCAAAAATTACCCCAGACACATACACACACAGGACACAGACAGACAGACAGAACACACACACACAGGACACAGACACACACACACACACTCAAACGTTACCCCCCACACATACACACAGACAGACAGACACAAGAAGGAACATACAGATACTGAAAAAGTGGAAATGTAGGCCTACCTCCTTGTACTCATAACTCAGGAGGGCACACAGCACAGTCTGGTGGATGATGCAGTGATATGAGATGAGTTCACCGTGGTCCTCCTTCATCCTTGCCACAGCTCCTCTCTCTCGTCCTACCATGGATGGGGCTCCGTCTGTGGTTATGGACACCACTAGTTTCATGTCTATTCCCCTCTCCGTCAGCATCTCTTTGATTGCCTTGTATATATCTTCACCTTTTGTGCTGGTCTTGAGGGGGGCCACACCTAACAGGTCCTCACAGAACACTTTCTTCTCTTTGTTGAAAAACCTAACATAAACTAATAGTTGTGCATTATCAGTCACGTCTGTCGACTCATCCACAGCTAAACCTACAGGTACGCTCCTGACCGCTTCATCCAGCTGTTGGAGCACATCCTCAGTTAAAACCTCACATCTCCTTGTGGCTGTTGTTGCTGACATGGGGATTTCTGCCACTTTTTTACACAGTTTTTCTTGTTGTTTGCCGTCAGTCAATGTTTTAACTATTTCCAGGGCACACTTCTTGACAACCGCACAGTCAGCGAATGGTTTCTTGTTTTGGCCCAAAACCCAGGCAACACGGAGGGAACATTCAAGTGCTCGCTGCTGACCGGTAAATGCATTGGTCATGATCCTTTGGGATCGATGATACCGGGCTCTTAAATCGAGTAAATGCTGGCTCCTGACAGCAGATTTCAGAGGGTAATCTCTCTCGAAACTAGTCCGATGTTTGTCGTAGTGTCGTTTAATGTTAGAACTTTTCACAACGGCTATATGCTGGTGGCATAAAAGACACACAGGCTGTGTGCTTCTCGCGGGTAAAGTAAATGCATATAACTCGGTCCACTCGTCATGAAACACCCTGTTCTCATTATCTACCTTACGTGTTTTTGAAGCCGACATGTTCAGCTGCTGCTCCAACTTTCTCCTCAGTCTGCCGCCTTACAGTTTTCAACATCGGGATTGCTCGGGTATCTTCGTGTGTCGATCAGGCTAAGAGGTCTGATTTGATTGGCCAGTCAAGCGAGTAAGCAAATGATGTAATGCCTTGCCGAAATTCCATGTGCAGTTTTCTGAACCAGACACAAAGCAAGAGAGAAAAAAAACGTACATTTTTTTGCTGTACGCTCGGGTCCGTATTGGACTCTTTCCCGGTCCGGAAGTGGCCCGCGGGCCGCCATATGGAGACCACCGATCTATGACAATTACAGTTAAACACAAATTTAACTATATAAAAAAATAACACTGGATAAACAAAAACAACAGTACTAGCATCACAATAGACTTCATTTTCTAATTTAAATTGATAGCCTAACTAGCAGCTTTTAAGCTAGGCTCCAACAGAGAGAGCAGGCCCTTATTTCCTTTCATGACAACACACGTTAGCATGGACTATTTGATGCTGTTGGGCCCACGCTGGCTAAACTAGCCACAAGCTAGCCCTCGTAGTAGCAACCAGGCTACATGCGAACTCGAGTTTAACATTTGCCGTGAATGCATTTCACCGTCACGCATCATGATGCACGACGGTGGGAGGACCAAAGCTTGCAAAAATAAACATTTTCTATAATATCTCCTGCAGCACCCACCTCTTTTCAGCTGAAAGTATAATTCTCGAACTCTGGAACGACTGGAACTTCTGGTGTAGTCCGACGGTCATTAGGTTGAGTGTGGACAAAGCGCAATGCTTCAGCCGGATGTTGTGCGGTCCACAATTTGAAGCCGTTTTCATGTTATGGTCCGATTATGGTACGATCTCCATAAGGGTGTAAGGCTGGGCTCTTGCAGAGCTACCAAATACTTTTTTGTCACTCATCTGGTGTTTTTGCGGCTATGCCGGTAACTTTTATCACAGACTGCTTTGCTCCTGGTGGAATAAGAATGGTCACGTGAGCGTGCTCCACCAATACGGTGGCTGAATTACTGTCAAGGTGGCAGCTGGCATTACCGAGACGGATAAAACACATGAAATCTAATAATGAAATGGAATTTCAGCGACTAACTTTGTTGTCGAGTGCGCAGCAGGACACAGGCTTTAAGATCCGAAGTTGTTTTTTTTGCCATATATGCGTTTTGACCGGATAAGGCGAAAACACTGGTCACACTCCGGAGTGTTATTTGACACCCATAGATTAAGATCAGTTCTGCAATGTTCAGTTATCATTTTAAATAATCAACTCTTGAATTGTAGATTAAAATCAATTGTCTAGATTCGGTCTATATGTAGACATTGAAATGACGTATACATTTTTACGTCTAAATCACGTCTAAAAATAGACCGAATCCCAACGTTGTAATGAAGTATAAATTTATACGTGTAAATGATGTCTACATCTATACTATGCTGCATATCTCTCCACGGTATCATAAGTAATCTAATCCAGTATTTAGAGGTCAGTTATGCACCCTACAGTTGTCTTTTTCATAAAAAGTTATTGAATAATAAGTTTTGTGCAAAGTGTAAATCACGTCTAAAAATAGACCGAATTCCGACGTTAAAATGAAGTATATATTTATACATGTAAATTACGTCTACATCTATACTACGCTGCATATCTCTCCACGGTATCATAAGTAATGTAATCCAGTATTGAGAGGTCAGTTATGCACATTACAGAAGTTTATTGCATAAAAAGTTATCGAAAAATGAAGTTAAGGGCGAAGTATAAATCATGTCTAAAAATAGCTGGAATCCCGACGTTGAAATGAAGTATAAATTTAGACTAGACCTCTAATAAACGTCTTTTGCTCAGTGGGTTGTTAAATTTCTCACTCGTTGACAGCTATATTTTGAACTGGCATTTGCACAGTCACCGATTTCCTTCTTCCTATGTTTCGTGCATTCATCTTCATCTTTGACCCAATAAACTCATTCCGCTAGACATGCATGTCTCAAAAGGCCCTATAAATTGATACGATTCGGTTGCAAGTGTGTAATTAGATGGTGAATGATAAACGGAATGTCAACAAAGGTCCTCAAAAGCCACGCCTCTTGAACATCTGCTTGGAGTGTCACCAGTTAACTTAACGCCAGTTAAACCGACACACCGTGTACGCACTATTCTGAAAGGAGGTGCTGCAACTGATCTTCTGCAGGACTTAAGCATGTTGTGAGTCGACTGAACAATTTATTGATCATGAAGAGTTTTGTGACATTTGCTTAAAAAAAGTTTAAAGGTAATGAAAATTAATAGAAAGTTTTGTCTGCCAGTGCTGTACAGGAGAACAAACACTCTGTGTGTGTGTGTGTGTGTGTGTGTGTGTGTGTGTGTGTGTGTGTGTGTGTGTGTGTGTGTGTGTGTGTGTGTGTGTGTGTGTGACCGATCAGCAACAAAAGAAGTCCATCAACTCATCACTGTGACTCTCAGAGCCGAAGAAACTTTTGATCCAGCATTAGAAAAGTTGTTGCTCACACAATGCCGGACCTTTAACTGGTATGTATTTGTTTCAGCAGTCACATCATTTGTTTGTGTTCATCTGATGTGACAACCTTCACTTCTCTCTGTAAATCACAGAACTCAGCATGAGCTGAAGAACAAGCAAAGTCCTGCAGATATTCATTGTGGCTTCCTAGAACCAAGCACCGAGTCAACAGCAGAGAAGAGTTCTGACCTGGGGAACAACAGCTCTGAGCTTCACCAAGTATGTCTCATCTTCTGGTGTAACTGTTGTCTTTCCTCTCAGCTCATCACAGAACCAGCTCTACATAAGCTGCAAAGCTAAACCCAGCAACCAGCGACCCTGAAGCCACTTGATCTCTGCTGACCTTAGAACTCGAAAATACTGCATGATTAGTTGTCCTGGGAGGGGATCCCTCTAAGATCTGGCCTACCTAAAGGTTTTTTCCTCTTGTCCTGAGAAAGCATTTTTTGGGGGAGTTTTTTCCTGACATGCTTAGAGGTTCGAAGGCTGATGGTGCCAAATACACAACATGTTGTTCTATTGCTGTTTTAATTTTAATATTTTTTTTTTCTGATTCAATGTCAATAGAGTAACAATATGGAAGTCTTAAGTTTTAATTCACTTTTATAAAAGAATGAATAATTTCACTTGCTTACAATCACAACAGTTTAAATGTGTGAAATATGAAAGTTTTAATCTGTTTAAATGAATAGAAAATTGTACAAAGGAGCAGTATGGGGCATGAATGGTCAGAGGGATTTATACTGTGGAAAACTAAAACCTGAAGGCACTGCCTGATGGAAATTTAGTAGGTTTAGAAAACAAGGCAGGTATGAATATGATGAAACAGTTAATGTCAGAATTTTTGTAGAATAAGACATGAATAGTGAGAATTATTATATCAAAACAACTCGGACTCCAGTGAGGATCTACCTGGTTTCACTCTTATAAGGTCAGACAGAGATGCTCAAGCTAGTGGCAAGAAGAAAGGAGTAGGTCTGGCTTTATTTGTCAACCAGAGATGGTGTAACCCTTCACACATAACTGTCAAGGAGAAGTTGTTATGTCCAGATATTGAACTGTTGGCAGCTGCTCTTCGGCCATATTATGTTCCAAGAAAATGTAGTCATATCATAACAATAGTTGTTTACATTCCACCCAAATCAACTGAAGAAATTCCTTGTGCTGTTTTGCAAAATAGTCTAGCCAGGCTACAGACTCAACACCCTGAGGTACTAATAATCTAATAATCTAATAATATCGGGAGACTTCAACCATGTCACCCTCTTCCCTCACCTGACTGGATTCACACAGTTTGTGAACTATCCTATCAGAGAAAACAAAAGTCTGGATTTGCTGTATGCCAACATCAAAGAAGCCTACAGAGCCACTGCCTTACCATCACTGGGCAAGTCAGAACATAACTTGGTCTATCTGCAAACCTGTTACAGACGTTGTGTACTGAGGCAGCCTGTTACCAAAGGCAAAATCAGATGATGGACACCTCAAGCTAGTGAAGCTCTTAGGGACTGTTTTAAATCAACAGACTGGAATGTGCTGCTGGAAACAGATGTGGATAGTATGAACATTGATAAAAAGGTTGACTGCTTTACTGATTATGTCAACTTATGTAGAGACACCATTATACCCACCAAGACTGTTCGCCAACATCAAACCCTGGATCACAAGTGACATAAAAGCAATCTTTAACCACAAAAAGAAAGCTTTTAAAGATGGTGACAAAGAACGACTCAAACAAGTGCAACAAGAGTTGTAGAAGAGACTGAAGATTGCAAAGCTGGAGTACAAAAAGAAGATACAAAAGAATCTACAACACAGCAACATCCGTGAAGTGTGGAGAGGAATCTATACCATATCTGGATACAGCAATAAAAAGAAAAGACAGCCAGTGGTGGGTGATCTGGAAAGAGCTGATGAACTCAACCTGTTCTTCAACAGATTGGACACTGCTGTCACTCCCACCTCCACTGCTACTGCACCTTCCTCTCTGCAAAATTCTCCACTACAACTTCTCCCCTTCCTCCTCCCTCTTATTCAAATGTCTTAACCACTTCAACTGCCTCTTCTCCTAGAACACCAGTTCTTGTCTGTCACCGAAACAGGGGTGAGGATGGAGATTGGAAGACTTTGTCCTGGGAAGGCAGCTGGTCCAGATGGTGTGTGTCCAAGGCTGCTTAGAGACTGTGCTGCAGAACTGTGTCAACCTCTCCACAAGATCTTCAACCTGAGTCTATCGCTGGGGCAAGTACCTACTCTGTGGAAAACATCCTACATTGTGCCAGTACTAAAAAAAAAATGTCCTGCTGAACTCAAGGACTACAGACCAGTGGCCCTCACTTCACACATCATGAAAACCCTGAAGCGGCTGATTCTATGCCTTCTGAGGTCTGAGGTCAAAGACAAACTGGATTCCCTGCAGTATGCACACAAAGAACACAATGGAGTGGATGATGCTGTCCTCTACATGCTTCACCATGCCCTGTCTCATCTGGAGGAACCTGGGCTTTATGTGAGGATCATGTTCTTTGACTTTTCAAGTGGATTCAACACCTTTTAACCTACCATACTTAAAGACAAGCTCACAGAGATGGGAGTGGATCCTTCCTGTGTTTCCTGGATCGCAGATTACCTGACAGGGAGGCCACAGTTTGTCAGGCTGGGAAACTGTGTTTCTGGGACATTAATGAGCAGTACAGGGGCTCGACAAGGGACAGTGTTGGCGCCATTCCTGTTCACACTGTATACTTTAGACTTAAAATGCAGCACTGAGTCCTGCCACATCCAGAAATACTCAGATGACACCGCTATTGTGGCATGTATCAGAAATGGACAAGAAGCTGAATTAGTAGAGGAGGGTCTATTTTTAAGAGGCGAGGTCATGTTAGAGAAGGGGTCATATTGTAGAGGCGGGGTCATGTTATAGGTGGGGGTCATTTTGTAGAGGCGGGGTCATGTTCTAGAGGCGGGGTCATGTTTTAAAGGCAGGTTCATGTTAGAGAGGTGGGTAGTGTTGAAGAGGCGGGGTCATGTAAAAGGTAGGGTGATGTAACAGTCAGGGTCATGTCAGGGAGGCAGTGTCATTTTTAAGAGGCGGGGTCATGTAAGAGTTAGGTTCATGTTGCAGGTGGGTCATGTTTTGGAGGCAGGGTCATGTCGTAGAGGTGAGGTCATGTTAGAGGTGGGTCATGTTAGAGGCTGGGTCATGTTATTGAGGCAAGTCATGTAGAGGCGGTGTTATGGTTTAGAGCCGGGGTCAGATTAGAGAGGTGGGGTCATGTTGTAGAGGCAAAGTCATGTGAGGGAGGTGGGGTCCTTTACAGAGACAGGGTCATGTAAGAGGTGGGGTCATGTTAGAGGTGAGATCATGTTAAAAGCCGGGGTCATGTTGCAGAGGTGGGGTCATGTTGTAGAAGCAGGGCCATGTAAGAGGTGGGGTCATGTTAGAGGCAGAGACTCCTAGAGAGGCAGGTTCATGTAAAAAGTGGGGTCATGTTAGAGGTGGGATCATTTAAGAGGCGAGGCATGTTATAGAGTGGGGTCATGTTCAAGGCTAGGTCATGTAGTAGAGGTGGAATCATGTTGTAGAGGCAGGGTCATGTAAGAGGCAGGGTCTTCTTCAGAGACAGGGCCATGTTAGAGGTGGGGTCATGTTAGAGGTGGGATCATGTTAAAAGGCGGGGTCATGTTGTAGAAGAGGGGTCATGTGAGAAGCGAGGTCATGGTTTAGAGGCGGGATCATTGTGTAGAGGAGGGGTCATGTTCTAGGGGCAGGGTTTTGTTGAAGATTCGGGCTTATGTTAGAGGTAGGGTGATATAAGAGGCGGGGTCATGTTGGAGAGGCGGGGTCATGGTTAGAGGCGGGGTCATGTTAGAGGTGAGGGCCATCGCTCTGTATTGCTGCAGTTGACTGTGCAACTAGTGTTTTGCACAGCCTACCATGAACAAATATTAGCCATCAACAATTAGATGAACCCAGTATTTTCATGAGCCCCTGTGTTAGTGAGAATAAAGAACAAACAAGTGTATTTGACCCTGAACAGACTGACTGAATTGGTGCGGAGTGAAGACCACTGCTGCAGCTAAGTACAACCAATTGAGCAGTAAGGCCATAGCATATCAACGGGGATTCGTGAGCTTTTGCTAGTGAGAATTGAGGTGGAACATGTGTATTTAGCTCTTAACAGAATGCCTTACTTTACGCGGAACATAACATGCTGGAATTTTGATGAAAAACCCTGTTTTGATGTGAGCAAATGGCCCTTAGTTGTAAGGTGGACAGCATGGAGCTGCACTTTTGGTTTTCAGAAACAGCAGAGGTGTTAGAAAGACTGGATTAAAATATCTTGCTCTCTTTTTAAAATCCGAATTTATACAGCTAGGGACTCTAAACCGTTTTAAAATTACAGTATTCATTTTCAAGTAGGTCTGGTGACTTTGTCCTTAGTGTCAGTCCATATGCAGTAGATGGCGCTGTGTGCATTAAGGGACCAAAAGTGAACGCTAAGAGAAGGAGACACATGATACGGAGCTGCACAGATGCTAACATGTTTTTGTCACCATTCATGTGGGAAAGATGCTCAGAAAACATAACCGGAATGAAATATTAACCATGTTATGACATTTAAAAGCTTAAGGCTGTGATTGTGATGTGAAGTGTGATTTTGAACGGGACTTTGAAGGAGACCAGTTAACTGAGTGGTAATTTACTATGGCGACACGGCGCAAATAATGTTAAAAACGAGTTATTAATACAATAAAACAGGAATAAAAATTTATGTGCTACACAAAAGATCAACCACAGTGTCATTCTTAAAAGTTTAACACAAAACTTGAATTAAATTGAAAATATTGGTCTATGTTACATGTCATAACCTTTTCTATTTATCACTCTGGTCAGAGCAGTTTAGTTTACTGCTAAAATCCCTGCATTTTGCACACCATGTGTAGTCTTTTTGATTAAGGAGCAAATCTTAACTTCTGAACACTACAATCATTAGCATGCATTGTGATTACTGATGTGTGTATGTCTAACTGTAAATGTTTTGTTATGCCCACTTAAAAACCTCAATCAGCACAGTCTGAGGCAAAGATCTGTGACAAATTGTCGTTGTAGTGTTAATATAGCAAGCTATTATTATGGTATTTTATACAATTATGTATATATATAGTAATACCAAACATTTAATATTTTGGTATTTGGCCATTATAGTCATTGATGGTTTCTTGTACTTACTGCGGTTGTGATCATGCTGTTAAATTTAAACAGTATAAAGTATCCTCATTAGAGGCATAACACTATGCTCCTATCTGTTTTAATATTTGCATATTCTGAGATAGTAGTTTTTTGTTATTGAGGGATTGTATATCTAATGAGCTGATAATACATTCTTTCAACTTTTCACTGGTAAAACTACCAGATGGTGTGTACATGTGAGATTATATAATTTACATTAACTTTCTTTCCTTTTTTTCAAGGATGCGGGCGATAAGAGTCAAGTATCGTCAAAAGTACATTTGTTATGAAGGGCAACTGACTTTCAAGTGCTTTTTGGAATGTGGTGAGTGGAAAATATTTTACTAACCACAGAAATAAGAGGTTTTTTTCCTGCATCCTTTTTTTTTAAATCATGAGCTTCATATGTTTGTAGTTTTTTAATAGGGTTTTTCAAATTTACATGGTTGCAGTACAACTTTTCATAAACAAGATGGCATGACTGATGTTCCACAAAGACATTATAGATAAAGTTTGCTTTTAACTTCCGTCCAGTCGGCTGTAGCTGGTGGGCTGTTGATGACAGATATTCATCTTTCTTTAAGAAAGATGAATATCTGTCATCAACAGATGACAGATATTCATCTTTCTTTAAGAAAGATGAATATCTGTCATCAACAGCCCACCAACTACATACAACTTATAACTCAAGCTTAAATTAATTTAACTTAAACATAATTAAAAAGGGAGATTCTAGTTGTGGTGTAGTTCTATAATACTTAAACTGACAGAACAGTTGCAACAGTTTTTATTTATACAGCTTTAAATCACAACAGTAATCTCAGGGTGCTTTATTAGTAGAGCAGGTAGATATCACTCTACTAAATGAATAAACCAAACAAATTCCCAACTAATGTGCTAGAGATGGGTACAGAAGTCAAATTAGTTTGAAGCTATCTGGTACAGTGCATCTAATTGTGGCATTTGTTTTGACTGTATATTGTCAATTATTAAATAAAATAATTCAATTGAAGGTAGGATTAACCTGTAAGGGTGAACTGAGTCAGTTTTGAGATTACAGCAACAATTCAAAATAAGGTGCCCTTTGATTTACTCTTGATTCACAGCAAATCCATCAGTAAGGTTGTGCAATTTTATGTTGTCATCATAGTTGCCAAGAAATTTGACATTCCAACCCTGGACGTCAAAGTGTATGATGACTCCAAAACTGAAATTGATGAGAAGGGGTTTGAGTTTCTTCTAAGGAGTCAAGACCTTGGAGTTCTGGAGATATGTATGCCTGAAAAACCAAACCCTGATGGTGAGTTGAGTCTTACATCCATTCATACATTTCTGCCTGACTTAACATGTTCTGAATTAGGGCTGGACATTGTCATAAAATTGATATCATGTTGGAGTTTGAAGCAGTAAATCAAAGTGAACAGTCACATTTCATTTTAAGCCATTTTTTCTGCGCTAACCTGTCTCTCTCAATCCCAAACCTAAATGGGATTTACATTGTGTAAAGTTTTGTATTAATTTAGTCAAATCTTAACATGTTTGCTAGATTCAATGAGCTCCTCTGCAAGTTGCTCCTATGAAAGTTTCAGTGGAGACAATGAGGGGGATTCTGATAGCACCATCATATTGCAGCCCAGTCCGACTCAAAGACGTGCAAATGAGGATGCTTCTCTAGCTCAGGTGAGCTCAGTAGATTTTCTTGCATATTTTTAGAATGTTTAAACACACTATTTCAAACGTTAAGATTGTGAGTGGTAAATTACAGATGAATTGAAGCTTTGACATGTTTTACTGTACAGCACTTGCTGTTAGAATAATGTGCATAAATGTATATAGAAGTTATCATTATTCCTCATATTCTTATGTAAGAGTTTATACTACAAGTATAAACTCCTTTGACCTCTTTTAATACATTATATAAGAGTATTTTTATCATATAAGAGTGTTTCCTAACTTCTCTCTCCAATAGATTTACTACACAGCACAACAATGTTTCTTTCAGTTTCTGTCACCGTGTCTTTCCTATCAGCAGGTGGGGGTGTGTGTGTGATGTATCCTCCACTATGAATCGTGGGAAGGACATAAGGGGAGGACACACTTATCAGAAGGAGCTCGTTAGATGCCGCCTTGACCTTCACATATTCACAAGCTGTTCATTATTATGCTTTATGAGAGTGCTTACGTTGCTACACATATTTTTCTCCACCCTTTTAGAAACATTGTGTAACCAGGGACAACGCTAATAAAAGAGACTGGGCGGAAATACCTTTCAGAGTGGTTTCGATATGGTACCTGAAGCTATCTCGGTCCATTCTCCTCGAGTATATACCATTGTCTTTCTCTTCTTTATATTTTATCAGGTAAATGTTGCAGGTTTTAGACCTAACACTTGCCTATCCTTGTTAAACTTTTAGATGGGTCGTTTCTTTTGAAGACATTTTTATAAAAAGATATCCATAATATTTTTCAAAATAAAGTTGTGAAAAATGTATATACACCACAGGCCAAAAGTTTGGAAGCAAGATCAGAGTTGTACAAAAAAAGATAATAGTTTCATATATATAATTTGCAACACAATAAACATGACTGTTGTGTAAGGGCTTCTGTCTGGGGAGAAGTATCCCATATTTGGACAATTTTATTGCTTTTTTAAACATACCCCACCTCTTTAAATCAGACGGCCTTCACCCGAACCAGGAGGGGTCAAGGCTTTTATCAGTAAATATTGGTCCTGCACAACCACCTCCTGACTGTCTGCACACAGGCCCTCTGCACCTCATTTACACTCACCTTCACCACTCCCTACCTACACTATACACGCCCCTCCCTCTGTGCCCTCAGTGGCACAGGACAAGATTTACACCATCACAACCATAACCACACATAGACTACTTAGGAAGAGGAGGACTGCTTTTAGACCAAAATGTGTTTTTAATGTTCCCTTAGAAAAATGCACTGAGCGCACGTCCAGCACAGATATTAAAATGGCTATGCTGAACGTGCGCTCTCTTTTAAACAAATCTTTTATTATCAATGACATAATTACGGACAATAACCTGGACAGCATTCTCCTTACAGAGAATTGGCTTGGCACTGATGCACCTATTATTCTCACCGAGGCTTCCCCACCAAATTTTAACTTTTTATTTTCAACTAGGGGGTGCAGAAGAGGGGGTGGTACTGCCTCAATTACAAAATGCAACATGCATACAAATGAAGTCATTTTTAACAACTACTCATCATTTGAGTACCATGCCTTCGTTTTTAGCAGCCCACCTATCCTCTGTATAACTGTCTACCGACCTCCCAAGTATTCCACTTCTTTTATTCGGGAATTTTCAGAGCTTTTATCAATTATTTATGCCACTTTTAACAGGATTTTAATAACTGGTGATTTTAATCTACATGTGGACATCTCCTCAGACCCAATGTCCAGAGAGTTTTTAAACCTTTTACACTGCTTTGATTTTAACCAACATGTCACACAGCCGACCCACAGCAGGGGGCGCACCTTGTACTTAGTGATATCTTATGGTCTGTCCATTGGAGCGCCCTCTGTTGTGGACCTGGCTGTGTCTGACCATTTTTGTGTCTTTTTTACAATCACCGGTTTTAATCAGAGGGAGGCCCCGGTGAGAACAGTGAGGAAACGTTACTTAACTTCTGAAGTGGCTGCAAATTTTATCCAGAGCTTACAGAGAACTCCAGATGAAATTTTACCAGCACCCTGCAGTTTTATCACTGCCAACCTGAACAACAAAATGAAGTCAGCACTGGACTCAGTGGCTCCACTTTTTACAAAAACAATCAAATCAAAACCTACATCCCCGTGGAGAACTGAAGACATTAAAAAATTGAAAAGGGACTGCAGGAGTGCTGAAAGGAGATGGAGGAAATCAGAGCTGACAGTGGATTATGAAATATTACACCGACTTCGTAAGATTTACAATAACGCAATCAAACAAGCAAGAAGTTCCCACTTCCAAAATCTAATCCATAACCATAAAAATAATCCCAAATTCCTGTTCTCCACAATAGATCTTTTAACAAACAAAAATTTTAAAAGGTCCTCCATAACACCTGATAATGTCCTTTGTGAGGATTTTGCAGACCACTTCAGAAGAAAAATAGATGACATTCGATCCAGTCTTTTATCCCGACAGCTTTTAACACCTGGATCACAGAGTTTACCCGAGGAAGCACTGGAAAGTTTTGCCCTGGTTGATGCGAGGACACTTGGTCGAGTTTTCTCCCAGGTAAAGCCCACAACCTGCCTTTTAGACCCAATTCCCACACCGTTTTTTAAAAAACTCTATGGATTCTTCGAGGAACAGCTGTTGTATTTAGTAAACTGCTCTCTTCAGACGGGTGTCTTCCCTACCGCCGTTTTAAAGGCGGTGGTGAAGCCCCTTCTGAAGAAGCGTGATTTGGATCCCAATGTTTTAAATAACTACCGGCCTGTATCCAACCTACCATTTTTAGGTAAAGTTCTGGAAAAACTTGTTTTTAACCAAGTAAATGATTTTTTAAACTCAAAACATATTTTAGAGACTCATCAGTCTGGCTTTAGGAGGAACCACAGCACAGAGACAGCACTTCTGAAGATTTTAAATGACATCAGATGTGACTTAGATAACCACAAACTCACAGTGTTGGTTCTGCTGGATCTAACAGCCGCCTTCGATACAGTAGACCATCACATTTTATTAAATAGACTGCGGAATGTGGTTGGCCTCTCTGGTACTGTTCTTAAGTGGTTCACGTCCTACCTGACTGATCGAAATTTCTTTATAAGTATGGATACATGTTCCTCAAGGACCCATAAAATTGAGTGTGGGGTTCCCCAAGGGTCAATTCTAGGTCCAAATCTGTTCAACCTCTACATGTTACCCCTTGGGGATGTCATCAGGAGGCACGGCATCAGCTTCCATAGCTATGCTGATGATACGCAACTGTACATCGCCGTGTCTCCAGATGACACAGGGCCAATTGATGCCCTTTTTAACTGCATTTTAGACATTAAATCATGGATGGCAGCAAATTTCCTGCAGCTCAACCAGGACAAAACAGAGGTTTTAGTCATTGGTCCTGAAGGCCAGAGAAAGAAACTTTTACCAAAGTTACAGGATTTTAAACCTTCAAAATCTGTAAAAAATCTGGGCGTGATTTTTGACTCCGAGCTCACGTTTATTCCACATATCAAAAACATAACAAAGATAGGTTTCTGCCATCTAAAGAATATAGCCAGAGTCCGCCCGTTTCTCTCTCAGGCCAGCACGGAGGTGCTGATGCATGCTTTTATCTCGTGTCGTTTGGATTATTGTAATGCCCTGCTCTCTGGTCTTCCCAAAAAGAACATGCAAAACCTACAATTATTACAAAACTCAGCCGCACGTGTGCTGACGAGGACCAGAGGGCGGGAGCACATTACTCCTGTCTTAAAATCGCTGCATTGGCTCCCCGTGCCTTTCAGGATCGATTTTAAGGTTCTCCTCTTAATTTTTAAGTGTCTTAATGGTCTTGGGCCGTTTTATTTATCCAAGATACTTTTACCTTATCAACCCTCACGGACCCTGAGGTCCTCTGGAGCTGGTCTCTTAAAAATCCCACAAGTAAGAACTAAGACATACGGGGTGGCGGCATTCAGTTATGATGGCCCCCGATTGTGGAACAGCCTCCCAGAGAGCCTCAGGGCTGCAGAGAATGTCGATATTTTCAAAAAGAGGCTAAAGACTCATCTTTTTAATCAGGCTTTTAACTGACTAGTTTAACTCTTTTAATCCCTTTTATGCTCACTTTTATTGTTTCACTATCTAACACTTTTTATTACCGTTCTATTTTATACTTCAATCTATCAATATTATTATTATTATTTTTAGTCTGGCGTGTTTTACAGTGCACAGAATCATTTTTTATTTACTGGGTCTGTCTTAGCGATTACAGTTTATTCCTTCAGTTTTAGTTTCTATACTTTTATGTCTTATTTTATTCTTTTAGTCCCTCAGTTTTTCCAGTGTTTCCTCCTGGGGCTGCTTCACCGGGAGCAGGTTCTGGTCTGTTGGTGGGGGCGCCGTTCTGGGGACAGCTCTGGCCCGGCTGGAACCAGAGAGCTCTACACCTTGGTGTGGAGCCTCCTGTCTGCCCGGGCTGGTGGTCCCTGTGACGGCGCCCCCTGCAGCAATGGGCCGGGATGCCTCCCGGTCGACGTGGCCCCCAAAGGTAGCGTCTTCCTCACCTCAGATCTCAGTGCCCAGTCATGTCTCCTCTCCATCAGCTGCTAACTGTGTAGGTGCGTGTGTTTGTGAAGTTGTGTGTGTGGAAATATATGTCTATGTGCACGGGTGTGTGTATGGGTATAATTGTGCGGGTGGGAGGTTTGGGGTTTTCTTGGGGATTTTAATGTTTCATTTTCTTTTTATGCTTTGTAAGGCACTTTGTGTTACAACTTTGTATGAAAAGTGCCATATAAATGAAATAAAGTTGAAGTTGAAATAGTAACTTATCAGAAGACATTTTGACTATAATTATTAGGTATTTGAGTTATTGTTGCTTAGACTTTGCTTTCCTTAAAGTAACCTCCTCCGGCTTTAACAACAGCTTGACATATACCAGGCATTTGTTCCACAAGTTTTTTAAGGTATGTTCCAGGGATTGCATTCCAAGCTTTCTTAAGTTCATTAAAAAAAGACTGCTGATTTGTGGGACGCGTTTTTCTGACCGATCGATCCAAGTCATCCCACACAAGCTCAATTGAGAAAGGTCTGGAGACTGAGGGGGCCAAACCATCTTTTGAAGAACACCTTCCTCTTCTTTTTTGTCTAGGTAACCCTGACAGAGCTTGGCAGAGTGCTTAGGGTCATTGTCTTGCTGCAAAACAAACAAGTCTGAGTCCAGATGGAACAGCATGGTGCTGGAGGATGGAGTGGTACTGTTCCTTCTCGATAATGCCCTTTACTTCAAACAAAGCTCCTACTGCATCACCTGCAAAACATCCCCATACCATGGAGCTACCACCTCCATGCTGAATTGTGGGTGTAACACATGGTGCTTTCAGACGTTCACCAGTTTGTCTGCGGACATAGACTCTGCCTTTTGAACCAAACAGTGCAAACTTGTTTCTAGTCATCATAAGTCCAATTTTTGTGAGCTTTTGCCCACTCATATCTCTTTTTATTGTTCTGTGGATGAAGTAGTGTTTTTTGCAGATACACAACCCTTCAGACCAGCCTTTCTCAAATGTCATTTCACGGTTCTCAGAGATATGGGTTTCGACCTTGTCATGTTGATTTCCTCCCTTATTTTTGGTGCTGTCTGTTGCCAATCTCTCTTACTGGTGACAATGCTATGTTTATCCTCTGCTTTTGTAGTAACTCTCTTTTGTTCAGGTCTTTTTCTATCATCATAACTTCCAGGTTCCTCTAATCTCCTCAGAGTGTAGTGGACTCCTTTGTTAAACACCTTAAGGCGTTTTGCAATTTCTCTTTCTATGTATCCTTCTTTCCTCAATGTACAAATATTTACTTTTGTGTCTTCACTCAAGCTGCTTCTTTCTAGCCATGTTTGCGGTGGTTTAAACGCAGTTGATATTTATTAGGATTTTTGTAGACAGACTCTTAAAAGCCAAAAAGTTTAAGTGAATAATCCAACTGTGATTTGTTTTTTGTTTTTTTGCTTTTGCACTGAAGTTGTGACTCTTGCAAATGTTTTCAACCCTAAAACTAAGACCTTATTTTCTTTTGCTGACATATATTTAGCAATGGTCTGTTAACATCAATGTATATCTAAAGGTAAATGAAGTAAAATGGTGCATTTCCATGAAAGCAACGTCTGATCATGGAGTAAATACATCCTAAAATACATAAAACTCATGCTGGATTTTAAAAAAAGCATTGTGAACAAAAACTTGAAGTTACTCCCAACTGTTCGGCCTGTAATGTCCTTGCTTCCAAACTTTTGGCCTGTAGTGTACATTTCAGAAATTAGCATACATTCCTATAACGCACTTCAAAAAAGTTTTAGAGAAAGTCTAACCCGAGCATCATCACTCTAATTGTTTCTTGATTAAATGATAAAGTAAAAAAATCTGACTATTGCTCAGAAAATTGAAAACATTCTGAGTACGAAGCCTGGAGGAGAGAGGATCCTGAATGAATATGCCCGGGCAAAAAGCCTAACTGATTCCAGAAGACGTGATCTGGTCAAGATATTGGTTGCACATATGACAAGTGAACATGGGTATGTTTGCAAACCTACGTGTAAAAATCTTTTTTTTTGTCTCTGTTGTAAAACATCCATCCTTTTGCAGGTTTCAGATGCATGTAATACTAAAATTTGATCTTAAGGGATGCCTATGTATCTGTGTGTGCATGTGTAGGACGAGTCCTTCGAGGATAAACAGGAATATGCAAGGGGCATCACTGCCTTGTTTCCATACTTGGCTGATCCTAGGGGCAGGTTTGGCTATGTAAGTTAATCAAAACTAAGTTTAATCATTTTCTCGTTCACCTCTCTGTTCTCTGGGGCTCCTAAACTGTAAAAAGTAAAAATACTCTGCTTGTATTGGGTGGTTCAGTCCAACTTAATTTTTTTGTTTGTTTGTTTTTTGCCCACCTTCATTTTCATAAAAAAAGCTAAATGTTAGTTAAACTCTTCTCCTTTATTGAGCAGATCTTTCTGTGGATATGTATATTATAAAGGAAAAGTTTAAAAATATATTTATCCTGCTCAACCAAACTGAATGTCTTTTTACTGTAGGAGCATTTTTACAATGCAGGAGATGGGAGTGGGTATCTGGCACAGAGACTGAAATCTGTCCAAAAGGAAGCATCAGAGGGACAAAAGAGGACTGGCCGACAGTTGCTCACACAGACAGGTATGCTCATTTTAATTGTACGTTGACTGAAAGTGTAGTTCATGATTTATGATTGAAGAATGATTATATGAGGGGCTTGTAGGGGTGCAAGAAAATATTCAAAGCACTTAAATATGGGTCAGATCAGTGCTTTATTTTGTCATTAAAGTGTCTACACTGTTACAGGTGGTCCAGAAGGTGATTGAGAACCCTTTCTGGAGGAGAACTGGCTAAGCACAGACTCCCTGTGTTCAGAGGCTTTTAGAGGCGGATGAAGCAGTTGTCAAGGAGAAGATGAAGCAAACCTTCACCTTTCGCCAAGATGGTTCATGACCCAGTGAAGTCTTCCGACATATTCACAGCGTTTCCAAGATTCCTAGACGTACCAGGATCCTCAACTTGGATCCTCAACTCCCTTAGTTTGAAACTGTGAATATCCTCAATAACAACAGTATAAGTAATGCTTACTGCTCTGTCTTTACTTATTCCATCTTGTCTGCAGATTGAGCAGGATTTCAGTCTGATGTTTGATGATGCCATCTCTGCAAGGTTCCTGGAGAAGTGGGCCATAGTCCACAAAAGGAAAGTCTTTCAACTAAGCCGGGGCCTCACACAGACAGCTGAACTTTAAGACGTGGTTCAAAATGCTGAAGCTCCAGAAGAAGTAGAAAATGGTATGCTGGAAGTATTATAATAAAAGAAGAGTTTTGTTTTTTTTTAAAGGGAAATGTAGTGACTCATTAGTGAATAAACATTTCTGAATTTTCACTTTTCAGGATCGGACAGGGAAATGTCAGCTATTTTGGTCCCTGTCCACCTTCTGCCACCATCACCTCATGGCCGCAAGAGACCAGGAAAGCTGTCTGCAAGAGAAGCCTGTGAACATCTTGTGAAGTTCATTAAGGTGAGGTTACGGTCGAATGCAATTTGGAAGATTTGGCTGCCACAGGTAGCACGTAGGTATCTTTTAAAAAAAACCTGCTTGTTGGCAGGACAATAGTCCTTTATATCTAAAGTCAGAGAGCCTACAATACAGAGGGAGATAACAGATGTATGAATTTTAGAACCAACAATTTAATAAGCATCCAAAGATGCAGCATGCAAAAAAGCAGGAATACTTAAGGGAGGAAAACAGCTGTTTAGGTTTAAAAATTCTGTAGCTTTTATTTTTAAGTTTCTGTTCATGTTTTAAAATGGGTTTAAACTGAGCTAGGCCACACAACAGTGATTACAATTAATAATCTATACTGATTAGTACTAAAAACAGCTGTTAAATGATCTTAAAATATAGTTTTAAAGTTTTACATTTATCTGTTAAGGTGCCTATCATTTTGTCTAAGACAAAATAAATAAATAAATGTGTGCTTTGCTCACTGAAATGTAAAAGTACTGCATTGTGCTGAGAGTCAAACACAGTGTTTCCAAAGTCGAGTGCAGTCTGTTTGCTTCATTGCTTCAGCAGTGTGCACAACATTTGAAAAAATATCTCTTTCCCAGATCCCAGTTTAATCTACTGTTTTTCAGATAAGCATTTGCTGTAGTTTATTAAAACCTCTTTTTTAAGTTTAAAAATAAAAATACAGTTTGAATAGTTGACAATTGTTGGCGTTGAGTAATTGTGATTTTTCTAATTGTAATTTTGCTTGAAATGCCCATCACCAATAGTGATATTGGTCTGGCATCAACTGATACTCAAAGCCCAGATATTATTGGACAAATTGTATTGGTATTATCTATAAAGGAAATATTGTTACATTCCCATTTCAGCTATTCAAACCATCATCCCCTTTCAAGAAGATGTTAAAATAATTTTAAGATTAAATATATTTTCTCAAGATGTTAGTGAACTGTGAATCATGTGAAAAAACTAAATTACATTTTTGTGTCACAGACAGGGACCAGCATCCAAGGGCATCTAGACAGCATCACAGAAAGCTGTCAACCTTATCTTCTGGCTGTGGGAACCCAGAAAAGCACGATAAGCAAGTATTTAATCAACATTGACAAACATGCCATAACCTGCAAGTCAGTGGACTCTATTGCCTGTTTTGATGAGCTTTTTAAAGCTCATTTTGATTTTGGTACCTCGTACAACCATAACCTGGCAAATGTGTACAACTTCTTGCAAACCAGTCTATGAAATAGATGTTTCTACCACTAAGATGAGTCCCAGGGTTGCTGAAGCGAGGGCTCGGATGCTCCACTGAGTTGGTACAAAGATGTTGTGTTTTCTATGCAAATGTCACCAGGCAGATGTTTATACCCTGATAAAGCACTTTAAGTTGGTTCATGGACTTTGCTCAGCAAAGACTCTTCATCTTAAGTGTGGTCAGTCTGGTTGTTCGCAGGTTTATGAAACATTCTCTGGATTTAGAAAGCACCTTAACACAGCACATAATGATCAGTGTTCTGATCCTGGCGGGGGGCCCTCTACAAGTGAGGACGTAACATTAAGTTATTTAGAGGATTTGCCTTGAGCAATATTCCCTTCTTACTCTGTCCTTGTCAGCAAGAGTCTTGTAGACAGCTGTGCTACAACACAAGCTGAACTTAAAGAGGAAGATGTAGATGAAACGGCCATTAACTCTTCAGTGATTTCTATGGAGGAGATTGTTGGTGATGTCTATGATCTAGCAAAAGAATCTGTGAAGAAGTGTCTGTCATTAGTGGAGCCTAACAAAAGTGAAGTTGAGTGTAAAATCGATGAGTGTTTTGAAAAAATGGAGAATCCTTTTGTATGTTGAACTCTGAAAATAAGAGAGCAAAGTATTTCAAAGAGAGGTGGGGAAGTGTAGAACCAGTTGAATATGGTCTTGGGACAAGATTTGATACTCTGCGCAATCAGGCTAGTGGAGGCTATGATCAGGCGGTGGTTACGAACTAATTTATGTACATTCCAATTTTGAAAACACTGCAGTTCATTTTCAGTCAACCTAATATAAAGGAGATGGTGCAGGCTGATTCCAGTCCAGAAGATGCCGGTCTCAATGACTTTTGTGATGGAGAACTCTTCAAGAGTCATCCTTTGTTTTCAAAACACAATAATGCCATTCAGATTCAGCTATTCTGTAATGATTTTGAAACCTCAAATCCTTCAGGGTCCAAACGTGGAATAAATAAAGTAGGAGCAATCTATTTCACCTTGTGGAATTTTCCTCCAAAATACAACTCAAGTTTAAGCAATATTCATTTGGTTGCTTTATTTCATGCCCAAGATATCAAAAACATATGGCTTTTCTAAAATACTAGATCCAATTGTGCAGGATATTAAAACACTGGAGAGGCATGGCATTAAAGGTCCCATGGCATTCCAATTTCACACAACTTAAAATGGTCCCCTGGTGTGTTAAAAGCATGTCTGTGACGTCCTTCGGTCAAAATTCGATTTGGATAAATTATTTTAGTGCTCTTTTTATCAGCTAAAAACAGCTCCGCTCAAAATCCTCCGTTTTGGGCCATGTCTCTTTAATGAAATGAGCTGCACCTAAGCCACGTCCACTTTACACCCACCTCTCTGGAAGGGGCTGTGGCTGTGCTCCAATAGCCATGTGCTAATGTTTACACTGGCTCGGTCATGGCTGCAAGAAGATCACTCATACAACCCTACCAGTTTGAGCCAGAGTCTGACCCAGAGGGAGAGGCTCCGGAAGAAACTCTTAGCCACGTTCAGCACAAACGCGACTTGAAGCGACCTAGTCGACACATCCTATGTATTATTCAAAGCCGCCAGGAGGGTCACGCTTAAGGAGGAAGATATGAATGTAGAAAAAGTTAAAACCAGAGCTCTGCTACAATGTAAGATTTTGGTGCTCATAAACTTCTCCGAAGCCTTTGCTAATTAATAGGACGGCCGACCGTCCAGCATTAGCCAGGACGTCCCGTATTTGAGCCAAAAGAGGCGCGTCGCCGCACGGGTAAATGCTAAAGCTACATGCTGCTCCGGAGGGGGATTTTGTCCCCCGCTGGCGGAGTTGTCGGGGAAGAAGCTAGCGGCTAAAATACGAGAGGATCCGGTTAACCGGTGCGGATCCGGTGTGTTTATCAAAGCGTGCTGAGGCACCGGGGGGAATTTAGGCTAAACAGTAAGTCAAAATAAAACGTTACAGATCTATTCTTTATCTTCAGACATCTAGCAAATCCAGCGTTGAACTGTCCCTCGTTGATAAAACAGTCCGAAGTGAAATGGTGCGCACATACGTACAGATCCACTCATTGAGTCCTCAAATCCTCAGACGAGGGAGTTTTCAAAAGAGTTTTGTGCTCGTTTGTGCAGCCAACAACAGAGCAAACGCTGCCTCTTTTTCAGATCGTACTTTTGCCATGGTTCTAACCGGAGCAATGCGAGCAAGCGGCCGGGAATAATGGCGCTGTTTTGATCATTTTTTGGGCAGGGCAGTGGGCGGCTCCATGGGCAGTACCATCAACCCGCCAGCACTGACATGACGTCATGTCAGTGGAGTTCTGAGCACACAGTTCCTAAATACGGAGATAACTAAAAAACGACTGGATGGAATTTTTTCAAACTTAGGGGGGATTGTAGCAGTTTTCCTTCCCTGATATGCACCCCCCCTCCCGTTAACAAAGTCAGTTTTTCATGCCATGGCCCCTTTAAGGTTCCCCTGTGTGATCAGCCAGTGTATGTCCAAGTTACAGGTGATAACCTCGGTCTTCACTGTTTGTTTGGTTTTGTTGAGTCATTCAGTGCCAGATATTGTTGCCACTTTTGTCTTGCTGAGAAAGAAGACTTTCAGACAGAATTTGATGAGGATTCAAGATAATTTTGCAAACTCAAGCACTTCATGAGGAACACTGCCAACAAATAGAGACAAATCCCAGGCTTCCCTATGTGATGGGTGTTAAACAGTCTTGCATCCTAAATTCCTTGCAGTATTTCAATAAGTGTGATAATTTCTCTGTTGACATTATGCATGATGTCTTGGAGGGGGTTGTGCAATATGAGATGAAGCTGCTTTTACAACATTTGATAGACAATTACACAACAATGGAGGAAATACACACAAGAATAAAGAATTTTAACTATGGCTATGTGGAGAAAGCCAACAAACCGCCTGAAGTGAAGTTGGTACAGAAAACAAATGACGTGGAGCTGAATGCCATCCAATCTTGGAGTTTACTTCGTAATCTTCCACTCGTTTCTGGAGATTTAGTCTGTCCAAATGACCAACACTGGTATTTAATTTTGCTTTTACTCCAAATGGTAAACATTGTATTTTCCCCACTGTTATCAAAAGGTATTGCTAATTTTTTGAAACACTTGATCGCAGAACACCGCAGGTTATTCAAACATTTGTATCCAAACAAGAGGCTGATACCAAAGCATCATTTCGTGGTGCATTACCCTACATGTATTTTGGAAATTGGGCCTCTTTTACATACCTGGTGTATGCGCTATGAAGCGAAACATATATATATATTTTTAAACGAGTTAATAGCTCCAAAAATATAACTAAAACATTGGCAAAGAAACACCAAAGTCAAATGGCATAAAAGGTGCAGACATTTGACCCCAGCAGAGTGACTATCGGCCCTGGTAAAATGTTGTCTTTACAAGTGATGGACTGGGGCTATGAGATGGCAGAGACTTTTCAGGTACCAGTTGAAACCTAAGTATTAAACGTTAGATGGGCCAAACACAATGGAATTGTATATTGTTCAGGTTAAGTTGTTTGTGTGAGAGTTCATTGTGAGATGCCAGTTTTTCAAAGAATCCACCATGTTGTTGTCAAAGATGGGAAGTTGCTTTTAGTAACTTTTGCCTTACAAACAATATGCCTTGAAGAGCATTTCAATGCTTTTAAAGTCGTGTGCACAAAAGTTGGACCTCATGTAGTTGATGTCAGAGAGCTTTTATGTCATAAAGCATTTGATATACAGACTTCAGAAAGAAAGCTTTTAAAGATGGTGACAAAGAACGACTCAAACAAGTGCAACAAGAGTTGTAGAAGAGACTGAAGATTGCAAAGCTGGAGTACAAAAAGAAGATACAAAAGAATCTACAACACAGCAACATCCGTGAAGTGTGGAGAGGAATCTATACCATATCTGGATACAGCAATAAAAAGAAAAGACAGCCAGTGGTGGGTGATCTGGAAAGAGCTGATGAACTCAACCTGTTCTTCAACAGATTGGACACTGCTGTCACTCCCACCTCCACTGCTACTGCACCTTCCTCTCTGCAAAATTCTCCACTACAACTTCTCCCCTTCCTCCTCCCTCTTATTCAAATGTCTTAACCACTTCAACTGCCTCTTCTCCTAGAACACCAGTTCTTGTCTGTCACCGAAACAGGGGTGAGGATGGAGATTGGAAGACTTTGTCCTGGGAAGGCAGCTGGTCCAGATGGTGTGTGTCCAAGGCTGCTTAGAGACTGTGCTGCAGAACTGTGTCAACCTCTCCACAAGATCTTCAACCTGAGTCTACCGCTGGGGCAAGTACCTACTCTGTGGAAAACATCCTACATTGTGCCAGTACTAAAAAAAAAATGTCCTGCTGAACTCAAGGACTACAGACCAGTGGCCCTCACTTCACACATCATGAAAACCCTGAAGCGGCTGATTCTATGCCTTCTGAGGTCTGAGGTCAAAGACAAACTGGACTCCCTGCAGTTTGCATACAAAGAACACATTGGAGTGGATGATGCTGTCCTCTACATGCTTCACCGTGCCCTGTCTCATCTGGAGGAACCTGGGGTTTATGTAAGGATCATGTTCTTCGACTTTTCAAGTGCATTCAACACCATCCAACCCGCCATACTTAAAGACAAGCTCACAGAGATGGGAGTGGATCCTTCCTGTGTTTCCTGGATCACAGATTACCTGACAGGAAGGCCACAGTTTGTCAGGCTGGTGAACTGTGTTTCTGGGACATTAATGAGTAGTACAGGGGCTCCACAAGGGACAGTGCTGGCGCCATTCCTGTTCACACTGTACACATCAGACTTCAAATACAGTACTGAGTCCTGCCACATCCAGAAATACTCAGATGACACCGCTATTGTGGCATGTATCAGAAATTGACAAGGAGCTGTATACAGAGATCTAATAAAAGCCTTCAGTGACTGGAGTCACAAAAACTGCCTCCTCCTCAACACCTCAAAGACAAAGGAGATGGTCATAGACCCCCGTAGATCCAGACCCCCTCTTCAGCCAGTGAACACCTGTGGAGTGGACATCGAAGTGGTGACATCATATAAATACCTAGGTGTACATCTGGATAATAAGTTGGACTGGTTTAGAATATAGACTACACATCTGGTGGCAAGTGTGCTGTTCTACGCTGCAGTCTGCTGGGGGGGAACATCAAACACAAAGATGCAAGACGTCTTAACAAACTGGTGAAAAAGGCTGGCTCAGTGGTAGGACTCAAGCTGGACTCAGTGGAGGATGTGATGGAGAGATCCACATTGAGGAAGGTGGCGACTTCTCAAGAACATGGATCACCCACTTCACAACACCTTGATGGACCAAAGGGCAAATGGTGGTGTACAGCTCCTCTCTCTTCGCTGCAGGACAGAAAGATTCAGAAGATCTTTTGTACCAACAGCCATCAGGCTTTATAACTCTTATGTAAATGATAGATAACTTTTATAGACATATTATGTGAGACAACAGACAATTGAATTTCCCTTCGGGGATCAATAATGTTCTTCTTCTTCATAAAGTAGTGATAATTCAGATCTGTTTATTGTCCTATACTATTTTCTGTGAATGTAAATGTGCACAATAAGCACTTAAAACCTAGATGTGTGTGATAGTGGTATGGAACCTATTCACACTAACAGCTTTTTCTTCTAACATCACGCTCAGTCCTTTGAAGAGCTACATTTTAGCTTCCCACCCTGTCTCATGCTGCTGTTTTAGACTAAAAGTCTCTTCAAGGAAGAGATGGCCATTGAACTAATTTCTAAATGATCAACAAATGAAAAGGGAGTGGATAGTGAAAATCTTCAGAGACAATGAGACCATATTTCAAAGTCCAAACTAAATATTTGATAATTGTATAACATACATCAGTTAATTCTGCCTTGCAACACCAGCAAGACATGAAATGTAGTGTTTTATCTGTAAGTATGGCTCGATGTTATTCTGGATTTTTACAATCCACTCCCTTTTCAGTTGCTGATCATTTGGAAAGGAGTGAAACACTTTGTCACATTCTCTTTCCACAGCTAAATTTGAGCTTCCCATCCTGAGCAATACATTAGGAGAATATGACTGTTGTGTGAGTAGGGCCCATTGGATTTTTTTCTGTTTTCTTTACATCTTGTATGCAAATATATTGTATTTTATTTTAATGTATGATATACATTTTTTTGTTTAACAGAGGCCACAACTTGATTTCTGATGGTATGGCATGATGCTTGTTGAAACAAATCTGATGGGATTGAAGGGTAACATGTTGGATGTTATGTGTTACATTATCTGTTGCATGTTAATCTTATGATGAAAACACTATCTTTCATGACTAACAAATGTGCAGAGTTGCTTTACGAAAGTGTTTCTGATTTGTAGAGTTCAGAGAAACTTCACACATCACTCCAGACAAATGGTATGCATTTCTATAGCGTTATATATAATACTGTATCTCGTAGAAAAAAGTTTGATAAAAAAACATCTGACTCTTTATAGTGTTTCATATAATTCTGTTTTGAGTGAATTATAATTCTGTTTTGGGTGAAATATTTTTCTGTATAGAGTGAAATACTGTTCTGCATGAAGTAGGATACAATCTGGTAAAGAGTACAGAGCGAATCAAAATTGAGTGGAATTTAATTCTTGAGTGAATTATCATTCTGTTTTGAATAAACTATTATAGTAAAATATATCACTAAATGGAGGAGGGTGACTGTATAGTTACTTTAATTTTATACAAAGCAGAGTAAATTATTATCATGCAGATTAAAATATGAACACTAAATAGAGTAAAAACAACTGTAAAATTTACTCAGTGGGAAGAGTCATTTTCACTCTATTTAGACTGGGATCAAATACTATCTTTTTCAGAGCAAAGTTTGTCAATTTGAGGAAAATTTACTCTGTCAAATTAACTCTGAACCTTTTTTCTTTCAGAGCTGGAGACCAGAAAAAGTGCCAACTTAAAACAGCTGGAAGACTTTAATAGAGAAACACGGGTATTGGGTAATAATATTTACAATACAGCATCCTGAGGCCCTCCATCATCAACCTAGTTTAACTTTGCGCTGTGTGTCATCCCCCAGACCTGGAGTTGAGACAGAGTGAGAAATAGCTGCGAAAGCTGCAAAGCGACAACACAGGTGAGAATGATCACAAAGAACTTCTGGAAACTGCTGGCTTAGTGGTTCCAACCATTCCCAGAGACATGGGAAGCAAGGGTTGATTTCCAGCTTTTAGCCCCCTTTCCTGTTTGTATCTCCCCGCTCTGTCCCTCTGTTATCTGCAGTGTCCACTGCCGTTTCCTCTCTCAGCGATGGCCCAAACCCCCAACGAACCCCCAAAATAAAAGACTGTGTCAAATGTTCATGTACAAACCAGTACAGTAACAAAACATGAAGGCAGAAACTGAAGAGGATCTAACACAGTTCTCTTAGGGACTACTCGAGAAATATGCAGAGACAAGCCAATGAAATATAGATGTTTAAAGAAATGAAATATAGATATTTGATAGAAATGATGAGTAACTGGATTATCCTCAGAGTCTCTGTGGGCAAACTCCCATCTCCCCTCAAGAACCCGAGCGAGGGTGAAGAGCTGGTCCGTCGTTCCATGACCGGGACGAAACCCGCATTGTTCCTCCTCGATCCGAGGTTCAACTATCGATCTGAACCTTTTTTTCCATACCCTGGCATAAGCTTTCCCAGGTAGGCTGAGGAGTGTAAGTCGGACTCGTTTCCAGTAAGGGTTGGACTCCGCCAGGGCTGCCCTTTGTCACCGGTTCTGTTCATAACCTTTACGGACAGAATTTCTAGGCGCAGCTGGGGGGTGGAGGGTGTCCAGTTCAGCAGGCAGAGGATCACGTTGCTGCTTTTTGCAGATGATGTGGTGCTTCTAGCTTCGTCGAGCAGTGACCTTCAGCTCTTGTTGGGGCGGTTCGTGGCCGAATGTGAAGCGGCTGGGATGCGAATCAGCACCTCCAAGTCCAAGGCCATGGTCCTCCTTTTAGATTGAAAAAGAAAAAGTTAGATTGCCTTCTCCAGGTCGGAGGAGTGGTCCTGCCTCAAGTGGAGGAGTTCAAATATCTCGGGATCTTGTTAACCAGTGAGGGTAGGATGGAACGGGAGATCGACAGGCGGATCGGAGCGGCATCAGCAGTGATGCGGATGCTTAACCGATTAGTCGTGGTGAAGGAAGAGCTGAGCCGTAAGGCGAAGCTCTCGATTTACCGGTCGATCTACGTGCCGACTCTCACCTATGGCCATGAACTGTGGGTAATGACTGAAAGAACAAGATCGCGGATACAAGCGGCCGAAATGGGTTTCCTTAGCAGGGTGGCTGGGCTCAGCCTTAGAAATAGGGTAAGGAGCTGGGACACTCGGGAGGCACTCAGAGTAGAACGACTGCTCCTCCACGTCAAGAGGAGTCAGCTGAGGTGGCTCGGGCATCTGGTTAGGATACCTTCTGGACGCCTCCTGTTAGAGGTGTTCCAGACATGTCCCACCGGGAGGAGACCTTGTGGCCGGCCCAGGACCAGGTGGAGGGGTTACATCTCTTGCCTGGCCTGGGAGCGCCTGGGGTGAGGGCTGTCTGGGCTTCCCTCCTGAAGCTGCTGCCCCCGCGACCCGCACCCGGATGAAGTGGAAGAAAGCAACGATGACACTCTGTGGGACTTAACCTCTGCATTGTTACTTTGTAACAGTGTGACATTGTAACATTGTCGAATACAATCTGTGATTCTGGTTTTTACGTTTGAGGTCTTCTGATCATTATCTTGAAGACTCCAAAAGCAGACAACTGGACTGTGTAGAGTTAAGAGGACGTTTAGCCTCTGATCCAAGAAGCTTCTTCAGTTCTGAACTGAAGAAGCTTCTTGGCCAAGGACATAAATCAGATATTAATTTTTGTTTAATGTTCAACAAGTTAAATATTTTGTATTGTCGTACTAAATCATTATTCATTTTATCTTTACAAAAGGGGATTGCACCAGAGGCCACTAATAAAATGGAGGTGTGAAGACAAGTGCCAACGGAACAAGAGAGGACTGGTGTTAAATGCAAACTGTACTAGAAGAGAGGCTGAATACAGAGATCTAATAAGAGCCTTCAGTGACTGGCGTCACAAAAACTGCCTCCTCCTCAACACCTCAAAGACAAAGGAGATAGTCATAGACCAAACTCCCTCTTGAGCCAGTGAACTCCTGTGGAGTGTACATCTAAGTGGTGACAACATATAAATACTTGTGAGATTTTGTGAGACAACAGACAATTAAATTTCTCTTTGGGGGTTAATAAAGTTATTCTTATTCTTATTCGTACAAGGCTTATTATACTGGTGAGTATGACTGAGCTCTCATCTGTCATAGGTGTCATAGGCATTTCTGACATACCATTTATTAGTTATACATTTCTTTAGGAATTGATGATTGGTTGTGGGGCAGCTTAAATACTAAATACTAAAAAGTCTAATGCATTTAGTTGTACACATTTAGTATTCTCTGTTTTCTCTACAAACATAGACAGGTAGTTGCACTTTATTTTGAAAGAACAGGTGTCATAATTCAATCTGCATTTGACTTTTCTCCCTTTTTTCTGTCAGGACCTCTTCCAGATCCCTATGTTATGGCGAGCAGGGAGAAACTGAAAGACTGGTGTCCAACGCTGGGCATCTGTAATTTGTGAACCCTAAAAAAATAAAAGACAAAAGTTGACATATTACATCAAAAATGCTTTACATGCCTTCAGAAATATGTTTCATTGGTTTCATAGCAAAATAATAGAGCCTGAATATCTCAAGAATAGTTACTATGAGTCAGTTCATAGGCTGGGTGCGATGATCTGTTTCCAACATTACTTAACTAGTTATAAACGTGCGAGTTCTCTCTCCTCAGTCTACCAATCGTTAAAAGTTGTATCCCGATCTGAAAATGCATTTTCTGTTCGGTAAAAAGCTGGAGAGACAGATAGACCACTGTACTAGCTAGGTTTAACATTGTCATTTGATAATGTTAAAGTCATCCCAGTGGAATCTTAAAGGCACAGCTCTGTGTTCAATGCAAGTTTTTCCACTGGCTTGGGTTGGCTTGTGCAGATCCTCAGGTTTAAAATGTTCACTACACACATAGGTGCTTCCACGAGTGATTACACAACTTGGTCCCTCATCTCTCCTGATTGCCCTCACCCAGTTGGCACGTGCAGTTTAATGGACTGGAAGTCATGGAAGCTTAAATGAGGGGATTTCTTTTTGCTGTTGGAGCAACAGGCAACACTAACCCAGGCTTGTGACATACTGTTGTGAGAAAGAAGAGCAACAATGTTTAATCTCCATGGTAATAACTTGAACACAATAGGAGGAGTCTACATTGGTGTAAAAAGGAAATTCAAAAAGAAGTCTACATGTGTTATTGTTACACACAGCAAGGTATCTTATAAATACAACATTGCTAGCATTCTTTAATCAATCTAAGGACACATCAAAAGAATTTATGGGTTAATCAGCCTTTGTAGCTGATAACGACCACTGGCCATCACAGTTTCAAAGTAGTAACGTTCACATAACAACAGAGGTTCCTGGCTTAGTTACTGCCTACTTGGAAACCACACGTCTAAAACAACACTCATTATAAAACCCAGTGGTCCTTGAAGTTTCAATTTTAGCTTTCATTAGATTACATAAGATTAGATTCAGTTCTTTGGCCAGAAGTTAGAGGTATGGTGAGTGATTACACATTGATATAAAAAGGAAATGCAAAATGAAATGATGCTGGATGGGGAGGTCGCTAGCATCATCAGCATGAGTTAGCTTTCATTCCTGACTAATCTATACAATTTCGTAATAGGAAAATTTAAAACACAGATAACATTAGCAAGAGAACACATTGCCAAGTCGTAAATGGGCGGCAGTAGCTCAGGAGGTAGAGCGGTCGTCCAATGACCGGAAGGTTGGCGGTTCGATTCCCCCCTAATCCAAGTCTGTCCGTTGTGTCCTTGGGCAAGACACTTAACCCACCTTGCTCCCAGTGTGTGTCCTCCACTGGTGTATGATTGTGAGTGTTGTGTGGTGGTGGTCGGAGAGGCCGTAGGCGCAGAATGGCAGCCACGTCTCCACCACCACCAAAGTGTGACTGTGTGAGCGAATGAATCATGTATCCAATGTAAAGCGCTTTGAGGGTCTCTGATAAAGCGCTATATGAAATCTGATGCATTATTATTATTAAATACAACCAATCTATACTATACCTTTCAGAATTTCACATTGTGGATCTAGAGATTGGTCCATGTAAGCCCAATGAGGTTTCTCTGGGGATCCCCAGAAAGCGGAATTGACGTCATGTGAATTCCCTCTACAAAGAGGACTTTATTGCGCTTGTTTGCATTATTTTGAAAAATAACATCTTACATCTGGTCGCAGCAGCGAGCACACACCCACTCCACCCAAACAGCAGTGGTTGGGGTTCAGAAGATGGACTCAAAGCCAGGCACAACTTGATAAAACAATTGCTCAGTAAGTTTAATCGTTTATTTGAAGTTTATTTTTTGTTAGTGATATCAAGCTATATTATTTGTTTCAATATTAGCATTTTATTTTACACTACACTTTTACATTTTACCACACAACAAAATATATTTATCATCCTAAACTGTTATTTTTTTATTATACCATACTATGACATTTTTATTAAACTATGCTATCTGCATATCATACCTACTCATACTCATTTTTATCATTGTATTCCAGATTTTATCTATTATTTGATTTTTTTTTCATTTTGTTCTATATTCATTCTTCTATACTGAAAATGTGATCATACTTTACCATGATATTTAAACGTAAAATACGATAACATTTTCATTTTTCTTAACTTTGATTTTTTTTTAAACAATAACATGATATTTTAACATCCAATACTAGAGCTTGTCAACGTCTGGCGTCACATACATCATCGCACATAAAGCTGACTTTATTGTGCATGTTAACATTATTTTGAAAAATAATATCTAACATCCTGTCGCAGCAGCGAGCACACACCATAGACTGTATATAGGCTGTGTCCCATTTCAGAGACCGCACCGTCGAACGGTGCATTTGAAGCGTGCATGATGTCATCACGCAGCGCGAACGGTGTCCCATTTGGCACGAAATGCTAAGAAATGCTATGCGCGCATTTTTTTTTTTTTTGTATGAAGGAGTATGAGGGCCATATTGAGAATTTTTTAAGACTTTGAGATTTAAGTCGTGAATTTACGAGAATAAAGTCGTAAGGTTACCTGTTATTTCAAAGGAGACTTGTTAAAATTAGGGCCATGAAGCATTTAAAAGAACTGTGCTTCAGTATAGGTTTCACAAACAAGGAGATACTTCATCCTCTGGCACATCAGAATTACATTGTCATAAGTATAGGGACTTGGAATATATGAGAAATACACCTTTTCCATGGCGAAAAAAACTGGTGTACTTGAAGGAAATCGCTGCTTTTGTGGAGGCAGAAATGAATATGCTGAGGATATATCCGTTTATGCAGCCGTAAATATCCGTGAATGACATTGAGCTTTAGTTTATGATATGAATCCATATACCATAATAAGGTGTTGGTGTCTCTGCAGGTGTAGGTTACCGCCGGTGTCAGAGACGTGGTGCTCGTTGGAGCTCGACTCCCTCTGGATCACAAATGTTGATCATCAGTTGGATTGTTTTTTCAGAAGCCACAAAAACTCTCTGAATGACCCGCTGATTCATCCACCGATAACCCTGCAGATGACCAGCTTCAGTCATTTCCCCCTCCACAAAAGCAGCTTTATGACTTTATTTACTTTATGACTTTATTCTCTTAAATTTACAACTTTAATCTCTAAATCTTAAAAGAAAATAAAACCCAATGTTGTCCTGATACTCTGCTGTAGTTTTGTCAGCTTTCTTATTTCTAATGTTTTTGATTGTTGTAGCAGAGCGGATCAGTTCGTCTCTAAATCTATAATGTTTGGTTTGCAGATTTTAGTGAGTTCAGAGATCATGCGCTCATACAGCCTGAGCTGACTGTCTGCTGTTTTTGGATTTCTTTTATTTTCTTTGGTGACGCGCTGCGTCTCCAAGTGAGTCCAGCCTCTCACCTGAAATGCACAGCTGTGCAGCGGAACGCAAAGAATTCTGGGATACCAACGGCACGAAAGCGTGCATAAATGCACGCTTGAAAAAGGGGCGGGGGCAGTGTGGTTTTGAGACCGAATTTGAAGCGCGCTTAGTATTTTGTGCCAAACGGGGACATTGTTCGTGCTGCGTGATGACCTCACGCACGCTTCAGATGCGCCGTTCGACGGTTGCAGTATCTGAAATGGGACACAGGAAGGGTACATAACGGCGTGCTTATCCCGATGCGGTCTCTGAAATGAGACACAGCCTTAGAATGGACAGAGTTTGCCTCCTCGCTGGGTGAAGACACTCCGAGAACAGCACCCTCTTTTGATGGGCTGCAGTAACGGTTTATTAGCTAGCAAAGAAACAAGACGTTGTGAATGTGACACAGTGGTCCACTGGGACTTTTGCAAAGTAGCCTAGACATACTACTTTGGTTTAACATACATAATATGATTTCCAAGCTGCTTCATTAGTAAAATATATCCTTAATTTAGATTCATTGTGATACAGTAAATGCCTGGCTTTGTGTTTACAGAAATACCCCCTACAGTCCAAGATGCCAGACTTTTGTGCAGCACATGGATGCTCAAATGAACGTTCTTTTCCAACAAGAGCCCGTGGAATCACTTTTCATTCATAAGAAATGACTTGAGGGACATATTTAGGATAATTGTTACTAACTTAGTTAAATTTGTACTTGTGAAATACAAGTTATTTTCCCCCTGACGTTTTAGAAATGTTTCTACCATTTGTTTACATAATAATCATTGAATATTTCTTTTTCACATTTTTTTTAACATGTTACTGTTATTGACTTGTTATTTAAGTTTACATAATGGCATTCAAGCATAGGCTATATGAATTACCACAACAATATCATAATTTAGCTCTAGTTGTGTCCCTGTTTTTCAAATTAAGGCTGCACCACATTGCTAAAATGACTACGCGTAGCTCACAGAAAGACAATGTGAGACAGAAGCTCACCAAAACAGTCCTTTTCAAGGGGCAGTAGCTCAAACTGTCTGCGCACTTGTATATATGTTGGTTTTGTTGCGACCGTGTGAGTGACTGTTGATTTGGAGTGAATGCTGCGTGGTTAAGTGTGACTGTTGGTTTGGAGTGAATGTTGAATTGTTTTGTAATTGTTCACCTCTGTTTAATAAAAGAACCTTTATTTCATGTTACTGAATGTGTTTATTTTAATTTTTATATTAAAATATATGTAGCAAAACGGGTAAGATGAACGAACCATCCCCTTGATCTTTAAAACTATACACATGAGTTATTATGAATATGAATCACAATTTATGGAATTTTTATTAGGTCTTTGCTACTCAAATTAGCAGAATGATCTTTTATTTTTTTGGGTTGTTTTTTGTATTTTTTGAGAAATACACTAATTCAAGGGAAGTTTTCAATATTATATTAATGATTGCGAATATTAAAAGGTTCTGAAAAGCAAGCTTTAATTGGTTTTATATTGTTTAATAACCCAAAGATAATAATTAAGACTATTTGAAAAAAGGAAATGTCTTATGAAATTATTTTTCATCAGTAAATACATTATTTGTTAAAGTTTTAAGATTAAGTTTAAAATATCATGTGGGTCAACTTACCCCTTTATATTTAATACATCTATGAAATAGAACTATAAAATATCTAACTATTAAATGTTTAATATCAAAAACCCTGACAATTTAATTTCACTGTGTGTGTATGTGTACAGCTATGGCAGGTATTGCTCCACTATCACCTTTTTTAATTTAATATGAAAGTCCATGGTTATAATTATCCGTAAATATGCAGAAACATAACTACATCTCTGGCGTTTATAACAAACCAATCCGTTATTATCAGTTGAAATTTGAGTAGGATATGATCATGGAAACAGTACATGCACCATAGACATTAATGTTATCAGTGGGCCAGCAGCCTCTAGGTAAGATGGCCGCCGTGTGACGACACCAGTCCCCATTGGCTTACAGCGTAGGTACGTTATCTAGTCTTTCTATTTATCTATCGATACGCTGTTTGAGCCTAGCGTCATCACAGCGACTCTCGGCGACTGCTACTGCGCAGCGCTGGTGTCAGGAAATGAAGAAAAACCCCGGAAATACCGAGAGCTTTTTGGCTTCAACTCAAATGCTGCGTCCGAATTGCCCGCTCGGATACTACATGCTACTGCTACATACTACTGCTAGATCCTACTCCTACATACTAAACACGTTGGCCCAATTCGGACACACTAGACGAGCGGTGGGGAAAGACGACCCCCGCAGGCAGAGAGTAGGTACTGCGCCCGTGCAGACAGTGGTGACTGAAGCCCCTCATCTGAGGGCCTGGCTGTAGTACTGCAGCTGTGCAGTTTAATGATGGAATAAGTGAGCTTTACCTCCATGATGTCGCCACATATTTGCTCATAAAATGATTACTTGGGCAAATATGACACCATGACATGACAAAGAGATACAACCGCACATTTTTTAGGACAGTGTGTGAAGTTACATGAAACTTACATCAGTACTGCTGCGGTCCCGCCTGCTGCTGCTCCGACATGGTGCGCGCTGCTGTGGCCAGCCGGCGTTCGCGACGCATCTATGCTGGTGGCGCTAGCATCACATGCGCTTCTACAACTTTTAAGAGGACGAAGAAGAAGCCCGCGGTGCATTTTGGGTCAGTAGCATGCCCGTAGGATGCACCGCGACCAACCTACAATGTGGGCGTGTCTAGTATCTGAAGTAGTATCTGAAGTAGCATGCTACTCGCTCCGGTGGCCAATTCGGACATGCTAGATACTACTTCGACTACTACTTGGCAATTCGGACGCAGCTATAGACTGTATATAAGATGGACGCCGTCTGTCTCCTCGCCGGGTGAAGCCACTCCGAGAACAGCACCCCCTAGAGCCTGGCTGCAGTACAAGTCATAAACCCCACTTCTGCCAGCAAAGTGAATGGAGTGGCGGACGGCCTTTAGAAATTGATTTCACAGAAAATACACTTTTCTCACCCCCGACTGCGATGTTGACATGTAGTTATTATTAGACTGGTTTGTGTTCAGGTCTTTTTTTCTCTCTGCAGCTCCATTTTAAAAAGTTATTAGGAGTTATGAAAACAGGAAATTGCGTCATTCTCTACACTTTGCACTTGCTGCTTGTGCGTCGCTCTTTTTCGTTCATCGTCAAGACCGATCGGGTTTGCTAGCGGAGAAGAGGATTACATTTTTCCATCGTTTTTCTCTTTTATGCATTGGAAAAATGAGTTGTTCTGCAGTAAACTGTGTTAACCGACATGTGAAATCGGGATCTTTGCAGTTGTTTCGGTAAGTTATGTTTTTTTTTATGAAGTCATCAGCTTGCTAGCTACATAACATTTACCGGTCTGGTTTAATTTAGCTAATGGGGTTTACTTACAGATACCAAGCGGTAAGTTCTGTGCCTTATTTAAGCGTTTTTATGAGAAGTTAAACAATGAGGAAACCCCTTAAAATCCGCCTTCTTTTAATAACAATATTATGACCACGTGACTTTGAATTTGAATTAAAAACCGTACCGATCACACAGATTCATACTAGCAACCAAATACTACCACAGAGTATCAGGGCATGAAATGAAAACTCGAGGCATGAAGTCATAATGTTAAAGGAATTAATTCGCATTTAAGTCATTCCCCTAATATTGCATCACTTTATGAGAACAAGGCCATGTAAATGAATATAATGAGAGTCATGATGTTATGAGTCGAAGTTTTGGTAATGGATCAACCAGTTTTACTCGGGTATGTAACAACGAGAGCAGCCTGCGCTAAAATCAGGTATGGTTTAATTAAAATGCATCTTTCGGATGCACCGTCCTAGCTTTCTGGCAGAAGATTGACCGCCGGTTCAGTCTCCTCCGTACAGCGGCAGTAGTATTACAGCTTCTGGTGACATAACGATATTTGTCTAAGATAAACCTCTGAAACTGTCTTAAATGGGACCCTATAAGTGTATAGAAGGACATGCTCAAAAAATTACTAATACAAGTTGCATAACTGTTATTTATTTTATGTTATCAAATAACATACATAAGTCATAAGTATACTTCTGTGGAATGACAATTATCATTTACAGCAGCATGGTAGATCATGTCTTATTTAAGTTTTCAAGATAGATAGATAGCCCTGTTACTTATGAGATCGAGATAAAACTATGAGTAATGTAATTAGTTATGGAAAGACAGCTGCATATGACATACTTAATCAATCACAATGACATTAAAATTTTTGTTACATGCAAAGAAATCCCTCAATTTTAATAGGATGTTCATAAGACATATCACCCACAGGATGAAATGATTTAGAATATATATACAGTTTGTATATTCATTCACTTGAGGTATTTTTTGTGATTGTCTTTGAATTTAGAGTTTTGGCTTCAGCCTGTTACGCAACAAAGCAAGAATTAAACCGAACGCAAAACATTAACTTTGTGTTGTTTACAAACTTGACAAATGGCAGTAAGCAATGTTTTTGTATTTTTGTAAAGTTTCCCTTTAGGTGACAAAGCGAGGCTGAAGCAGTGGCTGGTGAACACAAGACGGCAGGACTGGAAACCAACAGGATCATCACGTCTTTGCAGTGCTCATTTTGAAGAGCATGCCTTTACTGTGGACTCAAAGGTTAAATTATTTCTTTTTTAATGGACAGCAATTTTTATGAAGTTCACATTTGCAACAATTTATTGTTAAATTGACTAACACTTTGAATCATAAAATGGCGGTTATTTAAACATTCCCAACAGCTGAACACTACAACTATCGTGGTTCCATTTTAAATTACTGCTGTTTTTATGTTTTTCTCTAGGGTAAGCGTTGCCTCAAGATGACAGCTGTTCCAACTGTGTTTCCAGATCACCAGGTAAGGTCCTCTGTGTTAGGTGTGAAACGTAGGATTTTGGGAGGTAGTGACACAGAGGTAAGGCAGCCGTCACTTAAATCAGCCAAGGTTTCTCAGGTCAGCATACAAGAGTCACACGTAGACCAAGGCAACATTAGCTTTCCATCTGCTGCCGAATTACAGCAATGCCACTTTGACTGAAAATGCAAATGGGAATGACCCATTAAGCATTGACATCTGTCAGGCTGACACTGCTGTAACAGTGAATGCATTTAGGGAAGACCACAGTTATTCAGCATCAGCACCAATGAATGCAGCACTTGTCCCCATTGGAGAGGATCACAGCTACCATCTGAAGTCTCCTAAAACTCTGAAAAAGAAAAGTCAGGCCACTGAAAAGATTGTGGTTAGGGTGTGTCGTGGTGAGTGGGCTTTCAACTAAGATGGGCCTTCTGTGTTACATGTATTAAAGCCACATCAGAAACAAGATCAGAACAAAAGTATTTTAACAGTAAGGAAATAGATTGTGAAGTCAAGACAGAAATGAGAAAAGAGTGAGATTAAAATGGCATTAAATTTAGGTATTTGCATGTAGTTGTAGTGTCTGCTACCATCTACTGGTCATTATTAGTTAGTGTCATCAGTCATTTTCAGTTTAAGTTGGCGCAGCCTGGAGTGAAAAAAACAGGAATCATGTTGCAAAAAAAATTTGAGTGATACCACATGAACAACTTCTTATGCTTAGACCAAATGTGCCCTGTTAGATAAAGGTAACAGCACTAGCCAAGTAGTAGTCTCTAAGAATGCTAACTAAATGAAACATTTTAAATAATTGGACAAGTATATCAAAACCTCTAAAGTTTTCATGCTGAGCTACCACCTGGTTTGAGACACAAGTGTCTTAATGAATTTAAGTACTGGTATTCACAATTTAATTGATGAATTTTATTTGTGTTTTTCAGACTTCATCACCAACCACTGATGATATGGTGGATTCATCTGCTGCAGCCTGTTTCCTTTCCACCCAATGCAACTCCCAAAGTACTAGATTATATCTTTTTAAGTTCCTGGTAAAATAACAAACATACAGGTTTTCTGCAAAGGAGTTAAGTATTTATAAATCACAAATAAATACTAAAATGCTAGTGTCCTCTCACAAGTGTCCATGTCATGCTATCTGATTTACATTAATTACATGCTGTTTACTACACATATTGTCAGTTTGTTTTTTCAGTTTTACCACACTTTGTCCACTTCATGGTGAGGACTCGCACACAGAAAGATGGAAAAGACAAATGTCTTGAAAAGTTGGATCCATTTTATTGCTAGGAATAAAATGGATCCAACTTTTTTTGAGACATTTGTCTTTTCCATCTTTCTGTGTGTGAGTCCTTTACAGCCTTTTTGAATTGTCTTATCTGACCATTGCACCAGAAGCAAGAATACTAGGACTGATGTTAAGCTCTTTTCTTGTTAATCACTTGATGATGAGTACATAAGAAATGCATTGACTTTGTTGTGGTATGTTTTTTTCTTTTGATAGCTTTACATGAAAAATAAAATTTTGAGACAAATACTCTGGAATAATAAAGCATATACTGTGTTTTTTCATCTGTGCTGTAAATCAGAAAACTTTATCATGGTACAACAAATCACAGAGAAGCATGTGAAGTTTCAACATTAATTTAATTTTTCTAACAATAAAAAACATCCCCAGCTACATTCGTCGTGGGGAAAACGCCTTGAGGAAGACCATCGGGTGGAATGGCTGGGGTACGGCAGAAAGTTTGTAGGACAGAGAGAGAGAGAGAAGGAGGAAGAAGAGCTGTGACAGAATTGAACAGTGTGATGGTTACCTTTGTAAATAAAATTTCACAAAATTGTGCTCGAGTAAACAATTAAACAAAATGTGCACATCAATCACAAATAAAGCAGATAAATCCTGACCATTTTTTGCTGCCTATTGTAGGTGAAATCCCAAATCTAGCACCACCCTACTAGATTTGGTCTTTCAAACACAAGGCAATATTATTTAAAAAAATGTCATTACCCAAAGTGGTGAAATGAACTCCATCGTTTAAAAAAAGGCCAGGATCTCTGTGCTTTATTTGAGGATGATGCACAATGCTTCCGCCAACAGATGAAACAAAAGTAGCCATCACACTGTTCACATAGCGCCTGGCTTTGTCCATTTTCTTGGGGCTGTATCTCCATGGGCTCCTCTGGGTGATGGCAGAGAAGATGATCCTCATGGTGGGGAACTGCAGATGGAGATCCTGCTTGATTCCCGCCACAAGCTTGATGGTCTTGGTGGCCCCCAGGTCATTCCCGCCACAATGGATCAAAAGGACGTCTGGCACAGCTCTTCCCCGACAGCACTGATGAAAAAAAGAGAGGAAGTTCCTCCAAACCACAGGACACGGGCATCCAGACCAAGGTCGGTCCCGATGGTCTGCCTCGCTCTCGTTTCCCCACGACGAATGTAGCTGTCCCCGATGATGAATATATGTGGTTCTGTAAATGTATTGAACAATAAAAGAAAAAAAGTTATTTTCCTACAAAACCTTGCATGGCTTGTGATTCAGCATCATTCCACATCATGCTGAATCACAAGCTGTTTAATATTTTTTACGGTAGATATAATTTGGAATTGAAAACTTGAGCTTGCTGTTGTTACATCACAAAAAAAAAACTATATATAACATTACCTAATAAAAGTCTCACTAAAATCATAACCAACTAAATCAGCATCCATCTCAATGAATTTTTATCCTTACGTCTGGTCACAGTGGCTGATGTTGTCGTGCTCATCTTTGAAGCTTCTTCTCTCTCTGTCTCTCTGTTTTTTGAGCGGAGCGTCATCGCGCCGAGTCTCCCGCCCAGCCAAAAACGTCTGCGTACAACGCTACTGCGCAGCTCTGGTTGCAAGGAACCCAGAATTACCGAGAGCTTTTTGACTTCAAATCCGTATACAGGCGGAAGGCGGAACCACGGCGTCCATCTTATATACAGTCTGTGCTTCAACTCCGTATACAGGCGGTAGGCGGAACCAAGATGTCCGTAGTATATACAGTCTATGGCACACACCCACTCCACCTAAGCAGCAGCGGTTGGAGTTCGGAAGACGGACTCAAAGCCAGGCACAACTTGACAAAACAATTGCTCGGTAAGTTTAATCGTTTATTTGGAGTTTACTTTTTGTTAGCAACATCAAGCTATACTATTTGTTCCAAGAGTTCAAGGGTAAAATTTTGGTGTTAGTGTCAAGGTTTGTTTTGGAACATAATGGATCGTATTGCTTCGATGATTAGATTCAGTGATGTGGATGCAAATCAAATTTAACGGTTGTTTTAATCAAGCAGTGTTTTATCCAGCATCAGTACAGAGCTGAAATGACGGCTCGAGGGGAACTCAATCAGTCTGCATTTATGTGATAGCAGTGTCGGCTGGTGAGAAAAATAATAGGTGGGGCTGAAGTTTTGGATACCAGAGCCCTGTAGGGGGGTCCGGGGGTATCTTCCCCCGGGAGATTTTTTTCGTTATCAAAAGGTAGATGTAACAGTCTGGTGCTTTCTAAGAAAATGATTAAGGAAACATACGATGTTGACCTACAAAGACAAATGTGGTGGGGATACTGTATTCCAACTTATTAACAGGGTATTATAGCTGAAACACAGCCTACCTAGATTCAATGTTATGCTATGATATAGAAACTGACAGTAGCATACTCTTACTCGTGTACATCCACCTGCATCTCAACAGGTTAGGCTACAGCAAAGGAGCATGCAAAGACAACTGCAGAAAAATAGTAAGGAGCAGACCCACATTTATAACGAATCAGGCTGCATATCAAAGTAATCAGCCAAGAAAAACAACACAAACATTTGCTTTAAATACAGAACAGTTTTATTACATTTGATATTTCAGTTGAACTGAATTGAAACTGGGTGAACAAATACAGGGTTCCCACTCTTTTATAGAAATCATTCTCCAGGATTTTTCAGGACGTTTTCATGCCGCCTTAAAATTTATTGATTTCTAACATTGTGGCATGAGCATTGTCTATAAGCTATCTTTTTAGTCTGGCTTTTATGTAATGTCTCACTATAAAAAATTTATATTAAGTTTTAATCTACTCTACTTTTCTACAAACAGATTTTGCTGATTGCCTCTTTCACTAGCAAACTAGAAATTTTATTTTGCCAGCTTTATAACATATATACATATACATATATATATATATATATATATATATATATATATATATATATATATATATATGTATATATTTACAGTACAGTCCAAAAGTTTGGACACACCTTCTCATTCAACGCATTTTCTTTATTCTTATTACTATTTTAATTGTAGATTCTCAGTGAAGGCATCAAAACTATGAATGAACACATGTGGAATCATGTGCGTAAGAAAAAAAGTGTGAAATAACTGAAAACATGTTTTATATTTTAGATTCCTCAGAATAGAGACCCTTTGCTCTTTTGATAGCGCTGCAAACTTTTGCTGTTCTCTCAATGAGCTTCATGAGGTTGTCATTAAATAGTTTTTACTTCACAGGTGTGCCTTGTCCAGGTTACTTCATGACTAACAGAGTCAGTCACTAAGTACTTCTGTCCTCAAGAGCAAAGGGTGGCTAATTATAAAGAAACTAGCATATAAAACATGTTTTCAGTTATTTCACACTTTTTTATCAGTACAAAATTCCACATGTGTTCATTCATAGTTTTGATGCCTTCAGTGATATTCTACAATGTAAATAGTCATATAAAAAAATGAAGAAAAGACATTGAATGAGAAGGTGTGTCCAAACTTTTGGCCTGTACTGTATATATATATATATATATATATATATATATATATATATATATCCCTTGTGTAACCATTAGATTTACATCAGTTGTTTACGCTCAGTGGCTTTTTTTAGCAACTGAGCCACTTAGACATTGACTGCTGTAAAAACATATTGGATTCATATTTTTTCAGTTTTTTTTTTTGACATATCTCTAAATTAACTTCTGCTCTATTCAAAACTAGTAAATGTTTCATTAAGAATCAAAATTTTAACCCTTTAAGGGCCAATTTAAAACATAAAGTCAAAAATATTTTTATATAGTTTTATAAGAAAACATAATCAGAAACTGGATATCTCTAGCAGGGTATTATAGTCTTAAATATGTAAAGGATTAGTAATATCATTGACTTTGATGCCTTTTAAGTTTTTTTTGTAGGATCAGATTTCCAAAAAACATCCTTTGTTAACGCTCAGTGGCAAAAAAAGCCACTGACATTGACTGCTGTAAAAACATATTTGATTCATATTTTTTCCAGATTTTTTTTCACACATATCTCAATTAACTTCTGCCCTGATCGAAAATAGTACATTTTTTATCTAAAAACATTTTTTTAAGCCTTTGAGAGTCCATTCAAAACATAACGCCACTGATATGGTACAAAAATACACAAAAAATACCAATTTTATTATCAGAAATAGGCAATTTTTAATGTGTTGCATAATCTTGGCCTTGTTAAGGATAAGGAACCTCAGAAACCTTGATACATTTTTGTGTAACATCTGACTGTCATAAAAAAAATTACACTTACACTATTCATGTCTTTTATACACTTGCATTTTCTTTGCGTACCAGCAGGTGGAAGTAATGAAAAAATGTAACCAATATTAACAGTAGAACCAAACCATATTTTATCGCTCAAAATGCAATAAAACAAAAGCCTCAAATATACACCAACAGAGTATGAAACCAGAACAAACGACTAACTTTTGAGGGTGAAGCGGTGGAAAGGATTGAAAGAAACCTGGGAAGCCTAAGAGAGTGAATGTGTGAGAAATCGAGTGAGCAAAGAGAGATAAAATGTAAGTGTGTGTGTGTGTGTGTGTGTGTGTGTGTGTGTGTGTGTGTGTGTGTGTGTGTGTGTGTGTGTGTGTGTGTTCAATGTTTGAAGCAAGACCGGCAGGAGATCTCTCTGTGTTCATGCCAGATGTGTTTCCAAACAGGCCAGACAAAATCGGAAGCCCCAAAAAATGTGTATTTGCGTGCGTGTGTGCATGCGTGCATGTGCATGTGCATGTGAGAGAGAGAGGGGAGGAGCCTGCATGTCATGACCCAGCACTGACCTGGCCACAAAAGTAAACTATGTTCTTCAGCTCTCAGAAGTACAGAGAGGTCGAAAAAAATGAACAAAAACAAAAGTGAGCTGTTATGTCTGGAGGTGTTTATAAACCTGCTATCTGGCCTTTTGATCACTGGGGGCCCCAACCCTGGCTCCACCCCTGCAATCCACAACTTGCAGATTGTAATGACCATTTTCTCATGAGAAGAGCAAGAGAAGCATGAAGAGAAGCTTCAGCACCACGGAGGCCCTTGCAATGGTCATTGATTCTGATGGGATGGAATCTGACCCCCCACAGGATCCATCATCATTGTCTGGCCTGTTTTGTTCGAGGGGTGAATCTACTGCCTGGCTGTGGGATGTGGATCTCTCCTGGAACCGTAGAAAGTGATTCAGGAGGAGGCTTTTCCTGGAGGACCTTGGAACGGCTTTGGTGTTAAAAAGAACTAACAAAACCTTTGAGTTCTGTGTGAAACACATCTGGCATGAACACAGAGTGATCTCCTGCAGGTCTTGCTTCAAACACTGAACACACACACACACACACACACACACACACACACACACACACACAGAGCTGAGTTCTGCCTCAGCACATTACGACCAAGCTGGTACCGAAAGAGAATGTGAGTATAGAAAAGACATGAATAGTGCAAGTGTTTTTATGAGTGTTTTATGAAAGTTTCTATGAAAATTAGACATTACACAAAATGCATCATAGTTTCTGAGGTTCCTAATCCTTCACGAGGCCAAGACTATGCAACATGTGAAAAATCACCGGTTCCGGATTATGTTTTATGGTGAAAATAGGTCATTTTTGTGTATTTTTCTACCATATCAGTGACATTATGCTTTGAATGGACCCTCAAAGGGTTAAAAAATGTTTTTAGATGAAACATTTACTAGTTTTGATCAAAGCAGAAGTTAATTAAGAGATATATGAAAAAAAATGGAAAAAAACATTAACCCAATATGTTTTTACAGCAGTCAAAGGAAGTGGCTTTCTTTAGCCACTGAGCGTTAACAAAGGATAGAAAAAAAATTGCCCAGCCCGTATTTTTGACCTGGTGAAAATTTTGAAGTCATATTTTCAAAGTGTCCATCAATATAGGCATCTGCACAAAAATCATCCCATTTGCTGCAGTAAAAAAAAAGTTACATGGAAATTAGTGGCTAAATTTTGCCCCAAGTGGCTTTTTTTAGCCACACCGTTACATAAGGGATATATATCCCTTATGTAACGGTGTGGCTAAAAAAAGCATTTACACACACACACATATATATATATATATATATATATATATATGTATAATGTTTCTATTTGCGACAGAGGCTGAGATATCAGTTTTTTTGTAAACCTCAACAGTTAAGAAAACCTCAGGACCTGGGGGCCCGTCTAGGGTTCCCAACCGTACCGTAAAAAACGGGATCGTACCATATTTGAAAACAAAAAGACATGTCCCGTACTGAATTAAAATGGGATACTCCTTTTCCCGAATTTTCTGACAGCGTCTCTCTGCCTAACACACTGTCACAGGCTCACATCAGCAGCTTGGCAGCTGAGCTATGGGACAAGTTACAAAACACAGCAGACTACCAGCTATGGGTTGTTAACAAGAGCGTGTTACGCGTTATACTACACTATGCTGCAGCGAGGCTTTCAGTTTTACACAGCTCTGGACACAAGTACTTAGTAAAACAAAGAGGGGTGTGTGATTATGTCCTCTCTGGTTCCATAGGCAGTTTTAGGATTTGCCAACAGGGGGTGCAACTTGCCAGAGAAGTAAGTCTTTTCTTTTGGTTTGTTTTTTGCAAGGCCAAACCTGGAAGACTCATGTTTACCGATTTACAATAGGATGTGATGTTTTAGTTTGTAATATTTTAAGGAGGTTATATAATTAAGGTTAACTGTAATAAAGTGTTTGCACTTTGACTTCTTGAATAAGTCAAACATTGTTTCAAAATGGTGACATTGCACTATATGTTCCATGAAGAATTATTATTATTTTGCACACAATAAATTCTTCAATGATACATTAACTGCGTTTCCATTACCCATAGATTTGCGCAAAACCTAAATATAGCAATAGAAAACTGGTAATGGAAACACCTAAATTTCAGAAAAACCTCTCAAATATCGCTAAAAGGTTTTTACGCTCTCATGAGGTGGTTTTTCAGACGTGTCGATATATAAGTATATTGCAAAAGTGTAATGGAAACACTATTCTTGCAATTCTCTGTCACCGGACGTGACGTAGCGGGTCAAGTGACCAGTTCATTTCAAGCGAAATGTGTGTATGGACGGGGGAGGAGACGGAGTTATTTCTGAGGTTTTGAATTGTATTTGTATTTTTCTGAAGTTTTGAATCCACAATTCGTCCATGAATTCCTCATTAACAATCCTCCCCCAGAAATCCCTCATCCGTGTCCGCTCCCATACATACGGGTTTGAATACGGAAGTGAGCAGAATGACCGAACATGGAGCTAAACGCAGAGCTGAGGGCAGCAAAACAGTTGTCAGCTGTGACTTTGGGTCATCCTCAGAAGATGTTATAGTTGAGGAGTTATTCAACGTCTCTCCAAAGTGACGTCGAGCAATTAAGCCGATAAACTGGCAACATAACAAATCTTTTCTCCTCGAGTGATTATGCGGGAAGCATGAAAATGCGAGCGGAGTCTGTACAGCCTGTCACTGCTGACGGTACGAGTAGCATTAGCAGTTTAGACACAACTAGCGGTGCAGCCACCAGACCAAAGCAGCAATCAGTCATATCCATACCTGCCAACACTCCCATTTTCCCCGGGACTCTCCCCTATTTCAGACGTAGGCCTGTCACGATAACAAATTTTGCTGGACGATAATTGTGCTACAAATTATCGCCGATAAACGATATTATTGACACCGTTTTTTAAATTATACATAATGATATTATATGGCATAATAATGCGAGTACACCTTGTCAAAAGTGATAAACTTTAATTTCCACTGTCTGTCAGCGCGCACCATTTTGCGCTGTTTTGTTTATATTTGCTTTGCTTACCAAACGCTTCAGTAAGCGGTACCTGTCGGGACGATGGCTCCGCAGCACCTCCGGTGGTACTTTTTTTGCTCAGTTGAGAAAAATGGAGGGGATGATTGTGCTTGAGGTGCACATGCATGTTCGTCGTATTCCCCTTCTTTGTCACCACAACTTTGGAACAAATACGACATATCGGCTCGTCTGTATATGTGGGGTCACCTCTTTCATTTGGTTTAAAGCAGTGTTGTTTTCGTCATATTTCGTCAAATATTTTCGTCAACGCCAGCGTCAAAAAAGGTAAATAATTTCATCAACGAGAACAACACTGGTTGTTTTCGTTGACTAAAATATTTCCCTTTCTTCCACGACGAAGACGCAACGTTGACGAGCTAAACATAAGTCGGAGATGACTAAAATGTGACGAGACGAAAGTGCGTTTACGTTGATGGGACGAGACGAAAATGACAAACAGACTTGCAAAACTCAGTCAGTTAAACGCTCAACATACAGGAGCAGCTTCAGTCCGCTCTGACAGCTCTCATCAGCCTGCTGTGCTCCTCCAACACACAGACACACACGCGCGCACACACACACACACACACACACACACACGAGTTTTGTGGTTGACGAAAACAAAACTGGTTTAAAGCCGAAATATTCCCACACTTGGGCTGTTGCGTTCGGTTTAGACACCAAAGCTGTCGTGTTCATTCTGTTTGCTTGCTTTTCACTCACGACGCTCACTTGCAGCACTGTATCCAAAAGTCTGTGTCTGTGTGCCTGACTGTGCGCGCCAGCCCCCTCGTGACAAAGACACTGAATGACTGACAGGAGGGTTCACTAACTCCGTTCATTCCGCTATAGAGCCAACGCCCCCAGGTGCCGAGAACAATGCACAGAGTGAGACCTCTTCTCTCATCCAGCGTGTTTGGTAGCGAGAGAGGAGGAAAACAAACGCACGTCAATTATCGAGGCTGGCAAAATGACCGACCTCGTTTTTATTTACCGAGCGATAAGGCGATTTATTGATTATCGCGACAGGCCTATTCAGACGTATCTCCCGCCCACTCCCGGTATTATCATTTCTCCCGGGAATTTCTCGTAGCATGGTCCGCATTCATTCATGAATCAGATCACTATATTTGCTCAAAGTTTCCAGACAACCGGAGATTGTCCTTTGTTTCTGCTGAGCCTTACAGACAGTGGATTGACACTTTTACTTTACAGTTTGGGACGATTCAGGTCGGTTTCAGCTGTAAACTACAGGGCTCTCAAGTCTCACGCATTCAGCGTGTGACACACGCATTCCCACCTGTTCACACGCTCACACTCCACACATCGTATTTCTCACGCATTTAAATGAACATGGTGATGTCCACCACGTTGCCCCTCTTTAACAATGGAACAGGTAGAAATCAACTGAGTTTCTCCGAGAGTTCAGAAGCTGCGTGCCAGGCGCAAGCCAATCAAATAAAGTATATCTACTGAACAGCCAATCAAAAAGCAGCATGTCTGTATCCGGGTAGAAATAGAGCAGGTTTTTAAAAGGACGAGATAGACCCGATGATTACAGTAAGTCAGTAACCTACACATGCAGAGACCTCAACACCTCATGGCATATAAACTCATATAATAAACTAAAACCCTATGCTATTGCTATTGACAGCTGTATTGATGAATTTAGCCTCTGTACAGCCATTTCCAGCCATTTTCCCCTCCACAAAAGCAGCATTTCTCATATATTTTTTTTAAAGTTCTGATACTCATGACAGTGTAACGCTCATGTACCAAAGGATTAAGTATCTCCATGTTTGTGAAACCTATACTAAAGTACAATTCATCTAAATGCTCCACAGTGCTGATTTTAACAACTCTCCTCCACACCACAGGTAACTTTACGACTTAATTCTTATAAATTAATGACTTTTATTCTCCTAAATAATAACTTTGTTGTCTAAAATTTTAATTTTTTTTTTCTTAATGTGGCCCTCACACTCTGTTGTATTTAAGAGATTATTATACTAATAATTATCATCAATCACTCTACACCCCCCCAAAGAAATCTCACTCTAAGCTTAGTTCAAAACTTGAGAGCCCTGAAACTATATTAAAGAAGTGTTTATTGGAAAATGAACACTTCAATGAAAAGAAACAAACGCGAGCTATGCGAGAGTGATGCGTTCAGGGCAGCCTCGGATAAAAGAGTGCTGTATTTCATGCACAGATGTTAAGAGAGCCTCATACGGGAGAGCATGTAGAACATGTAGCACTGTTGAGTTAAAATGTTTTTTAGATTTTTCTAAGTGTATCTTATTCAGTTTGCTTTGTTATTTACTTTATATGTTAATAAAATGTTGAACTAATCTCTAGTTTTTTTAGTTTTTAGTACAGATACTTTAAAACTGGCGCTTTAAAAAAAAATCGTGATATTAATCGAGATCGGACGATATGACAAAATAAGTCGTGATCATGTTTTTTGCCAAATCGCCCAGGCCTAATCCAGACTCTAAACATCTGAATCCACCCTATTATCAGACTTTGGCTCACCACCCCTATCGGAGTTTCGACCGAAATGACCTGTTTGCAGTGTGTCAAGTGGACCCAGGCTGATCTTTCTGCTATCTTAACAGCAGTGGGGGTTGTCAACAGTACCTGGTATGGACCTTCCCACTTAGGTGAATGCCAATGCTTTCTTTTAACACTTCTTATTAGCACCCAGTCTCCAGGCTTCAGTGGCTGAGTCTCCTGTTGAGAATCAGCGGGATGATTGTCAGTATACTGGTTTTTGTTTTTCTAATATCTTTCTCATATAGTCTGCAAGTGTGCTGTCGTCATCTGTTTCCCATTGGTTCTTAAACTGGGCCAGCCTGTATGTTCTGCCAAATAAGGTCTCATAAGGAGTCAATCCACTAGTGCTTGTTATATTGATGTAAAGTTCTACGAGATCAAGACACTGTGTCCATGGTCTGTTTCTTTCTTCCATACATTTTTTTAGTCTATTTTTTAAAGTTCCATTCATTCGTTCTACTAAGCCTGCACTTTGAGGGTGATATGCACAATGATGTTTAAGGTTTATGGAACATTTGTCCTATTTTTTTAAGGATTTGGTTCGCAAAATGAGTGCCATTGTCGCTACGAATTATTTCTGGGATACCATACTGAGGTATGATGTCTTTACAAAGTGCTTTAGCGACTGTCAATGCATCTGGTGTTTTAGTCGGGAAAAGCTCTACCCATTTGGAAAATGCATCTGTTATCACAAGACAGTATCTTTTTCCTTCACTTGGGCTCAGTTCGATAAAGTCCATGTGTATGACCTGGAAGGGATATTTTGGTTCAGGGAAACAACGTGTTTTCATTCTGAGATTTCCCTGAGGATTGTGTTTGGCGCATGTTAAACCTGCTCTGCAAAAAATTTTTGAATAAGAGTTAAATCCATAAGTAGGAAAATGTTGTTGTATCTGTCCTACCATCCTTCCTGTTGAGACATGTGTGGGACCATCGCTCAATATTGCTCCCCATTTAAAAAGATTCTTTGGAAGGATAGGTTTCCCTTCAGGTCATATATAGATGCCATTTTGCAAATGTGCGTCTTGTTTAGCCCAGAGTTCAATTTCAGTTTTTGGGCTCTGTTGTTGCATTGTTTTAAGAACGTCACCAGAAAGTGCGTCAGTATACTCCAAGGTGCAGACTGAGATCTCTCCCTCAGCTGGAGCCTTGGCTGTTTTATCTGCAAATGCGTTTACCAGCGAGACGGGGTCTGTTCCGGAAGTGTGGGCGGCACATTTGCAAATAGCTAACCTTTGTGGCAGATGTACAGCAGCATTTACTCTAGGTCAGGAAGTTGCATTGTTCACGATTTTGTCATAGAGCTATGGAAGCAGAAAGAGGGTTGGTGGCTCTCTCATTTCTTTAAAAAAAAGACCTTTTCAACTGCTGAAATGGCGTTGCCACTTTTGGATGTCATGTGGTATGTGGTATTTCCACAAATATGTATTTTAATTATAAATTTCATAGTGACCTTTTATGGGAAGCTAGTGGGCTTTGTTTATTTGGCTAATCCTGTATCAATAAGATTTGACTGAACTTGAAAATGTCATGCAGTGCGACCAATTATCATGTGGTGCGACCACTGCAGATTGTTTTCCATCATAAATATATGCCCTAGATTGGCAGTATTTACGCTTTTTATATTCAATTGATGAATGATAAACACAAAGAACTTAATTTTTAGTATTATTTTGAATTTTTTTTGTTATTTGATGTCATTTTGCTAATATTTCAGAAATAATGGTTAGTTCATCTTTGTACAAAATAAGAAAAAAACTATGCCATTTCACTTACGGTATTTATGCCGTTGTTAGCAATTTATTTACTTTCATGTATCTATTTAAGTCATTTTAATTAAGTTTACCAGATGCCACTGTCGAGCTAAGTTAAAAGTGCTCGCAATAGGCAGCGTGTCAACTCTGACCCTGAAGCATGTTGTTCATGCAAGGACTGGTCAACGATTGGGCCAAGATTGGGCAAAGTTTAAAAACGCCTGAGGCCTGTACTACAAAGCTGGATTTGATCGTAGCGAGATAACTTCTTGAATAATTCCTGGGTTTACCGCACGATGAAGGTGGATTTCTTTCTATCCAGGTCTGTTGCCCCAGTAACTTACGCGGAACATCAAACCTGCTCCGGAGAAGGTTATGTTTCAGGATAAGATCTCAGCAGGTATAAAAGACCGCCCACTGACCAATCAGATCTCTTAGAAAATGGCTTGCCCACTTTTGCCGGATCCCGGGGACATCGTTGCACGGATAGTGAGAGGAGCGCTTCGCCGAGAACGATATATTCAAGATCGTTCAAATCTGTTTGATTTACCTGATGACGTTCTCTATGAATGTTACAGGTTTTCCTCGGACGGCCTCAATAGGTAGCATGAAGTCTAAGCAATGCACTAACATTTGCCAAGCTCCAAGTTCCAATTTCATGCAGCATATCAGTCATACTTCATATTAATCTCGTTTCATATTTTCTATATTTTTATCTATCTTTTTTCCAATGTCTTGCACTGATATGGGTGGCTTTAATTTCATTGTACTGCTTATAATGACAATAAAAGGCATTCTGATTCTGATCATTCAGAATTTATTGAAGCAGATTAGAAAACTCCTCTTAACCCCAAATGTGTCTACAGATGACATGTGACCATTCGATGATGGAGAAAAAAGAAAAAAAGGCAGTGTGAGGAAATCACTGTTTACGTGTTGAAATGTGTACAAATTAAATCTTCCAGTAAACCAGCTAACCACTTTGACGGATGTTTTTAGATTTATTTTTATTTGCTCCCACGTACTCTTTTCCCCACTACTGTTGTATCTGAAATAATGAGGTCAACAGGAGGTTATCACACACGCTGCATGACAACATATAAGGGGGCCATAAATTTATGAACATACAAATGTAATTGACACAATCGATGATTTTTTTGCCAGCAGTCCCTGCGGCTTTTAGCAGCTGCGGCTGTCCTGCTCCTCACTGTTATAGTGTTGCAGTACTCCTCGTATTTGTGTAAAATAATGCTCTGTTCCTCGGCTGTGAAATATGACGTGCAGCCTTCTCCATTGTTGAGAGTGGTCCGGTGGCACTGACCCCGCCCCCTTTACGTGTGCGCGCACAGATCTAGACTGACCATAACTGAATTTAGTTAGCTAGTTGATATCCTGCCTCGTAGTACAGCAGATCGGGATTACGGAGATCTGGTGAAATTGATCGAGTTGTCGCAGAGTTATCCTGGTTGCGTTAATCCAGCTTCGTAGTGCAGGCCTCTGGACCACGGACACAAACACACACAGAGTTAATTTTATGTCAAAAAGGGAAATAAAATGTTTGTGTTCATGTTCGAAATGTTAATAAAATTTGGTTTGAATATAAAATTTGCATGAAATTAATTGTTCATAGGTCTCTTTAAATTGATTTTTAATGATACAAGGTCTTCAAGTCATTTGGCGCGACCACCAATCATGTGGTGCAACCAATAATAACATTTCTACTAGGCCTGCACGATATATCATTTCAGCATCGTCATCGCGATGTACGTGTGTGCGATAGTCACATTGCAGAGCCTGCGATGTCGGAGGTGAATGAACTCAGTTAATTTCCATGGTAGCCGACTGAGACACACTGCATGTGACTCTGCATGTGCTGTGCAGCGATCCACCATTCACCTTCTTTCTTTACTCAGTTGCCAATCAGACTCAGTTCTCAGTTGCCAATCAGACTAACCTGCCAGCTGTCAATCAAAATCAGAGAGGAGGAAACCCACCCCTGCACATGTTCTGCACATGGAGTGAGACGCCTGTCCGCTGAGAATTACTTTCAGAACATTCTTCATCACTGTTTAGCCCAACAAATAAGTATGGGTTTTAAATTGTACATTTCCGTGGACCACTCTACTATAAGCAGTGCGCGTTTTGTGAGGTGCATGCAATTCTCGGAGGACATGGGTTTCTCGGCACAACCCCGTTGACAACAAAAACAACGATCGCAAACTGAGCAACAAACAGAGAAAACCACAGAAGATGAAGATTTGTTGCCAAAAAGAAAAGGAAAGTCAGTTATCTTGAATTATTTCGGTTACAAGATGGATAATGTCGACCAAAACACGTTCTGTGTTCATCTGTTGCCACAATAACGTCTGGCGGAGCCTGGTGTACAGCCAGTTTGGTATTTTCGTGGACTGAGGCGCACCAAGGTCCGCCAAGCTGGGCGTGGTGGCGTGGCACGGGGAGGTGTCGACAGAATCAGCTGGCGCTAGTGGTGCAACGGATCATCATTGATCCGTGATCCGTTCGGATCGACGTCATCGGTTCGGCACACACGTTACCCGCGGTTCGATTTCTGAAAAAAAAATTGGCTTCCCTGTCAACTATGATGAGGAAGGAAAGAGGTCAGTGGACAAAACTGCGAAGGTGTGTAGGCACTGTGGCATAAGAAAGCCATATGACAGTGGAAACACATCGAGCATGTTCACGCATTTGAAAGCGACATCACCCGGGTGTTTTAATGACAGGTGTTGTGCCGTAGACTGCACCCCTGCCGTAGAACGCACCCCTGCAGTAGAACGCACCCCTGCATCCCCTCCACTCGTTAGCTTCTTAAAGTGGAGATAATGATCTCATATTTAAAGAAACACGAGTATTAGATCATGACAACATGTCAAATGGAGCAGCAAACTTTCATTTTCTTTTTATGTGTCTCAAAAATGCAAATATAGAGGTGTACTTGGGTATAAACTGTACAGAAAGCTGTCCAGGTAGAGAGCATTATATTTTCGGGACAGCAATATTCCAAGGGCTGTTGTTTTTGGCTTCTTTGAATAGCCTGAATGAAATTATTACAGGCAAACGCTTTTGAATCCATCCAATGTAAGAAAAACTTGGATTATTTCGCCTCGTTATGTACTTTAAACCGCGCTCCCGTCAGGGGGTGCATTCTACGGCAGGGGTGCATTCTATGTCACAACACCTGAGATAAAACGAAAGCTGGCCAGCAACCACTCATCACCGCAGCATTTAAGCAGCCTCTTCCTGCGGAATCCGACCGGGTTAAAGCTATCACAAACGCTATCGGTGTGTTTATAGCTACAGACATGAGGCCATATTCAGTTGTGCAAACGAGGGCTTTAAAAACATGCTGAAAGTGCTTGAGCCACGTTACAATATCCCACCGCGCACATACTTCATTTTTGGTTCATTGTTACATTTTAAAGGAAGGAGATATGCCTATATATTGCACTTTAAGTTGTTTTTCATTAATAATTATGTTGAAAAGAAGATATTATGCCGTATGCACTACTTTTATATATTTTAATTCAACCATTTAAGTGTTTAATATACAGACAAAACTTATGTTTATTTGTCTTGTTTTTTTTTTTGTTTTGTTTTTTTGCTTTTTGCTGATCCGAAAAATGATCCGATCCGTGACTCTTGATCCGAGGAACGATCCGATCCGTGAGTGTTGTGATCCGTTGCACCACTAGCTGGCGCAGTGACATTTTCGTGCTCGCCTCCGGCGTGTAAAGTGCGCCGAAATCTCGCCGTATCAAACCTGGTCAGCTTTCAGCGCAGGCGGAGCGCAGCTAGTCTAGTGGTATTTTGGTAGACTGGCAGCGTATCGGCATACGTCACCAATGCCTCACTGGCAGGTTTCCACAGTGTCAGGCACATTTCAGTGCAATAGATAAACAACAACAACAAAAAATCTGAGTCAGCACATACATTTAGATCTATATATTCTGATCTATATCTGATCTGAAGAGCGCCTTTGGCACGCTTTTAGACACTCAACCTAACCAGATTAACACAGTTGAAACAGCATTTAATTAAATTGAAATAAATATCTAGTAAACACACATGATGAAGTTAACATGATATGTAATTCGTCTCCCCCCTTTTCTTTCTTCCTCGTCCTCTCATTTCTCACGCAGTTCGACCTGGACATGTCTCCATGTCCTCTCCCCGTCCTGCTGCAGCTGCTGAACAGATGATTTGTTTCAGTGATCAGATGAGTTATTTACTTTAAGCCTACATATTAATATTATAATAGTCAGTTTTGTGAGCCCAATTTATTTTATATGCCAACATCAATGAAAAAAAGAGACAGGCCACGGAGCGCAATGCGTCATTTACGTACAGATGGTTCAGATTTTAATGCCATCATTGGAATTTATGTTGTGATCTGTGCGTACAACCCACCTTTGTCACGTAAGGTTTAAATATATGCAACTTTATGTGAGCGTCTTTATTTGTGGAAAAGGGTGTTTGTCTTACCAGTGGGTACAACCTTACACACACCAAATCCATCCGTGCTTATATGAGACAGTGTGCAGGACACCCTCTGCAGCTCTTACAGCGACACTTATTGAGGGGCTGCCTTCTGTTGCCATCATGTGGCATTGCTGTCTTCACACATCTCTTTTTGTCTTTGACTACTTCACGAAAATTGTAATACGCCTCGCCCTTGGCGGATTTAAAGGCGAGGAGAGGAGCTTATGTTATTGGTCAAAACAGGTCTCGGCTGTGTTAAACCCACTCCACGCCCTCTCCCCTCCCTCCCTACCTACCTCTTACTCCGCTGGGAGGAGCTAAGTTAGGGAGGGGGACACTTGCGCCGTGCTGCTACACTCACCAAAATACCAAATTGTGCTTGGGAACGCCTTGTCGGCGCGGCGGACCTGACTTACACCGCGTCTGCGCCATGTTGCCTTATTTATCAACCGTGCATAGAAAAGGTCCTAAATTCTGATGTGGGAATGAAATTTAGAATGTGCATAAGTACAAAAAAATCTGTATTTATCAAACATTCGGACACCGGTCGTACGCACACATGTAAGTAATCGGTGATGATAAATCCCACCTGTTCTTTACTATGGTGCTTGTGCATGGTTAGGGTCTTTTGCATTCAGAAATGCCTCCAGTTGACCATATATGGTATCAACAATCCCTTTAAAAATGCATGAATGGATTTTTTCCCCCTTGACAAAATCATGGAGGTGCACACTCACAGAGCTGTTCTGCAGAATGAATGAGTCGTGCGTTCCTCCAGGCCACCAGGCAACAATGTTTAACAGATACATATGTGCATCGCAGATTATTTGTGCATTGATTGAATGAAATCCTTATCTATTAGCATAACTGAATTTATATTGTGAAGATGCTTTTATTGCGACGTGGGTGCAATCTATGGCTCCAATTATGTTTGGGAATCCGGCAATGGCGTGAAATCCTTGTTTTATTTCGGCTTGTTGGTGATGTGTGTATGGGAACTGGACATAAGTTGAGGCCAGAGAAATTATTGCATCCAACTCTGCCGGCATGATTCTGCTTAGCGTTGGCTGCAAAATGTAGTTTATTTCTTCAATCTTATGCTGAATTGTTCCGGTGGCCAAAAATCCCAGGGTGGACATTAACTGGATGTGCACTGGGATGGCTTTGGAGCGTTTTGTCTCTCACTCCAACACGGGTAGTAAATCCCATTAAATTATCCCACATGGGTAGTAAATCCATTAAAATGTTTTTGGGGAAGCGGTACCTGCTGAGAGTCAGCTCTGTTTTCTCACTGAACGGATCAGCACGGTCTTTAAAAACGCGCTTCCTGCGGAGCATACGTTCTCCAAGTCCTCTAATAGTGCAAAATAAGCCGTGATACTTGTATTTGTACTTGTAAGACTTAATTTGAGGTTGTCCTGTCACAGCTGATTTTTTTGCTTGTCACAACAATCATTCAAAATGTCTGCTAAATAACTATTTGATAAATTTTGTACAGAGGCAACAGAGAACACGTGTGTATTTTGAGATTGCTGAATGCTGTTTCTCCTTGAATGGGTTCTATTTGAAGTTTCACTGTTCTACCACTAAATTTTATGTGTACACATGGTCAGAGTTTACGCACGTTCCTTAGCACAATTACATGTTGATAAATTCCACACACCTGTGCGTGGGATTCTTCATATGCATTCAGTACGCACACATCTGTGCGTACACATGGTTGATAAATGAGGCCTCACTAACGGTTTTCTACATTTCAATGTAGGGCAGTCACTGAGGCCAACCACAAGATGGTGCTATCATACCATAATTAAAAATTAGTATAGTTACATGCTGCTGACTGCAAACATCTTTTGAGTATTCACACATGGAGCGGGGCCATTGTTTTGCATAGGCATTAGTTTTACTAAAGCACTAATCCTCATCTCTGTTTATTTACAACACTCATACAATTTTTTTTTAACTTAAGGTTATCAAAAATGTCTGCATATATGACACTTCTCCAACTGCTTCTTTTCTACAACTTAATGCATGTTTAACTGCAGCTATTCTAAAATTTCTACATAATTTCTTCTTGTTCTCCACCTCTTCAACAGTTTAAACATTTTTACTTTTCTTCTTTTGTAGCAGTTCTGCATGGCTGTTTCAGCATTCAGCATTTCCATGCATTTTCTGCAAGGAAATGCAATTTTTGTAGTTGTCGTATATATTCCTGTCGGTCGTTTTTATTCTTCTGCCAATTTTGCTACTTTTTTTCATCTTCCCACTTTGTGCTATTTCAACCTTTCAAACTTTATAGTAATGCACTCCTTCAGTGTCATTTATTACATAGGTGTTGTGTTACACAGAGGAGGGCCTAAGATTTTAAAATTTTGTAAGGGTTGTGGCCACCCGATTTGTCCCGGAAACACGTTTTGTACTTAGTAACCTTTATTTAACCAGGAAATAAACCCATTGAGATTCAGAATCTCTTTTACAAGGGAGTCCTGGCCAGGATAGCAGCACAAGAAGTTCCACATTAAAAAAAAAAAAAAAAAAAACACGCAGAAAAACAAAACAGTTACAGTATGCAAACACAACAATAAATCAGCGTTCAGTAAGAGGACGTGCATTCAGGACTCAAAAACTCCTTAATTCTAGTTTTAAAATGTTCCACACTTGGCAGATAATCCAATTTAAAATAACCCTGTAAATTACACCAGGAGGAGGGTGCAAAAGCCTTGAAAGCGCTTTCGCCAAAAACCGTCCTTGTCTGAGGAATAGCGTACATGATCTGTCCATCAGACCGGAGATTACTCCTGTTGGTGATTTTGGGAGTTAAGAGGGAACATAGGTAAGAGGGCAAGTCACCTAGAATGGCCTTGTAAAGAAAGATATACCAATGTTCCAATCTACGATTTTGCAGAGAGGACCAACCAACACTCTCATATAAGCTGCAGTGATGAGTACGAAAATCTAAGCCAGTTACAAATCTTCATGCTGCATGATACACTGAGTCCAGTATTTTTAAAGAAGAGAGATTTGTATGCATGTATAAAAGTCCCCATAATCAAGTATGGATAAAAACGTTGCCTGTATAAGCCTTTTTCTTGCACCAAAGGAGAAACAACCCTTGTTTCTATAGAAGAAACCCAGTTTCACCCAGAGTTTCTTTGTAAGACACTCAATATGGTGCCTAAAGGACAAATTTTCTTTCAAGTGAAATCCCAGGTATTTGTAGACAGAAACTCTTACAACTAATTTCTCATTTAGAGTAACAATCTGACAGACGTCATCTGATTTCAATGATTTTGAAAAGCACATCATTTTAGTCTTGTCAGTATTGAGTACAAGTCTTAATTGATAGAGATTTTTTTTTTATTGGTATTTTATATTTTATATTTGTTTTTTATCTACCTATGTATTTTATATTTGTTTTTATTTATGGTGTATTTGTACCTCAATTTTACTTTGCTGTATTTTAATCTTGTATTCTGTGTTTTTGATTATATTGTTTACTGTCTGTTTTATGTATTTCGCTGTGTCTTATTGACCTGTACAGCACTTTGGTCAGCTTCGGTTGTTTTTAAAGTGCTCTATAAATAAAGTTTGAGTTGAGTTGAGTTGAGCTAATGATGGAGCTGAACAATACAAAACAGTGTCATCTGCATAGAAGTGGAAACTGGCATCAGTTACATTTTGACATAATGCATTAATATAAATAGTAAATAAAATAGGACCCAGTATGGACCCCTGAGGGACACCGTTTCGAATAGACAAGCAGTTGGAACACAGACCATCAACCTGAACCCTTTGTGTTCTGCCACTCAAGTAGTTACCAAACCATTTCACCGTATTAGTAGACATTCCAATATCCTCCAATCTCTGGGACAAGATAGAGTGGTCGACCGTGTCAAAAGCCTTTGACAGATCTAGGAACAAAGCAACACAATATTCTTTAGAGTAGGCCTGTCGCGATAATCAATAAATCGCCTTATCGCTCGGTAAATAAAAACGAGGTCGGTCATTTTGCCAGCCTCGATAATTGACGTGCGTTTGTTTTCCTCCTCTCTCGCTACCAAACACGCTGGATGAGAGAAGAGGTCTCACTCTGCGCATTTTTCTCGGCACCTGGGGGCGTTGGCTCTATAGCGGAATGAACGGAGTTAGTGAACCCTCCTGTCAGTCATTCAGTATCTTTGTCACGGGGGGGGGCGTGCGCACAGGCACACAGACACAGACTTTTGGATACAGTGCTGCAAGTGAGCGTCGTGAGTGAAAAGCAAGCAAACAGAATGAACACGACAGCTTTGGTGTCTAAACTGAACGCAACAGCCCAAGTGTGGGAATATTTCGGCTTTAAACCAGTTTTGTTTTCGTCAACCACAAAACTCCACGTGTGTGCGCGCGTGTGTGTCTCTGTGTTGGAGGAGCACAGCAGGATGATGAGAGCTGTCAGAGCGGACTGAAGCTGCTCCTACATGTTTAGCGTTTAACTGCCTGAGTTTTGCAACTCTGTTCGTCATTTTCGTCTCGTCCCATCAAGGTAAACGCACTTTCGTCTCGTCACATTTTAGTCATCTCCGACTTATGTTTAGCTCGTCAACGTTACGTCTTCGTCGTGGGTGAAATTAAAGTTTATCAGTTTTGACACGGTGTACTCGCATTATTATGCCATTTAATATCATTATCTATAATTTAAAAAACGGTGTCAATAATATCGTTTATCGGCGATAATTTGTAGCACATTTATCGTCCAGCAAAATTTGTTATCGTGACAGGCCTACTTTAGAGTCAATAGAACAAATGAAATCATTTAACACTTTCATCAGGCAGTGACTGTGCTGTGTTTTTTAGGGAAACCAGACTGTAATTCATTTAAAATGCTATTTGATGTCAAGAAATTTTTCAGCTGATCACTTATAAGTCCTTCCAAGACCTTGGCCAAAATAGGTAATTTGGATATCGGCCTATAATTATTGGGATTAGACCGGTCAACACCCTTCAGTAAAGGAGTGACATATGCTGACTTCCAAATGCTAGGTATTATCCCAGTTTCTATAGTCCAATTGAAAACATAAGTCAAGGGGACTTCAATATGCTCAGTAGCAAGTTTTAAAAAGAAAGGACCCAACCCATCAGGACCAGGGGATTTCTTGGGATTTAACCTTGAGAGAGAGTCATATATCTCATCTCTAGACAAAGGTGCAAGATCAAAATCAAAAGGTAGATTTTCCCTGGACAATGAGTGATCCTGTTGACTCACCACTTGTGGTATGTCGTGCTCAAACAACAACCCAGAAGATATAAAGTGCTGGTTCAAAGAATCTAGCATACTTTTCTTGTCTGTAATGGTCTCATCATTCAACTTTAATGTATTTGGCAGCACAGTATCCTTTGACCCTGAAGACAGTTATTTAATCAGTTTCCAGAATTTAGAAGGGTTGTTTGCACTGTCACAAATTTTATTAAGATAAAAATCGGCTTTGGCTTTACTAGGCCTGTCGCGATAATCAAAAAATCGCTGTATCGCTCGGTAAATAAAAACGAGGTCGGTCATTTTGCCAGCCTCGATAATTAACGTGCGTTTGTTTTCCTCCTCTCTCGCTACCAAACACGCTGGATGAGAGAAGAGGTCTCACTCTGAGCATTGTTCTCGGCACCTGGGGGCGTTGGCTATATAGCGGAATGAACGGAGTTAGTGAACCCTCCTGTCAGTCATTCAGTATCTTTTTCACGGGGGGGGCGCGCGCACAGGTACACGTAATGGGGCACAGGCACACAGACACAGACTTTTGGATGCAGTGCTGCAAGTGAGCGTCGTGAGTGAAAAGCAAGCAAACAGAATGAACACGACAGCTTTGGTGTCTAAACCGAACGCAACAGCCCAAGTGTGGGAATATTTCGGCTTTGAACCAAATGAAAGAGGTGAGCCCACAAATACGGACGAGCCGATATGTCGTATTTGTCCCAAAATTGTGGTGACAAAGAAGGGGAATACGACGAACATGCATGCGCACCTCAAGCACAATCATCCCCTCCATTTTTCCCAACTGAGCAAAAAAAGTACCGCCGGAGGTGCTGCAGAGCCATCGTCCCGACAGGTACCGTTTACTGAAGCGTTTGGCAAGCAAAGCAAATATAAACAAAACAGTGCAAAATGGTGCGCGCTGACAGACAGCGGAAATTGAAGTTTATCACTTTTGGCATGGTGTACTCGCATTATTATGCCATATATTATCATTTTCTATAATTTAAAAAACGGTGTCAATAATATCGTTTATCGGCAATAATTTGTAGCACAATTATCGTCCAGCAAAATTTGTTATCGTGACAGGCCTAGGCTTTACGTATCTGAGAGACACACTTGTTCCTCAGGTGGCTAAAAAGTTGCCAGTCTGAGCTTTTTTTGGATATTCTTGCAGTTGCCCTGGCAAGATCTTGTTTATGAATTAGATCAGACAGTTGCTCTGAAAACCATGGATTATCACGACCTTTAATCTTGTATTTTCTGAGAGGAGCATGTTTGTCTATAATGTCCAAAAATAAGGAATTAAAATACTGTAAAGCTGTCTCAGCATCTGGAATCAAATTTACCCTGGTCCAATCACATAGATATATGTCATTTAAAAAGGCTTGTTCGGAAAATGACTTAAAATTACGCCTAATTATGATACACTTTGATAACTTTGTGTCTCTCACACAAGCAATAATGCAGTGATCACTAACATCATTTGCAAACACAGCGGTAGCCTGGTATTTTTGGGGAAAATTGGTTAAAATCAAGTCAAGGAGTGTCGACTTCTCAGGGCGTTTAGGGTTTGGCCTAGTTGGTGAGTCAATAATTTAAGCCAAAAGGGCTGAGTCACAGAAACATTTAAAAGAATCAGAAGCAGGGGTTAACCAATCCCAATTTAAATCCCCTATTAAAAGCAGATCATTGTAGTTAATAGTTGATAAGCAGTCAGACAATGAGAGTAGTGTATCCTTTAAGGCAGAAGGTCTATAACATCCCCCTACTGTCATAACACAGCTCTTCGTAAATTCAACTTTCAAGACAAGCAATTCAAATTGTTTAGGCACAGACTTGGATAATTGTACTGTTGCCTGAAATGTATTTTTAACATAAATTGCTACGCCTCCACCTTTGGCACAGCGATCAGCATCCAAATAAATATGACTATCAGGCGTAGATCTACTCAGCCATGTCTCAGATAAAACCATAATGTCAGCACTTGTTGATTTGGCCCAAATTCTAGCCATATAAATTTTGGGCAAAAGACTTCTCACATTCATATACAAAACCAATACGAGACCTATTCAAAAATTCAGCAGGGGTTTGTAGTGATATCACATCAGACACAGGGCCTGGGTTAGGCTGAACATTCCTTGATATCAACAAGCATGATCATACATTTCAACATACGTGTTTCATGAAAATGCTTCTTGATTTTCTTACAGACATCATTCATCGTAACAGGCTGAGAGTCATTTGATGGGATAAAGCAGTCCTTTAGGAGAAGAAGGCTTAAAAGATAATTAAAGTTTATATGCTTTGAAACCTGGCTCATTTCAAGCATCGAGCACCCTTGATTGATATCAAAGTCCTGCGCCCAGCTAGTAACCTTTGACCGTGATGACATACAAAGAAAGCACAGGCAGGAGGGCGAGAATTATACTCGCCATGATTCAGATTCAGATTCAGATTCCTTTATTAGCCATTGTGTAAAACACATAGGAATTTGCTTTGGCAATAGCATGAGTGTGTTCGGATGTTTTTTCACAGATAACATAAAACACAAACAACACGAAAAATAGATAAATATAAAGTGCAGTAGGATCAATAGTGCAGATGTAGTTCAGTGTCAAAGTCCCTAGTGGGCGGGGTGAGGAGGGAAGCCAGACTCATTGAGCAGCCTGGCAGCAGAGGGGAAAAAACTGAGTCTATGGCGTGCTGTGGTGGCCTTCAGCAGCTGCATCCTTCTCCCAGAGGGAAGCAGGGAGAGGAGACTGTGGCCAGGGTGGGAGGGGTTGGCCATGATTTTCTTGCCCTCCTCAGCGCCCTGGAGTTGTGCAGGGACTTGAGGGAGGGCAGCGGGCGGCCAATCACCCTCTCCGCTGAACGAATCACCCTCTGCAGCTTGATAAGGTCTCTTGCAGCTGCAGCAGGGAACCAGGTGATGATGGAGTGGGTGAGGATGGACTCAATGATGGCCGTGTAAAACTGAGTCATCATGGTCCTTGATAGTCTGTACTTCCTCAGCTGCCTTAGGAAAAACAGTCTCTGCTGGGCCTTTTTCAAAAGGGACATGATGTTAATTTCCCACTTCAGGTCCCGGGAGATGGTGACGCCCAGGAGCTTAAAGGACTACACAGAGTTTACCAGGGTGCCTCCCAGCGTGATGGGAGGGGGAGGGGCTGTGTTCTTGTGGAAATTCACCACCATCTCCACTGTCTTTTGGGGATTAAGGTCCAGGTTGTTGCTACTGCACCAACTGCGCAGCCGCTCGATCTCCCTCCTGTAGGCCGACTCGTCCCCCTTGGAGATGAGGCCCACCAAGGTAGTGTCATCGGCAAACTTGAGGAGCTTGACTGACGGGTGGAGAGAGACACAGGTGTTGGTGTACAGGGAGAACAGTAGCGGGGACAGGACACAGCCCTGCGGGGAACCGGTGCTGGTGGACCTGGAGTTGGAAATGCTTTTCCCCAGCTTCACCCGCTGAGACCTGTTGGTCAGAAAGTCTGTAATCCACTTGCAGGTGGAGGCAGGCACTTGCAGCAGGGACAGCTGGTGCTCCAGGATGGATGGTAGGATGGTGTTGAAGGCTGAACTGAAGTCGGCGAACAGGATCCTGGCATAGTTGCCGGCAGTGTCCAGATGGTTTAAGATGAAGTGCAGAGCCATGTTCACGGTGTCCTCTGTGGATCTATTGGCTCTGTACGCAAACTGCAACGGGTCCAGCACAGGATCAGTGATGCGCTTCAGGTGAGCCAGGACAAGGCGCTCCATGACCTTCATGACCACAGAGGTCAGGGCGACAGGTCTATAGTCATTGAGGCCTGTGACCTTGGCCTTCTTGGGGATGGGGATGATAGTTGAGGCCTTAAAACATGCTGGGACATGACAAAGCTCCAGAGAGGTGTTGAAGATGTTGGTGAACACCGGGGCGAGCTGGTCAGCACAGTGCTTCAGGACAGAGGGGGAGACAGAATCCGGTCCGGGCGCCTTCCGGGGGTTCTGGCTCCTGAGCAAGGCAGGATGGGTGAAATAGGCCTCAGCTGCAGAGCTGGGTAGTAGGCCTCAGGCTGCAGGGATGGGTGGATGAGGTAGGCCTCAGGCTGCAGAGCAGGGTGGATGAGGTAGGCCTCAGGCTGCAGAGCAGGGTGGATGAGGTAGGCCTCAGGCTGCAGGGCTAGATGGATGAGGTTGGCCTAAGGCTGCAGAGCAGGGTGGATGAGGTAGGCCTCAGGCTGCCGGGCAGGGTGGATTAGGTAGGCTTCAGGCTGCAGGGCTGGATGGATGAGGTAGGCCTCAGGCTGCAGAGCTGGGTGGATGAGGTAGGCCCCAGGCTGCAGGGCTAGATGGATGAGTTAGGCTTAAGGCTGCAGAGCAGGGTGGATGAGGTTGGCCTCAGGCTGCCGGGCAGGGTGGATGAGGTAGGCTTCAGGCTGCAGGGCTGGTTGGATGAGGTCGGCCTCAGGCTGCAGAGCAGGGTGGATGAGGTAGGCCTCAGGCTACTGAGCTTTTCTTGTTGTGGGTACTGCTGCAGATCTTGTCTGCAATCTAGCCACACTTTAGCAGCTCCCATAGTCTTGAGTAGGTTTTAAAGGCTAACAGGTGGCCTATGGAGTAGCCAAACAAAGTAGAGCAGAGTTGTTTCCCAAAGGAAAATGCCAAAATCCACAACCTTGATGCAATCTTTAAGTAAACTAGAACACTGAATAGTCCACAATGGAAAAATACTAAGTATTATAATCCAAAAGGAAACATTAAAAACAGACAAACACTGAGCAGAGACTGAACAGAGACACCACACATGCTGCCATCTTGCGCATGTGCAAAACAGACGTCACTTCCTCTGCTAGCCATCTTTGCGACAGCTCAGCAATTATTTGCTCCTAGCAGTTTGCGACAGCTTTGACACTATTTTGGCAGCATCAGCGAGCCCGCTTCAGAATGGAGGCGTCAATTTATCAACAGCTACAGGCCTTTCTCCTGATTGGAGTGCTTCCCCCAACTGAAGCAGAATGGCGCACAGTTTCTACAAAGTTTCCACCACTAACTTAATTTTAAAATTGTAACGTGAAAGGCTTGAATGAATGTTACTATTTTTTTTGTTGCCCAGCAGTCTGTTGTTTATTTCAGAGTCCATTGTTTATTTCTTTTTATGTTTTGTAAATATTTTTTGCAATCAATCCTGTGTCATGTCCTCAGCACATTGCAATTTTAAGCTGATCATAACACATTACAGGTATCGATAGATAGATAGAAAGATCACACTAAGGCTTCACGATATAACAGTATGTTTCCTCTAAACGATAGAAAATTTCTATCGGGATACATGAGCTCTATCATTTCTATCGCAGTGTCGCAAAAACACGCTTTACGGCAGTGTTTTACGGCAGTGTTTTACGTTGTGACGCTCCATATATGGCATGCCCACACGCGCTACTGCCAATGTGAAAAACACAAGCATGGAGGGGCCGGGTGTTGTGGCGCAAGAGACGACAATTCTCGTGCATCTAATGCAGACGAGCCAACGCAGATGGAGGAGCTGCTGCCGAAACGGGGGCAACGTCGGTTGTGTGGTCTTGGTTTGGTTTTAAAAGAAGCGACACGGAGCAGACCGCTGTAGTTTTATTCTGAGTCAGTACATGTAGATCTATATCGATATATTATGATGTATATCTGATCTGATAAGCGTGTTTGGCACGGGTTTGGACACTCCACCTGACCGAATTAACACAGCTGAAACCGCATTAAATTAAATATCCAATAAACAGTCACACATGATGAAGTTAACAAGATACTTAATTCGTCTCCCCAATTATCCTCCTTCTTCCTTGCGCAGCTTGATAGGTGTTATGCCGTAGCATGCACCCCTGAATCCCATCGACTCATTAGCTTCTTAAAGTGGAAAAAATTATCTCATATTTAAAAAAAACACGAGTATTGGATCATGACAACATGTCAAATGGAGCAGCAAACTTTCGTTCTGTTTGTAGGTATTTAAAAAAATGCACATACAGAGGTGTACTTGGGTATTTAAACTATGCTGTGTAGGTAGAGAACATATTTGCGGGGCAGCAAATATTCCGAATCAGAGGGCGATTGTTTTTGGCATATCTGAATAGCCAGAATGAAATCATTAAAGGCACACACTCTAGAATCAGTCCAATGGTAAGAAAAACTTGGATTATTCCGCCTTGTTGTGTACTTTCAATCGCGCTCCTGTCAGGGGGGGCTTTGACGGCAGGGTTGCATTCTATGGCACAACACCTGACATGTCTTCGTGTCCTCTCTCCGTCCTGCTGCACCTGCTGCTGTTGCGGCGGCTGAACAGATGATTTGTTTCAGTGATCAGATGAGTTATTTACTTTAAGCCTACATACGAATATTATAATATTCAGTTTTGTGGGCCAAATTTATTTTATATGCCAACATCTGTGAAAGAAAGAGCCAGGCCACGGAGCACGATGCGTCATTACGCACAGATGGTTCCGATTTTAATGCCATTATTGGTATTTATGTTGTGATCTGTGTGCACAACCCACCTTTGTCACGTGAGGTTTGAATATGTGCAACTTTACATGAGTTTCTTTATTTGTGGAAAAGGGTGTTTGTCTTACCAGTGGGTACAACCTTACACACACCATATCCATCTTATTTGAGAGTGAGAAGGACGCCCTCTGCAGCGCTTACAGCGACCTTAATTGAGGAGCTGCCTTCTCTAGCCATCGAGTGGCATTACTGTCTTCAGACATCTCTTGATCTCTTTGACTACTTCACGAACATTGCAATACGCCTCGATGGTGGTGGATGTAAAGGCGAGGAGAGGAGCTTATGTTATTGGTCAATACAGGTCTCGGCTGTGTTAAACCCCTCCACGTGCTCTCTCCTCCCTCACTCAAATATTTAGTTACTCAAAATCCGTTCTACATTACATGCTGATGTCATGTGAATGAGCTAGCCTATGTAATGTATGGATGTTCGTTTCATTATTAAACCTTGTGTAACTAATTGTTGTTTACACAAATGTTGAATTATTGAAAAGTGTTTTCAATATTTTTCAGAGGGCTCTAAATAAAAGAAGTCCTGTTTATCAACGTACCTTGTTTAATATATCATTTAAACTACATTTCCACGCAGCAATTTTATATAAACTATGCATCAATTGAATTTACAAAAAATGTACTATATCGTGATGTATATCGTATCGGGATATAAAATGAGCTATATCGGGATATGACCAAAATCTCATATCGTGCAGCCCTAGATCACACACTACATAAAATCCTCTGGAAGTGTGTGGCTGCCCTTCGAGTGGCCACATATCTCTGGAGCATCCCCCCTCAATACATTGAAAAGTCAGAGATCCAGGATTTTGACTGTGTGATGGCGCTCTCTGAGGCCGAGGGAGGGTGCACCATGTGCAGCCACACAACCCCAGAGCATTTCCCCTTGATAATTTGAATGTCAGAGATCCAGGATTTTGACCGGGTGGTGGCGCTCTCCGAGGCTGGAGCAGGGTGCACCATAGGCAGACACACACCTCCAGAGCATCTCCCCTCGATATTTTGAAAGTTGGAGATCCATTTTGACCGGGTGGTGGCGCTCTCCGAAGACGTGGAAGGGTGCACCCATAGGCAGACACACACCTCCAGAGCATCTCCCTTCAATATTTTGAAAGTTAGAGACCAAGAATTTAGACCGGGTGGTGGCACTCTCTGTGGACGTGGAAGGGTGCACCATCTGCGGCCACACACTTACAGAGTCCCCCCCCCCCTCCCCCCTTGCCCTTGATACTTAGAGTCTGAGATCCAGGATTTTAAACAGGTGGTGGCGCTCTCCGAGGCCAGGAAAGAGTGCACCATATGTGGCCACACACCTCCAAAGCATTTCCCCTCGATACATAGAAAGTCAGAAATCCAGAATTTTGACAGGATGGTGCATCTCTATAAGGACGGGGAAGGGTGCACCATGTGCGGCCACACAACCCCAGAGCATTTCCCCTTGATAATTGAAAAGTCAGAGATCCAGGATTTTGACCAGGTGTTGGCGCTCTCTGAGGCCGGGGAAGGGTGCACCATGTGCGGCCACACACCTCCAGAGCATTTCTTGTTGATACTTTGAAAGTCAGAGATCCAGGATTTTGACCGGGTGGTGGCGCTCTCCGAGGCCGGAGCAGGGTGCACCATAGGCAGACACACACCTCCAGAGCATCTCCCCTCGATATTTTGAAAGTCAGAGATCCAGGATTTTGACCGGGTGGTGGCCCTTTCCGAGGACGAGGGAGGGTGCACCATGTGCAGCCACATACTTCCAGAGCATCCCCTCTCGATACTTTGATGAGTCAGAGATCCAGGATTTTGGTCAGGTGGTGCTCTCTGTGTTTCAAAAGGTTTCACAATCCTGGGCAGGAGCTGTAGCGAATGCAATGATATTGGCCTTGGAGCCTTCTGCTAGCTAGTCAGCTGATGTCCGAAATCAATTGGCTGTTTGTTTAAAGTTTTTTTAAGGTAACGTATATTTGCACATGCGCAAGTTCTACCGCTGTCCTTGCCTCTTTTCTCCTCACACGAACTTCTGGCAATTACACTCCCTGGTCCCACTCCCACCATAAATGACTTTTCGGTTCTACTCACCCATCTATGCACACTCTCACCAAACATAATAATACTGGGGGACTTCAATATCCATATTGACAACACCAACCTCCCCCTCACCAGAGACTTCTCATCCTGCCTGGACAGTTTTGGACTCCATCAATTCATCAACTTCCCGACACACACTAAAGGACACACTCTGGATTTACTCTGCTGCTCTGGCCTCATCCCATCCAACTGCACAGCTGATGATCTCCACGTAAGTGACCACCTCCTCATCTCCTTCAGTATTCCGCTCTCCCTCTCTAGAGTTTATTCACCACGCCTCATTACATTCTGCAACCTTAAGAACATAAACATTGACACTCTGCGCTCTAAGATTATGAATATTGTGATCCCGGACTGTTACACTACCCCTGATGACATAACATCTCATTACAACACCTGTTTAAATAGCATCCTCAATTCCCTCGCTCCACTCAAAACACGCTCTGTTTCCTTCTCCACAACTGCACCCTGGTACACCCCCCACCTCCGCTCCATGAAAACCAAAGGCCGCCAACTGGAAAGACTTTACAAGAAAACTGGACTCTCCATTCACAAAGAAATGTACATTAACCACATACGCTGCTACAAGGACTCAATTTCTCACGCAAAAACAGACCACTACTCCGCCCAGATCATCTCCAACAAAGGAAACACCAGATCACTATTCACTCTCCTCAACAAATCTCTCCAGCCACCGGACTCCCTCCCTCCCCACCTGTATTCAACCGACACCTGCAACACCCTAATGCAGTTTTTTAATGACAAAATCTCCAACATCCATAAACAACTACACTCAGGTTCTCTTCCCCCTGGACCCTCTCCAAACTCACCTACTCCCCTGCCACACCACCAGCCCTTCTCCAGTTTTCTTCTCCCCAATGACTCTGAAATCTATGATCTCATCCAGAAATCCAAACCCTCAACCTGTCAGCTGGATCCCCTTCCCACCACACTGCTCAAATCATGCCTCCCATCTGTGCTCCCTCTCATATCTGCCATCATTCACTCCTCACTCACCACTGGAACTGTTCCCGCATCCCTCAAGACAGCAGCCATCACCCCATCCTTAAAAAACCTGGCTCTGACCCCAATAACTTCAACAACCTCCGCCCCATCTCAAATCTACCGTTTATAGCCAAAATAATGGAAAAGGTCGTCGCCAGCCAACTTCACACCCACCTAACCCAGAACTCCCTCTACGACCCCTTCCAATCTGGTTTCCGCCCCCGCCACAGCACCGAAACCGCACTGCTAACGACCTTCTCACTGCATCTGACTCCGGTTCATTTTCCATCCTCATCCTCCTCGACACTATCTCCCATCCCATCCTCCTTCGTAGACTCTCCTCCATCGGCATCACCCACACTCCCCTCCGCTGGTTCCACTCTTACCTCTCAGACCGCACACAGTTCATCCAGCTCAAATCATTCAAGTCCGACCCCTCCCCTGCTGTTCATCATCTACCTCCTCCCCCTTGGTTCCATCTTCCATAAATTCAACATTCAATACCACTGCTACGCTGACGACACCCAGCTCTACCTCTCCAGCTCACCAAACTCCACCCTCCCACCCACCTCCCTCATCACCTGCCTATCTGAAATTAAATCCTGGTTCACCTCCAACTTTCTCCAATTAAACAGTCAGAAAACAGAAATTCTTCTTGTAGGTTCCAAATCCACCCTATCCAAAGTTGACAGTCTCTCCCTTCCCATCGACAGTTCCTCAGTTTCCCCCTCACCTCAGGTCAAGAGTCTGGGTGTCGTCCTTGACAGTTCTCTTTCTTTTAAATCCCACATCAGCCTTACCACTCGCACTGCCTATTTCCACCTCCACCACATCAATCGTCTCCGCCCCTCCCTCTCCCCCAACACCACCTCCATCCTCGTCCACAGTCTCGTCACCTCCCGTCTGGATTACTGCAACTCCCTCCTCTTCGGTCTCCCTTACACGTCTCTCCATAAACTTCAACTGGTCCACAACTCCGCTGCCCGTATCATCACCAAAACCCCTTCGTCCCACCACATCACCCCCATCCTTCAGCAGCTTCACTGGCTCCCGGTCCCTCTACGAATCCAGTTCAAAATCCTCCTGTATACCTTCAAAGCCATCCACAACCTCGCCCCTCCTTACCTATCTGACCTCCTCCACATCGCCACTCCAACACGCCACCTCCGTTCCTCTTCCTCTCTCCACCTCTCTGTGCCCCCTGTTCACCTCAGCACTATGGGGGGCAGAGCTTTCAGTCGCTCTGCCCCCCGACTCTGGAACTCTTTACCATCATACATCCGCAACATAGACTCCCTCCCCCTCTTCAAGTCCAAACTCAAAACACACCTGTTTAAACTGGCCTATCCCTCCCACCACCCCTAACCCACTTTTTTTAAATTAAATTTCAATTGGTATTATTAATTTCTTTATTTATTCCTTTGCTGTTGTTCATGTTTAATGTTGCTTTGTTGATTTTAACTGTTTGATGATTAATGATTTTAATTGTTAATAGTGTTTTATTATTGTTTTTATATGTTCTGTAAAGTGTCCTTGAGTGACGTGAAAGGCGCTTCAAATAAAATGTATTATTATTATTATTAAGACAGATCGGGTAGGTAGAATGGGTGGTGCAACATGCGGACTACACAGACTGCCGTAAAATGCATTGAAATACGAAGAGAGGAATTGACATTTTGTCACGGGTTGCTATGGAGCCATTTTTGATGAGGTCCATTTTGTCACAGGAGCCCATTTTGTTCAGCTTAAGGTCCAACAAAAGTGTCATTGATTTCATAAGTTTGGTTCATACACAGGAGCAGGGCGCTATGGAGCGATTCTTAGTTGGATCTCCTTTTCGACATACGGACCCTTTTTGTTCCTGATGGGGTTCAAAATAGTTGTGATTAATTCTATCGGTTTGGGTCACACAAGGGGGCAGAGCATTCCTTTTGACGATTTGTAGAGGGCGCTATCAATCTACTTTTAGTTTAAGTCACACATTTTGCTAACATTTTGAAACAAGAAAAATTGCATTTAATTGCAAAAAGATGCATGGACGTGCTGAGTGCTGAGACAGCCACGCAGAACTGCTACAAAAGAAGAAAAGTATGAATGGAAAAACTGTTGAAGAGGTGGAGAAGAAGAACTTGTATGTTTGTAGAAATTTTGGCATAGCAGCAGTTAAACATGCATGAAATTGTAGGAAAGCAGCAATTAGAGCAGTGTTATACATGCTGAAATTTTTGGTAACCTTAAGTTAAAAAAGAGTCAGATGAGTATTGTTAATTTACAGAAATGATTATTAGTAGAAGTGCATTGAAAAAATCAATGCCAAAAATTAAATGTATAACAATTGCCCTGCTCAATGTGTGAAAACTGAAAAAAGCTGCAGTTAAAAAAGGCGTATGAATGTAAAATTATAAGCGCTGAATAAGTGGTGTTGTCAAAGTATTAAAGAGCTACATTTAATATACTTTTATGAATGTGGAAAATGCTAAAATTGTGTGTCTTATGTAAATGAACATAAGTAATAATCAGTTTAGGTGCTTTGGAAAGACAATTACCGAAAAAGTTATGTATAACAAACTCCCCAAGAAATGTGGAAATACTCGAAAGATGTTTGCAGTCAGCATGTTGCCATCGTAATTTTTCATTATGGTATGACAGCACCATCTAGTGCTGTGCTCCAGTGACTGCCCTACATTTAAATATAGAAAGTGTTCCAGATCTGAAATTAAAGAAAGGTGTAAAAATGTAAAATTATTAAAGTGCTGAGTAAGTGGTATTAATGTCAAAGTATTAAAAGCTCAAAGTTAACTACTTGTATGAATGTTAAAAATGCTCAAGTGAAGAAAAAGTTGTATGACTTATGTGAATAAACAGAAATAATGATCAGTGTAGGTGCTTTGGAAAGACAAGTGCCTAAAAATGTGTGTAATACAAACTCCCTATCAAATGTGGAAGTACTCAAAAGATATTTGCAGTCAGCATGTAACCAAAGTAATTTTTGATTATGGTATGACAGCACCATCTAGTGGTGTGCTTCAGTGACTGCCCTACATATAAATATACAAAGTGTGAGAGAGCTGCAGCTGAGAAAGACATGTGAAAGAAAATAATGAAAAGTGCTAAACATGTGTTTCAGTGACTGCCCTACATTTACATTAGGAAAGTGTTACAGAGCTGTAGCAAAAAAAGGTGTATTCATATAAAATCATGAAAGTGCAAAATAAGTGTCAAAAGTATTAAGAGCTGTTAGTTGTTAATACTTGTATGAATGTAAAATATGCTCAAGTGAAGAAAAAGTTGTATGACTTATGTAAAAAAAAGGAAAAAAGATCAGTCTAGGTGCTTTAAAAAGACAAGTGCCTAGAAATTGATGTATGACAAACTCCCCATGAAAAATGGAAGTACTCAAAAAATGTTTGCAGTCAGTGTGTAACCATAGTAATTTTTGATTATAGTATGACAGCACCATCTAGTGGTGTGCTTCAATGACTGCCCTACATATAGATATAGAAATTGTTACAGAGCTGAAGCAAAAAAAAGGCCTCTGAATGTAAAATTATGAAAGTATGAAGAAGTGGTATTAATCTCAAAAGTATAAAGGGTACAAATTTTAAATACTTTTATGAATGTAAAAAAGGCTCAAGTGAAGAAAAAGTTGTAAGACTTTTGTGAATAAAAATAAATAAAGATCAGTCTAGGTGCTTTGGAAGGACAAGTGCCTAGAGATTTATTTATTACAAACTCCCCATGAAATGTTGAAATATTCAAAAGAGGTTTGCAGTCAGCAGCGTGTAACCATAGTCACTGGTAGCGGCACAACACTACCCTAAAGTGTGCTTCAGTTACTAACTTACCAAGCTGAAGCACACCGCAAGATGGAGTAGTGCGTGCAGACAGGGTGTGTAGGAAATCGACAAGCACACAACACATGAGAAGTGCTCCACCATGGGTGAAGTGGATACCGTCTGAACTTCTTTACCTGGCGCAGTTTTTCCGAGTGGTATCATGAAAATAAGACCATCTTAAGAATTCAGGCACTCTCATGATCACTTCTAATTGTACAGAAAGAGTGAAATATTGCAAAAAGTATAAATGGTAGAAAGGTGAAAAGTACACCCCACTAGATGGTGCTGTCATACCATAATCAAAAATTACTATGGTTACATTCTGACTGCAAACTTCTTTTGAGTACTTCCACATTTTACGGCGAGGTTGTAATATATACATTTTTAGGCATTTGTCTATCCAAAGCACCTCGACTGATCATTTTTCCTTGTAATTCACATAAGACATACAATTTTAGCAATTTTTTTTATTTTTACCTTCATCCAAGTATTTAAGCTTCAGCTCTGTAATATTTTCTACATTTTTATGTGGGGAAGTCACTGAAGCACACCACTAGATGGTGCTGTTTTTCCATTATTACAAATGAGTCTCATCACCCTGTGATGAAGAAAATGTCAAGATGGAGAACCAACCATCAATGGTCACATATTGCCCCCTACCCAATTGAAAAATAAAAGCCCTTTTTCTGTGTACGAACCAAACTTTTGAAATAAAGTACAATTATGACAAACCAAAAGTTGAACATAAAGGGCTCCAGCATCAAAATGGAGAATCAACTTCAAATAGCTCCAGAGTGCCACCTTCAAATTTTAAAAAAAAGTAAGCCCCACTCCTGTGTTTGACCAAAACCTTTGGAATTGATGTCACTTATGTTTGACCTCAAGACAAACAAAAATGGGTTCAATGTCAAAATTGAGGTCCTTCAAGAAATAGCTACATAGCACCCCCTTCATAATTTCAAAATGAAACGCCTGCTTCTTTGAGTGACTCAGACCAATGGACTAACAGACACTTATCTTGGATCCAACTGAAAATGGCACGACTGCGTTCTCTACAACATTTCTAAATGAAAGCCCTGCTCTGGTGTGCGTCCAAAACCTGTGGAATTAGTGACACTGAAGTTGAACCTTAACACGAACAAAAACAGTTTGAATATCAAAATGGAGATCCATCAAAACATGGCTCTATGGCACCACCTTCAAATTTCTTTAATGTGAACCACGTTCCTGTGTTTGACCTAAACCTATGAAACTGATGACACTTATGTTTGACCTCAAGATGAACAAAAAGGGTTTAACTGTCATAATGGATATCCATCATAAAAAGGCCCCATAGCGCCCCCTTCAAAATTTCAAAACGTAAACCCGCTCCTGTGGTCCAGACAAGTGGATTCAATGACACTTATCTTGAATCCCAAGAGGAAAAGAAATGGGTTCCAATGTAAAAATTGGGGACCCATCAAAAAATTCCTTCATTTCTCCCTCTACAAAATTTCAAAATGTAAGTTCAGCTCCTGTGTTTGACCTAAACCGAGGGATTTAATGACACCTACGTTGGACTCAAAGTTAAACAAAAAGTTTTCCACTGTCAAAATGGATTTCCAACAAAAATGTGGTCATAGCGCCCTCTACAAAAATTTCAGGACTCAGTGCTGTATTTGAAGTCTGGTGTATACCCTGTCAATAGGAATAGAGCCAGGACCATCCGTTGTGGAACCCCTGTACTTCTCAATAAGGCCCAGAAACACAGTTCCCCAGCGTGAAGAACTGTGTGATTCCTGTCAGGCAATTTGTGATCCAGGAAACACAGGTAGGATCCACGCCCATCTCTGTGGGCTTGTCTTTTAGTATGATTGGTTGGATGGTGTTGAATGTTATGGTGACCTGTTGTTATGATGACCTGTCAGTTCATTGACCTATTGTTATAAGTGGTATCATAAAAAAATAAGACCATCTTAAGAAGAGAGACTGATTTTTATTAGAAAACATGACCTGAAACTGGATATCTCTTGCAGGGTTTTATAGTCTTGAATATGTAAAGGATTAGTAATATCATTGACTATGAAACCTTTTAAGTTTTTTTGTAGGATCAGATTAACAAAAAACATCCTTTGTTAATGCTCAGTGGCTAAAAAAAGCCTCTGACATCGACTGCTGTAAAAACATATTGGATTCATATTTTTTCCAGATTTTTTTTCACACATCTCTCAATTAACTTCTGCCCTGATCAAAAATAGTTCATTTTTTTATCCAAAAAACAATTTTTTAAGCCTTTGAGAGTCCATTCAAAACAAAACGGCTAATGCCTAAACAAAACAATGGCCCCGCTCCATGTGTGAATACTGAAAAGATATTTGCAGTCAGCAGCATGTAACCGTAGTGATTTGTAATAATGGAAAAACAGCACCATCTGGTGGTGTGCTTCTGTCACTGCCCTACATAAAAAAGATGTTTGCAGTCAGCACATCACCATAGAAATATTTGATTATGGTATGACAGCCGCATCTAGTGGTGAGCTTCAGTTGCTGCCCTACATATAAATATAAAGAGTGTTACAGAGCTGTAGCTAAAAGCTGTATAAATGCAAAATTATTAAAGTGCTAAATAGGTGGTATTGATCTCAAAAGTATTAAGAGCAGAAGTTTAAAAACTTGTATGAATGTAAAAAATGCTCACGTGAAGACAAAGTTGTAAGACCTGTCAATATTTGTCGATATAGAATTGTTACAGAGCTGTGGTATAAAAAAGGTATATGAATGTAAAATTCTGAAAGTATGAAGAAGTGGTATTAATCTTAAAAGTATAGAGAGCAGAATTTTAAATACTTTTATGAATGTAAAAAATGCTCAAGTGAAGAAAAAGTTGTAAGACTTTTGTGAATAAAAATAAATAAAGATCAGTCTAGGTGCTTTGGAAAGACAAGTGCCTAGAGATTTATATATTACAAACTCCCCATGAAATGTTGAAATATTCAAAAGAGGTTTGCAGTCAGCAGCATGTAACCATAGTCACTGGTAGCGGCACAACACTACCCTATAGTGTGCTTCAGTTACTAACTTACCAAGCTGAAGCGCACCGCAAGATGGAGTAGTGCGTGCGGACAGAGTGTGTAGGAAATCGACAAGCACACAACACATGAGAAGTGCTCCACCATGGGTGAAGTGGATACCGTCTGAACTTCTTTACCTGGCGCAGTTTTTCCAAGTGGTATCATGAAAATAAGACCATCTTAAGAATTCTGGCACTCTCATGATCACTTCTAATTGTACAGAAAAAGTGAAATATTGCAAAAAGTATAAATGGTAGAAAGGTGAAAAGTACACCCCACTAGATGGTGCTGTCATACCATAATCAAAAATTACTATGGTTACATTCTGACTGTAAACTTCTTTTGAGTACTTCCACATTTCACGGGGAGGTTGTAATACATACATTTTTAGGCATTTGTCTATCTGAAGCACCTCGACTGATCATTTTTCCTTGTAATTCACTTAAGACATACAATTTTAGCAATTTTTTTTATTTTTACCTTCATCCAAGTATTTTAGCTTCAGCTCTGTAATATTTTCTACATTTTTATGTGGGGAAGTCACTGAAGCACACCACTAGATGGTGCTGTTTTTCCATTATTACAAATGAGTCTCATCACCCTGTGATGAAGAAAATGTCAAAATGGAGAACCAACCATCAATGGTCACATATTGCCCCCTACCCAATTGAAAAATAAAAGCCCTTTTTCTGTGTACGAACCAAACTTTTGAAATAAAGTACAATTATGACAAACCGAAAGTTGAACATAAAGGGCTCCAGCATCAAAATGGAGAATCAACTTCAAATAGCTCCAGAGTGCCAGCTTCAAATTAAAAAAAAAAGTAAGCCCCGCTCCTGTGTTTGACCAAAACCTTTGGAATTGATGTCACTTATGTTTGACCTCAAGACAAACAAAAATGGGTTCAATGTCAAAATTGAGGTCCTTCAAGAAATAGCTACATAGCACCCCCTTCATAATTTCAAAATGAAACCCCTGCTTCTTTGAGTGACTCAGACCAATGGACTAACAGACACTTATCTTGGATCCAACTGAAAATGGCACGACTGCGTTCTCTACAACATTTCTAAATGAAAGCCCTGCTCTGGTGTGCGTCCAAAACCTGTGGAATTAGTGACACTGAAGTTGAACCTTAACACGAACAAAAACAGTTTGAATATCAAAATGGAGATCCATCAAAACATGGCTCTATGGCGCCACCTTCAAATTTCTTTAATGTGAACCACGCTCCTGTGTTTGACCTAAACCTATGAAATTGATGACACTTATGTTTGACCTCAAGACGAACAAAAAGGGTTTAACTGTCATAATGGATATCCATCATAAAAAGGCCCCATAGCGCCCCCTTCAAAATTTCAAAACGTAAACCCGCTCCTGTGGTCCAGACAAGTGGATTCAATGACACTTATCTTGAACCCCAAGAGGAAAAGAAATGGGTTCCAATGTAAAAATTGGGGACCCATCAAAAAATTCCTTCATTTCTCCCTCTACAAAATTTCAAAATGTAAGTTCAGCTCCTGTGTTTGACCTAAACCGAGGGATTCAATGACACCTACGTTGGACTCAAAGTTAAACAAAAAGTTTTCCACTGTCAAAATGGATTTCCAACAAAAATGTGGTCATAGCGCCCTCTACAAAAATTTCAGGACTCAGTGCTGTATTTGAAGTCTGGTGTATACCCTGTCAATAGGAATGGAGCCAGGACCGTCCGTTGTGGAACCCCTGTACTTCTCAATAAGGCCCAGAAACACAGTTCCCCAGCGTGAAGAACTGTGTGATTCCTGTCAGGCAATTTGTGATCCAGGAAACACAGGTAGGATCCACGCCCATCTCTGTGGGCTTGTCTTTGAGTATGATCGGTTGGATGGTGTTGAATGTTATGGTGACCTGTTGTTATGATGACCTGTCAGTTCATTGACCTATTGTTATAAGTGGTATCATGAAAATAAGACCATCTTAAGAAGAGAGACTGATTTTTATTAGAAAACATAACCTGAAACTGGATATCTCTTGCAGGGTTTTATAGTCTTGAATATGTAAAGGATTAGTAATATCATTGACTATGAAACCTTTTAAGTTTTTTTGTAGGATCAGATTAACAAAAAACATCCTTTGTTAATGCTCAGTGGCTAAAAAAGCCTCTGACATCGACTGCTGTAAAAACATATTGGATTCATATTTTTTCCAGATTTTTTTTCACACATCTCTCTATTAACTTCTGCCCTGATCAAAAACAGTACATTTTTTATCCAAAAAACAATTTTTTAAGCCTTTTAGAGTCCATTCAAAACAAAACGGCTAATGCCTAAACAAAACAATGGCCCCGCTCCATGTGTGAATACTGAAAAGATGTTTGCAGTCAGCAGCATGTAACTGTAGTGATTTGTAATAATGGAAAAACAGCACCATCTGGTGGTGTGCTTCTGTCACTGCCCTACATAAAAAAGATGTTTGCAGTCAGCACATCACCATAGAAATATTTGATTATGGTATGACAGCCACATCTAGTGGTGAGCTTCAGTTGCTGCCCTACATATAAATATAAAGAGTGTTACAGAGCTGTAGCTAAAAGCTGTATAAATGCAAAATTATTAAAGTGCTAAATAGGTGGTATTGATCTCAAAAGTATTAAGAGCAGAAGTTTAAAAACTTGTATGAATGTAAAAAATGCTCACGTGAAGACGAGGTTGTAAGACCTGTCAATATTTGTCAATATAGAATTGTTACAGAGCTGTGGTATAAAAAAGGCATATGAATGTAAAATGATGAAAGTATGAAGAAGTGGTATTAATCTTAAAAGTATAGAGAGCAGAATTTTAAATACTTTTATGAATGTAAAAAATGCTCAAGTGAAGAAAAAGTTGTAAGACTTTTGTGAATAAAAATAAATAAAGATCAGTCTAGGTGCTTTGGAAAGACAAGTGCCTAGAGATTTATATATTACAAACTCCCCATGAAATGTTGAAATATTCAAAAGAGGTTTGCAGTCAGCAGCATGTAACCATAGTCACTGGTAGCGGCACAACACTACCCTATAGTGTGCTTCAGTTACTAACTTACCAAGCTGAAGCGCACCGCAAGATGGAGTAGTGCGTGCGGACAGAGTGTGTAGGAAATCGACAAGCACACAACACATGAGAAGTGCTCCACCATGGGTGAAGTGGATACCGTCTGAACTTCTTTACCTGGCGCAGTTTTTCCAAGTGGTATCATGACAAAAGACCATCTTAAGAATTCTGGCACTCTCATGATCACTTCTAATTGTACAGAAAAAGTGAAATATTGCCAAAAGTATAAATGGTAGAAAGGTGAAAAGTACACCCCACTAGATGGTGCTGTCATACCATAATCAAAAATTACTATGGTTACATTCTGACTGTAAACTTCTTTTGAGTACTTCCACATTTCACGGGGAGGTTGTAATACATACATTTTTAGGCATTTGTCTATCTGAAGCACCTCGACTGATCATTTTTCCTTGTAATTCACAGAAGACATACAATTTTAGCAATTTTTTTTATTTTTACCTTCATCCAAGTATTTTAGCTTCAGCTCTGTAATATTTTCTACATTTTTATGTGGGGAAGTCACTGAAGCACACCACTAGATGGTGCTGTTTTTCCATTATTACAAATGAGTCTCATCACCCTGTGATGAAGAAAATGTCAAAATGGAGAACCAACCATCAATGGTCACATATTGCCCCCTACCCAATTGAAAAATAAAAGCCCTTTTTCTGTGTACGAACCAAACTTTTGAAATCAAGTACAATTATGACAAACCAAAAGTTGAACATAAAGGGCTCCAGCATCAAAATGGAGAATCAACTTCAAATAGCTCCAGAGTGCCAGCTTCAAATTTAAAAAAAAAAGTAAGCCCCGCTCCTGTGTTTGACCAAAACCTTTGGAATTGATGTCACTTATGTTTGACCTCAAGACAAACAAAAATGGGTTCAATGTCAAAATTGAGGTCCTTCAAGAAATAGCTACATAGCACCCCCTTCATAATTTCAAAATGAAACCCCTGCTTCTTTGAGTGACTCAGACCAATGGACTAACAGACACTTATCTTGGATCCAACTGAAAATGGCACGACTGCGTTCTCTACAACATTTCTAAATGAAAGCCCTGCTCTGGTGTGCGTCCAAAACCTGTGGAATTAGTGACACTGAAGTTGAACCTTAACACGAACAAAAACAGTTTGAATATCAAAATGGAGATCCATCAAAACATGGCTCTATGGCACCACCTTCAAATTTCTTTAATGTGAACCACGCTCCTGTGTTTGACCTAAACCTATGAAATTGATGACACTTATGTTTGACCTCAAGACGAACAAAAAGGGTTTAACTGTCATAATGGATATCCATCATAAAAAGGCCCCATAGCGCCCCCTTCAAAATTTCAAAACGTAAACCCGCTCCTGTGGTCCAGACAAGTGGATTCAATGACACTTATCTTGAACCCCAAGAGGAAAAGAAATGGGTTCCAATGTAAAAATTGGGGACCCATCAAAAAATTCCTTCATTTCTCCCTCTACAAAATTTCAAAATGTAAGTTCAGCTCCTGTGTTTGACCTAAACCGAGGGATTCAATGACACCTACGTTGGACTCAAAGTTAAACAAAAAGTTTTCCACTGTCAAAATGGATTTCCAACAAAAATGTGGTCATAGCGCCCTCTACAAAAATTTCAGGACTCAGTGCTGTATTTGAAGTCTGGTGTATACCCTGTCAATAGGAATGGAGCCAGGACCGTCCGTTGTGGAACCCCTGTACTTCTCAATAAGGCCCAGAAACACAGTTCCCCAGCGTGAAGAACTGTGTGATTCCTGTCAGGCAATTTGTGATCCAGGAAACACAGGTAGGATCCACGCCCATCTCTGTGGGCTTGTCTTTGAGTATGATCGGTTGGATGGTGTTGAATGTTATGGTGACCTGTTGTTATGATGACCTGTCAGTTCATTGACCTATTGTTATAAGTGGTATCATGAAAATAAGACCATCTTAAGAAGAGAGACTGATTTTTATTAGAAAACATAACCTGAAACTGGATATCTCTTGCAGGGTTTTATAGTCTTGAATATGTAAAGGATTAGTAATATCATTGACTATGAAACCTTTTAAGTTTTTTTGTAGGATCAGATTAACAAAAAACATCCTTTGTTAATGCTCAGTGGCTAAAAAAAGCCTCTGACATCGACTGCTGTAAAAACATATTGGATTCATATCTTTTCCAGATTTTTTTTCACACATCTCTCTATTAACTTCTGCCCTGATCAAAAACAGTACATTTTTTATCCAAAAAACAATTTTTTAAGCCTTTGAGAGTCCATTCAAAACAAAACGGCTAATGCCTAAACAAAACAATGGCCCCGCTCCATGTGTGAATACTGAAAAGATGTTTGCAGTCAGCAGCATGTAACTGTAGTGATTTGTAATAATGGAAAAACAGCACCATCTGGTGGTGTGCTTCTGTCACTGCCCTACATAAAAAAGATGTTTGCAGTCAGCACATCACCATAGAAATATTTGATTATGGTATGACAGCCACATCTAGTGGTGAGCTTCAGTTGCTGCCCTACATATAAATATAAAGAGTGTTACAGAGCTGTAGCTAAAAGCTGTATAAATGCAAAATTATTAAAGTGCTAAATAGGTGGTATTGATCTCAAAAGTATTAAGAGCAGAAGTTTAAAAACTTGTATGAATGTAAAAAATGCTCACGTGAAGACGAGGTTGTAAGACCTGTCAATATTTGTCAATATAGAATTGTTACAGAGCTGTGGTATAAAAAAGGCATATGAATGTAAAATGATGAAAGTATGAAGAAGTGGTATTAATCTTAAAAGTATAGAGAGCAGAATTTTAAATACTTTTATGAATGTAAAAAATGCTCAAGTGAAGAAAAAGTTGTAAGACTTTTGTGAATAAAAATAAATAAAGATCAGTCTAGGTGCTTTGGAAAGACAAGTGCCTAGAGATTTATATATTACAAACTCCCCATGAAATGTTGAAATATTCAAAAGAGGTTTGCAGTCAGCAGCATGTAACCATAGTCACTGGTAGCGGCACAACACTACCCTATAGTGTGCTTCAGTTACTAACTTACCAAGCTGAAGCGCACCGCAAGATGGAGTAGTGCGTGCGGACAGAGTGTGTAGGAAATCGACAAGCACACAACACATGAGAAGTGCTCCACCATGGGTGAAGTGGATACCGTCTGAACTTCTTTACCTGGCGCAGTTTTTCCAAGTGGTATCATGACAAAAGACCATCTTTAGAATTCTGGCACTCTCATGATCACTTCTAATTGTACAGAAAAAGTGAAATATTGCCAAAAGTATAAATGGTAGAAAGGTGAAAAGTACACCCCACTAGATGGTGCTGTCATACCATAATCAAAAATTACTATGGTTACATTCTGACTGTAAACTTCTTTTGAGTACTTCCACATTTCACGGGGAGGTTGTAATACATACATTTTTAGGCATTTGTCTATCTGAAGCACCTCGACTGATCATTTTTCCTTGTAATGCACTTAAGTCATACAATTTTAGCAATTTTTTTTATTTTTACCTTCATCCAAGAGTATTTTAGCTTCAGCTCTGTAATATTTTCTACATTTTTATGTGGGGAAGTCACTGAAGCACACCACTAGATGGTGCTGTTTTTCCATTATTACAAATGAGTCTCATCACCCTGTGATGAAGAAAATGTCAAAATGGAGAACCAACCATCAATGGTCACATATTGCCCCCTACTCAATTGAAAAATAAAAGCCCTTTTTCTGTGTAGGAACCAAACTTTTGAAATAAAGTACAATTATGACAAACCGAAAGTTGAACATAAAGGGCTCCAGCATCAAAATGGAGAATCAACTTCAAATAGCTCCAGAGTGCCAGCTTCAAATAAAAAAAAAAGTAAGCCCCGCTCCTGTGTTTGACCAAAACCTTTGGAATTGATGTCACTTATGTTTGACCTCAAGACAAACAAAAATAGGTTCAATGTCAAAATTGAGGTCCTTCAAGAAATAGCTACATAGCACCCCCTTCATAATTTCAAAATGAAACCCCTGCT